GTAAGAACGTGAAGAAAATACAAACATGATATTCAGCACGTGTTGTGTTACACATACAATGTATAGACAGGCTTGCATGTGTGTTGCAAGAAAAATATACGGCCAATCTCGGCCTTGGTGGTGCCATACCTGAGACAGGATATGTTTCCTTGGACCATGGGTTAAATGCATTGTATAGCAGGTGCTGTGACAAGAGTCCAAGGGGAAACACTCGGGCCCAAGCTCCCCAATCCTGATCAGATATCTTTGGTACGGCCTGTGGGTGAGCATGCATGACCAACTCAACTCAGCCCAAATGCATGACTCTTTAGTAAATTTTGGACTCCAATGTCTCCTTGCCAGTTGCCACAGCGATCCTGTATGATTGCATCAGCAAGCTGAAGTGACAACATTTCTGATGCATGTGCCAGAGTTAACTGACTAAATAAGTAATAACTGATGAAAGCCAAGGTGTGTGTAGAAAAAAAATAACTGATGAAAGGAATGGTCTAGATTTTATACTACCTCCATCCCACAATATAAATAGTTTTAGGGTTGGATACGGGTATTACGAAAGTATGTTGAATTAAATGAGGAAATACTGTGGTTGGTTGAGAAGAAAACTGAAGGTGAAGAATTTGAATGGTCAAAGGTTGTGATTGATTGAGAAGAGAATGTGGGTGGAAATTTTGCTATATTTTGGGATAAATTTTGGCCTTGTTTAGATTCAAAAAAAATTGGCCAAAAAGGTCACATCAAATGTTTGGACCCATGCATGGAGCATTAAATGTGGACGAAAAAAACTAATTGCACAGTTTGCATGTAAATTGCGAGACGAATCTTTTGAGCCTAATTATGCCATGATTTGACAATGTGATGCTACAGTAAACATTTGCTAATGACGGATTAATTAGGCTTAATAAATTCGTTTCGCAGTTTACAGGCGGAATCTGTAATTTATTTTATTATTAGTCTACGTTTAATACTTCAAATGTGTGTCCGTATACTTCAAAAACTTTACACCCAAAGAACTAAACACACCCTTTGAATGGTAGAAGTTATATTTTCGGATGGAGGGAATAGTTTTCTACACCACAGTAAGTTACATTGAGGTGTAGAAGTCTGAATGGTTGTGAATTGACTATGTGAATTATAGATACTGTAGTGTAAGTGCATACCTTTGTAAGCAGATGTACGACTTCAATGAATGCACAATGTGACTAAACATTTAAAGGGATCTAAACCAATCAGCAATAGTTCTTGAGAGGACCCTAGTTTCATTGAGAGCCAATGATTTCAAACCCTGGGCTAGAGCATCTGCTGGAGTGTATTCTGAACCAACCTGCCATTTCACATCCTGTAGTATTGTTTTGGTTAGTGCCTGAGACATGGACACAAATAATGCATAGAGAAATGATAATGACTATAAGAACAAATAAATAAGTTGTTTTTGCTACGATGAAGTTATTTTGAGAATGCCAAGTTGCCAGCTGGTCACGAATGACCGTAAAAATTTGCTTGCTATTGGTGGTGATTTTTTCTTGAATATGCATGAGAATTGGTGGTGAATTGCCCCTAACAATAACACATTTAGTGCTACAAAAATATAGATGAGTTTGTATAACTCTCTGCCTGCACCTGAAGCATCATACAATTTGAGAGGAAGATATAGCAAATTTTACCTGTATGCATGGAGTTAGATGTGTTCCTGACAGTATAACCTTCTTTATTTGTCCACCAATTGACTCAACCCGGGGCTTCAAGACATCTTCAACAATCTCTGTATCATCAATAGCATCAATGCTGAATTTCACCTACAGTGCATGCATCAAGTATTAATATACACTGATTAGAGTAGAGAGAGGTTTACCAAAGTGAAAAGAAGTTCATCAAACCTACCAATAGTGTATTAGGTACATTGTAGGAATTCTTGCAGAATTCACGGTTTTCAGGTGGTGTTGGTTTGAATTCAGATACACCTTCTGTAACCTGTCAATAACATAGGAAACAGATATGGGCAGAACTAAGCTAAACATTTTATGAAATCGTTGTTATAAAATGAAAGAACTTAGATTTATATAGTACCTGATTCATCACTGATGGTAACTGGTCGACAAATTTGCTCAGGGATAACATAGCTTCTTGATCATACACCTGTATCAAACCTCCAGCTAAATCAAATAGGGCCTTCCATGCATCTCCTACAAAACCATGACACCGCATCTTACTATAAAGGTCCATGAAGCATTTTGATAAATCTTAAGAAGGGACAACCAAAATGAACAGTAACCTGATGCATTTCTGGCCGCAGAGTAAACAGGTGATGCCTCCATCATAGGCATTACTTGACTAAAAAGGGGGCCTATCTGCACTAAAAGATCACTTCTAAGGTAGATAATAACCACAAAAATCCAGGAAGCAGGAATATGTAGTAACATTTTAGACTGAAATCAGCTCTAAGCGCAAAATGTGTGTTGGAGATGAAGTACATCAACAAAGCATTGCACATATTTTCTTGACACTTCGCTCTTTCTTTTTAAGGAATTGCTTATTATTCATTGTTAACAAATTTTAGACAGGTTATGCAAGAAGCTGCTAGGTTCACATTTGTACCTTTTGGACTTCGAAATGCACTAGCGTACTGTCACCACACAATGCAGTGCAGAACTAACTTTAGTAAAATTAAGAGTTTTGAGCTCCATCTGAACTCCTTTTCAAGAGAAAAGCTCTGTCCCAAGCAAAGGCATGGTAGAGTAATCATTGCAGCTTACCATCAAACCAGGTGCATTCTCCATACAATGACAATGGATTATGTGGGCTCGGTGAAGGTGGTGGTCTACATGTTCAGTACAAAGCAAGGCATTGGTATGCAAGGTACAAAGGAAGGCATGGGGTCAAAGACATGAGCATGTTCTACACATACACATTTTGTCTTACAAAATCAATCTGCAAGGCTTTGATCATAACCAGGACAATTAGCGCCACCATTAGATGATTCTATATTTCACCATCTAAACTTGTTAAATCTATCTTAGTCACGCACAAGCAATAAATGAGGGAGAAGCTATTAAATAACCTTTAGCCAAAACCCTTTTTTTTGCTATGTAGTTACAACTTACAACCAAGAAGGGCTTATTTTCTTCTCCATTCTCAAAATTATAACCTTGCAGCTGTGTCGTCACCAATCACACGCATTTAATGCTGAGAGATGATTGTACCTCCCAATTCATAAAGCTAATTTAAAAAAAAATAGTTTCCTGTCATCTACTGTTATCAGAAATATATATTCACTGATCAATTTCTTTTGTAAAATGCCAAAAATGTTTTAAAGATTCCAGAAACTTATGTAAGCCCAACAAAAGAATCTATCACAATGCTCAAGACGAAAGCGATACTGACAAATCAAGACTTGATTTTTGTTTAGCTCTTCAACTAAATCTTGTTTAGTACTTTAATTCACAAAATTAGCATGTCTCCTATTTCAATTAGTTTGAAACTGTAATGTATGGAACAGAATAGCTACTCCTGTTCATAATAAGGTGAGAGCAATGCAATGCAACACGTTACAGAGCACATTAAATACCTGCTCAAAGTATGGAACAGCCTCTGAAGCGGGCCTATTGTTGAACGAGACAATGGCATTAGCCTAAAATGATCAGAATCAGACAACTAAGCATCATATGGAAATTTTAATAATTCGAAGACAACTAAGCATCATATGGAAATTTTAATAATTCGAATTCGGTATCCTCATTTATGTGAACCTTTGGTATCTTCTCCGAGAAGTAGCTCCCCACCAACAGCTGAAGCAGCGCACCGTTGCTGCAAAACCATCACAAAATAATTAAAGACAACGTCACATACATCGATCAGATTTTATTTTTTTCAAAATTTCCTCCTTGGCAAAACATCGAACAGGTGGCGTCCAATCCAACACCCCCCGTGCTCAGCTCAGATCACCTGTGGCCGACCGAGTAGAGAGGGAGCTCCGCGATGTCCATCGCGCTCAGGCCGGCCGCCGGGAGGCCCGACGAGAGCAGCGCGCCGTAGCACCCGTGGAACCGCTCGTACACCTCCCGCGCAGCCGCCTCGTGGTCGAAGGTGACGTTGTACGGCACGGACACCACCAGGAAGCCCTCCTGCGCCAGGAGCTTCAGGAAATGGCTGCGCCAACGCGAAATCAGAACTCCCATTTCCCCTCCTCTCCCTCAATTCGAACGCGCGCGCGTTTGATTTTGTGTTACCTGTAGGTGACCTCGGGGACGGCGCCGATGAAGGCGCCGCCGAGGAACTTGACGACGGCGAGCGGGCGGCGGCCGCGCGGCGAAGGCGGGAAGATGAGGCAGGAGTGTTCCCGCAGGTACGGCCTCCCCCGAGGCTCCACCCTGGGGGCAGCAGCAGCGGCAGCGGCGAGCCCGGCGAGCGAGCCATCGGGGCCAAGCGATGCGCGGCAGGAGAGGGTTGCGACGCCTTTGGTCCGGTGGGCGCAGAGGATGCGGGCATGGGGAGGGGGGTGTACTGGAGAGGCGGAGGGCGGGGTGGATAGGAGGTGCGCCGCCGCGGTCGCCGCCGCCGCCGCCATGGGAAGGGAAGGAAGCGAGGAGGGAAGAGACGAACACAAGCTGACGGTTTCGCCACGAGGCCAAAGGCGCGGCCAGGTGATTCAGATGAGAGGAAGCACGGCCACGTGGCACGGCCTGCACCGTCCGATCCGTAAAAAGCTTCCCGCGAAGCCTTTTTTTTCCCGCTTATTAAGGGATTGGCTATACGTGGCGTCACAATTTTCATAAAAAAAGTTAAAACTTTTTTTACACGGTCAATTTTAGAACTTACACATTAAATTTCATACAGAGATCTATAGCAATCACATAGAATTTACTACATTTTTAGCAAAACTGATCATCAATGAAAGCCTAGAATAGGATTGACATGAATACTCTCTACAAGTATACAGTTCTGAGATAAATCATACTAGTAAGAACTATGAACGGTAAATACAGGACTTTTGTGCACAAGCCACATAGGACTATAATGCATAAATGCATGTATATTTTTCTTGTAATCACAGTAATTTTCGTCTATACATGGTCTTAACATTACATTTACAGTTAGTTCTGAACAGATAAAAAGGGGGAAAAGGATGCACAATTCTATGTAACATCAGCTAACTCTCTCCTGGAGCGAACTTAACTCCTTTTCTAGATACAGTATGTGTGTTGGCCAAAATTTGATACCTCAAAACTTGGGTATGATTCTCTGTTCCAATATTTAGAACAAAATTGGCAGAATATACTATATACGATGTACAGACACGACCTACAAGTCAGCTAGTCATATCTACTCATCAGTATTAGGTAATTGTACAACCAAGTCGGATGACAGTATCAGGTCTGCAGGCTACTTGGCAAAATGGAAAATGTACCAGCTTCTATATTCTCTACCAGGGCATATCCAACAACTTGGTTTGTTCTTTCAACCTGCATGCAAAGCAACAGTGAAGAGTTAGCAATTTAGCACAGTGAAAAATGAGGTCCCAAGTGAAGTTAAGGTACATACCTTGTAATCAATGGACGAGACTATCCCCGATTGGAAGGTTACAACTTGATTCATATATAGTATATTCCCGAAAAATCAAAACAGTACACGGTAGTGTACAAGTTTAAGAATATGAACATTGCAGATGCCCCAAGGACAAGCACAAAGTTGATGCATCAGCATAATCTCTGAGATTCTTTTTGAGGTAACTGGGTGCTTCCCTCTGAACATGGAGCCGCGGTGTAAAATGGTATACTAGAGCAGTCCTTTGCTCACACAAATTTTGTACAGAGATGATCGCATCTTTTTCTGAAGCTATACGTTGAGGGTACTTGTTTTCTTGTCACGATACAAAAGAATCCTTCTGAACAGGTTCTTGGGGGAAGAAAAGGATAGCAAGTAATGCACAAACACTTAAGCCAATTACACCATCAAAAGGATGAAGATGGTACGTGCTGATCATCCAAAATGGTGTACCAGGTTTGGATTGAATAATACCACTGGTTTGTATCAGATAACTAGCTGTCATAATTCCAGAACGAAGGCCAATAGGTGCAGCAAGCTTCCCTTGCGTCCTTTGTTTAAGTCCAAAAAGAACTAGTGAAAGTAGCAAGAAGCCTGGTACTGAAGGTAGGGACCTGCCATGTGTTTTCAAGTATGTTAGTACGTCACATTCTTTGTTGCTTGGTCGCACAATTGCTCATGCTTGTATAGAAAGCACATCCATCGACTGAAATAGTAGGGTGTACATTATAGTTGCATTATCTTTTAAGTTTGCTAAAGCTATCAAGTTTTGCTTGTTAATGGGGTGAAATCATACTTTGTTTTTCTTGCATTGAAAGGATTAAATCGTTCAATATCCCACCAGTCACCCATTCTCTTTCCTGACTCCTGTCAATCCCCTACCCTCATTGAGCTCCCCCACCCATCCACCCACCAGGTGACACCTGTAGGTATCAAACTACCAATCACTGCGCCTTGTGTTTCTAATCAGCTACTATTGTATTTTTTACATTCCAAACCTAGAGATGAATGTATTCAGAATTTACCAGCAGTAATACTAACCATGTTCCTCTCTCTAAAGAAACATGTTCTAACTGCTAAATAATATTCCTCTCTAAAAATACATGTTCTAACTGCTAAATAATAAAGCAGTGAAATAACATAAGGGAAAGTGGCCACAACAGACATACCGGTGAATAAGAGAAAATGCAACCCCAGATATCAGAATGGCACTGTAGTAGCCAAGGTCAACAGCAACTTCTTCTGGAAGCCATGATCTGAAAACTACTTCTTCCACCACAGCAATACTAGTTGCTGTGACAAATCCTCTGAGAGCTAGCAATAGTACATTACTAGAAGACTTGAGAAGATCAAGTGGCCTAGTCACGAATGAATATGACCCTGCACGAAGAGCTGCAAAGCCAAGTAAAATGCTTACTGAATGCACCAATCCAACAACAGTTATACCTCCAGCAAGACCTTGCAAAAATTCTTGTACCTGCAACCAAATGAAATATGCAAGTTATTATATATGTGACGGGAACATTACACAAATCTTTATTATACAAAGACCTAGTGTTACACAGGCAAGACAGTTCATACCCTTGATACAGATGCAAGATTCATCCCATATTGCTCAACTGGATTTTCGTAGCCACGTATTCTTTTACCCCACAATATGACAAGTATCATTATAGACACATACAGTCCAACAATGCAAGCATATCCAACAATTCCTGTTGAAGAACTTATTGTCCAACTTTGTACAAGTGTTGGCAGTAGAGGAATCACAACAGGAGACCATAGCACAAATACCATGAAGGAAAATCCCATGATCCTAAAAATTTGAACAGGCAGATGTTAATGATAACCTGATAACATAAAATCACCATAAAAAGGTATAATATATTTAAAAGAAATTTACTGATATGTAAAGGTTGTAAGGGACAAGAAAATTTTCACATACAACTACAGTATGAAAACTATTTCAATCAACCACTTCATTTATAAAGGAAATTATGATTTCAGGGAACAACTGTTTCCTTTAACAACCAGAGGATGGGGAAAGGGGAGCTCCATTCCGCGATAACATTCTTGCACTGTACTACTCACTCCACTGCAAGATTGAGATCCATGATTTGCTGTGTTAAAGGGATGACGGTCTTATATGTTTTATCACAGATAGTGATAGACTCATTCCATCTCCCTTCAAATATCCTATCAGCTGTACTCCGGCACCCGCAGCAGTCGCAGGCCGACTTTATTAAACCTACGACACTCACAGGCTGCGGGATTCCCTACCCATTGTTCAAACCACCTTTGGTTCTGTCATCAAGTAGTGAGTCCCTTGTCCACAAGGGGCACAGCTGCGCTCAGATCTCTATGTCTACATTCCACTCTAGAATATATCTATCTACATTCCTTTTCAGAAGGATTCACTCTCCATTCAGGGAAAGAAGGATGAGTGATTAAGAACTAGCTGTTTCTGCTCAATAAATTTACTGCATATTTGTTATGCAAATACAGAAATATTTTTATCTTTTCTCCAACTGTGGTACCACTGACAAGAACCAGAAGTATCACACCATTCTAGACCACAGAAAAGCTTGTAGAGCTTGAACTATCAAATGGTAAAAAATAATGAAAATCAATGGTTTGTCCCTTTACTCAATATGACATTATGACTACATTATAGCAGCTTCATACCTACTAACCACCTGGATCTGGGTTTGCATAAAGAACATATGAAAATTTATATGCCTCACTGTACATTTGGAAATTAAAGAAATGAAACACATGACACCAGATTTACCGATATAGCATGCTGCTTGCAAGCAAAAACAATGCCAATTCCAGTCTTCTTTAAATTCTCATACTCTACTTAACCTAATCCTTTGATGAAGACATCATCTGAATTATGTCCCTTTTTCTCTACTAAAATTATTTTGATGGTGCTAATTAGGACAACTCACCTCTGAAATAAGGGGCGTTCGCTAATACGTAAGAATGAGATGAGCCTATCAGTCAAGCTCATAGCACCACGAATACCTCCCCAGAGTAGAGCGATTTTTCCAACAAACCTCAATGCACCACCTTTTTGTCCTAGTTCAGCAAGAATTGCGACGAGCCTGCTTGCAAAAGTCAGATATGGTAAGAATATTCAAGTGAGAATGAGATCAAAAGCCATCCTAATATTTAACTAACCTTTCTTGATCAACCTCGCCATCACCCTTTGTGGGTACAACAGGAGATGCAACAGACATGGCTTTCTCAGCAAGACTGGTCACTAAATTGTTCTGGCTCTTCTCCTGTGCAGTTTCGTCAGGCCTGGTACTATCCATATTATCATGCTTTTCAACCTTCTTTTGCTGAAATATAAAAACGCTATGTAATTGCTTGAAAAGAAATAAAAATACTGTTCTAAAAGTACAAGTTAGGAACCACAAATTATTCAAAAATGTGTAGATGTGCTGACTAGGTTTACCCAAAATACCAGTACAACTCAAAGACCCATGCGACCTATGCGAGGGAAAAAAAACACTAGCCCAGGACTGGAAGACTGATTTGTGTCCAAAAGAATTCAGAGATATTATAAGAATGTCAAAATATGATCTATTTGTAAACATGACCAGAATGATGTAAACACCAAAACAAGCAACGCAGCTAAAGCATTAAGAGGATACGACTGAACTTAGAAATAAGAAGGAACTTCAGGGCATTAATTACTCACTTGATGATGTGCTACAAAAGCAGAAGCACCAAGCGCAGCTGTGACAGCCCCAACCATCATACCTTGACCCTCTGATCTTCTGATTTCCTGCCCTTTCGGTGCAACAGTTTTCTCGATAGGGTTATCTGCATTTTCTGCATTTTTTGAGGAATCATTTGCTTTTTCTTCTTTTTGTAAGGAAGCATTATTTGTGGTTTCTTCTGTTTTTGAGGAAGCATCATCCGTACTTTCTTCTTTTTTCAAGTAAGAATTCTTAAAATCAGGATCCTCACTTAAAACTCCTGACTTGACAATGGTTTTCGTATGTTTATCATGCTTAGAAATATCAACATGGAAATAATTTCTCAATGATGCTAAAATAACACCAACTATGACACCCACTGGAAGAATGTTTCTCAAATCATGAGATTGCTGAATTGCATTTGATACAGCTTCAATAACATTTTCTCCATGAGTTGTACCAAATTTGACAGTTGTTGGGTTTCTTTCCACACATGCTGCTGAGTACAACTCACAATCAAGCACAACAGCTCTAGAAACCTGAGCGGCAAGACGTTCCACATCATGTGCAAGATTTCTTTCAAGTTGCTCAGTGTTTGTTATCCCTACTTTGCGACCAACTTCAATTTTGAGGGCATTTTCTAATTCATCTCTGATGAAACTTGTGAGTGTCTCCCTCAAAGCAATATCAGGTAACTTGGTTGCTACTGTCTGCTTTAATTCATTTGACTTCTTGTCCCTGGAAACTGGATAGTGTGACAGAACCAAGTAGGGAGTATCAATAACATTCTCTGTTCTGAATTGGTCTCGCGAGGAACCAGAAATGCCAATATTTTTTGTATAGTTGCCATCTTTGTCAGACTTAGAATTGTAGTCATGCTCACTGTCCATTTGATCTGCTATTTTCCATTTACCCTCATGTGGATCAAGGAAAAGATCAGTTGCTGAATTCGAATCTGGTGGTTTGAGTTGCAATTGTGTAGAAAGAAATTCGTGAAGGTACATAGCATACTGTGCCTTCAAATAAGAGTTAACAGCTATATTCAATAAATAGTCAGGCAAGCCACTACCCTGCTTTGCAACATCTGCATCCACATAGTTCTCAATTATATTTCTTTCATAATTTCCTATTTTTTCTTTAGCAGACGATATGATACTTAAATTTGAATTTATCTCACCAATCATGCGATCCTCGGACATGATTGAATCGCCTTTTCCAGAAATGCTATTTTCTGGTTGATAAGATGATGGATTTATGGATTTCCCACTTGACTCATTGTTCATATCACCTGTCACTTGAGACTCTGTCTTATTTACAGAAGCTTCATCTGTACTTCCATCAGACTTGTCCCCGTTCTCAGACTCGTGTTGTTTCTCAAACTGGTCAATCATATTTTCGATAACTCCGAATACACTGTTGACAGCCATTTGAGTTGAGTCATCAAATCCAGTTAAGGCATCTAGTGCCTGAGTCACATTAACCGGGGGAGGTTTAGGTTCTTCTGTTTTAGATACTTGCATGCTTTGATCAGTAACATTATGTGTAGCCTTATCTTCACTGGCACGGACTGCATCACCATCTTTTTCTACCACATGAACCTGGGGACTCTCTGCTGTAGCATCAGCAGATTGCACTCGTTCTCTGGGAGCGCCATTCAAGTTGGCTGTTGATTGGTCGTCAGACACTTTTTTCTCGCCAGGCGATTGGTCATCAGAATTTTTTTTCTCACTTGGTGATAGGTCATCAGAAACTTGCTTTGGAGCTGTTTCAGTCCCCTGATCGGTCTTGTGCTGATGATCTTCACTGCTTTCATTTATTCCAGGGGTTGATTTTTCCGATCTATTGGGTTGAATTTGTTCAGTTCCCATTTCCGTTACAGCTCCAACAGGTCCAGAAGTTTGGGAAGGCTTTCCTTGTGATGACTCGATACCTTCTCCAGAACTATTATCATTAGAAGTCAAATTACCATCTTTTTGGTCAACGTCACCAATGGCTGAGGCACTTTTATTCTGATCATGCATTTTGGCATCCTTAAGGCCACTTTCGTGATCAGAATCTTTGATCTTTTCTTGGACAGCTGTCTTGGTGTTTGGTCTTCCATTCGTCCAGCCAAGTCGCTTCAATGCATCTAAACTGAAATTTCCTCGTTTTGATTGTAAAATTTCAGTCACAGAAGTTGTTAGCTTCCCGCGCACATCTTCGGGTACAGCTTCTTCTAGAGCTTTCACAAGAGTCTCACCTTGTTCAACCGCTACCAGAACCTTATGGCCAAAAAACAATATATTAGCATATTGACTTATGCCTCACAAGGCCATAGCGAGCAGATTATGCGACATGACTATTCCAAGGGGAAAAAAAGCATACCTTTAGCTTCAAAACAAAAAAATGTGTTGTCTTATTTAGGATGGGGTTTTTTTTTGGCACATATGCAAGTAATTTTGACATGTGACATAGAAAAGTTGCAGTAGTCAACCCAAATCTATCACAGGAGAGATCTCCAGATGTTAGAAGCATCTATACACTATGCAGATTCATTTTAAATGAAAAGAGACATATCTCAAGTTTATTATCAGATGTACAAATATTTAGTTTGGTCATAGTAAGCTCAAGTGCTTAAAAGTTACTCAATAATTAGGAGTGTGAATCATCAAGCAGCAGAATATGCTTCTAGGATACTTATATGAGTGTGCAACATTCCAGGATATGAGATGCCATAATCTAGGGGATATGGGTTTTTTAGCCAAATATAGATGTAGCTACAACAATGTTTTGGATTTTGCACTTGTGCAATTAAGAATGCTATTAAAAGGGACAGGTAAAGCAATAACCAGCACACACATATTTGAGGAAAATATGATTATGTGAGTACCAAACAAAATGGACAAGTTAGTCTTCTTCTGACAAAAGAAAAGTAATTTGCTTACACATATCATTATTATGTTACACATATTCTTTTTGCCAACATATTTTAACACGCTCTACATGTCTGGAGTTTTTTGTATTTTTTTAAAAAAAATGTTAAAATGAAAATTTCAAAGTGGTGCAACTTTTGATGTTTAGTTGGAACTTTGCTTAATGCGCCAAGGTTTTTTAACTTCTCCATTTGTATTTGCAAGAATACAATTTTGCAGCACATGCATTAATAGAAAATTTTCCTACTAAGTGTACATAATCAAGTGCCCTTCTTGTAGATATAGCAAATATTTATTCCATTTACATCACATAAATCACAAATAAGACAAAAGAGTGATCAGCCACATTTGATTAAGAGGAAAGGGAAAAGTAATTTGTGAAAAGAGTGAAAAAAGAAAAAGAAAAGAAAAGAAAAGGAAGAAGCAAATTTATCCAAACCGAACTCTTTAGGACCATTGGAAAAGTAAAGGTGGTTGTTTCAAAAAATGGATAAGTAAAGATTTGATCTGATCTTTTGGGAGAAAATATATTGTGCAGAAGAGAGAAATTTTGCTTAGACTACTATACCTTCTTCTTCTGATCATCATCCAGAGTACCAGGCATTGTAGCATCTAACATATTCATCACGAGACTTGCTGATTGTAGTGCATGACCTTTTTCATCATCTTCAGGAGTCTCTTCCGACTCTTCCTCATTTACATCTTTCCTTGCCCTATCCATGTCACCATTATCTTTTATCTGGCCATTTTCCTTCTCGTTAGAAACAGAATGTTGTTTTGCGGAATCAAGGAGCAGCCCATTTATTCCATGTGGCATGCTATTGTACAAAATAAACTGAGACTGCTGACGGAAATTATTGTTGTTTGGAGCCTTCCTATCATTTGCTTGAGGTTCAACAAATGCTAGACCTTTGGATGGATTAATAGTGATGTCCACATCTTTGATAAGTGGATGGCGACCCTTCAGAAGTGCAAACTCCACTGCTGACAACCACTGCATAAATACAAACAAACGATTTGATGTGAAAACAGAACATTTCTAACAAAGGAAAGGTGATTTAAAGAGTGATTCATAAGAATGTAGAGCTCTACGAAATACTACAAGCAACGATGTTTATTACAGTTTCTTATGATGTACCTTAAAATGCATCTGACAATAAGATATGCTCTAGTAGAGTAGAAAAAAATTATATCATTATTTAATAAGAGATCGCATGGAACTATAGATCAATCTTCTCTATGAAATACTGATATCATTATCCAACAGCTAATTTCAAATGTTTCCATTAATGTCTTTTCTGTACAAAGTTCTTGTCAACTTGTCAAGGATTTGAAAAGATGAATATTTGTGAATGCTTTCAATGGTGGAAGAATGCCTCCACTAAGAAAGATGGTAATGTTTACCTCTAAAGCAAGATTCTGGCACCATAATACAGCATATCTCTCAAATGTGAATACAGTTGAATGCACACAAGAACAAAGGAGAAGGCTTGTAAAAGGATTTTCTGATATTGAACTGCGTGGTACTGAAAGAAGTGGCACTGTCCCATCATCGCTCTGCAAAATATGGTTCAGGATTAGATAACCCGAAAGGTGTTCACAGTGCATGTGACTAAGATGGGAGATAACTGTTTGGACTTTAGATATCCTGGCGCTGAAATTAATATATATGCAAATGAAAAAATAATGTTATTATAGTTCAGAACTATACCTGTATAAATAGTACAGGTATTTTCACATAGGAAATTGACAGCCTTGTGCTACTTTCCGCATAGAAGTCATCAACAGTAGAAAACCCATGTGAAACCATTGATATTGCTCCATCAAAGTCTCGCAAACAATCAGATGACAGAGCTTTTTGAACATTGAAATCTTTATCTTTTCCTTGAAAGAGTTCCTGAAATAACAAGGCATTAGTCATGTTGTGCAAATGGGCTTTTTGGAACGGAAGTCCTCTTGCTAATATAGTGAATTGTTGAAACCACTTTAGAGGCAGTTGTTTGGTGTGGTTTTCAGCTCTTACATACTTGTCTTATACAGGAAGTGCTAAAAGGAGATACAGCACAATCTACTACAAAAGATTTCTTATTTGTTTTGTAAAATGATGTGAGTGCAAATGCACCAGATATGCAGGTAGTAAGAAAAGGGGGAAATTATTGAGACAGAGCAGTGAAGTCACAACCTTATTCGCACGCAGGATATCAACCAAGCCTGTCGTGAGCTTTCGATCAAGAGCGATGTGATGAGGAAATGATCTTGTTGCTTCTTGTAGGTCAAACGGATTGTCAACACAAACAGCAGCGGTAAGAGGAGTAGACTCTCCAACTTCCACTAGGTACTTTGTCAGCATATTGGCACCATATCCCCAACCAACACCCATTAGTGTTGTCCAAGGTCTTTTATTATTTATAAATCGTATCGCTGTACCGATATCGTCACTGTCAGCCGCTGTAAATAACCTACATAAGCAGGTAGTTTATAAGCCCTACAATTTTAGAACAAATATCCATCACTGCCACAACTTAGCTACAAAGCATCGTACACCAATGTGGAAAAGTTAACTGAAAGGGGCACATTAATCAACAGGAATAGAGTGAATGAATAATGAATGATCAGAATAGAGGTCCCCGATGTTACTGTTACAAGAATTTCTGTTATAACAAACCTAAACTATGGCACTCCATCCAGTTCCATATTTCCAGTCATTGAAGAATTCTGTAGATTGGATGAAAATTTCTGTTGCTGGAGAGATTTGTTAATATTTTAGACGAGTTACTCCTATAGTTGATGCTGCGGTGGTTTCCAACCTGAGAGAAGTACTGAGTTCAAAGGTGTTTAACGGCAGAATAGGAAACACCCTAATTAAGTTTTTTTTTTCTCAAACACGCAGGAGACACTGAGACACCCTAATTAATCACTCCTTGGTAAATGAGAATATAAGATCATGTCCAAAATGATAGGAAATATGGAACTGGAGGTAGTAGTAGAATAACAGGTTAATAGAGCAAGAGGATAACAGTTCTTCTCATCTTCTCGACTGCAGTTTCTAAACTTTTCTTACTTATTCCCATTGAAAACCTTGATTTTCCCAACACTTCCGACCATTTTCAGTAATATCAACTTTTGTCCAGACAACAATCCTACCCATATCAAACTTCTAAGTCAACTTTATGATTGATCTTGCAAAGATGTACTTTTTCCTTGAAATGATCACTAAAACTATCGTCCACTACACTAACTAAAATTATGTTAATTTCCAGTACAATCCACACTTACCAATCACTGCTTCTGCGATTCTTAAGTAAAGTTGTTTTGTTATCCAATAATAACGCTAGTTATTCTAAACATTTTTACTGATGTTACACATCAGTACTAGCTACCACCAAGGTCCTGTAATCTTCTAGCCTGAGTTCAGCATGGATAACAGAGTTGTGTATGAGACGGACTGGAATTCCCATTTACCAAATTCAGCAATAGTACATAGGTTTAGCAAACATGGAAAACACTATAAAATTTAAAGTGAATTATGCAGAGGCTACAAGAAGCTTCTAATTTTGCTCACAGAAACTGTTTCTTACAAATACTAATACTAGTAAAAGCTACTCCCTCCATCCCAAAATATTACAATTTTTAGGTCTCAGAATTTGTCCCAAAATATAACAACTTCTCCATTAATATTCTCTTCCCAACCAATCACAACCCTCCACCATTCACTTTTTCTACCTACCTCCACTACTTATCCAATCACAACACTTCACTATTCACTTCTACCTACTTTCTTAATAACGTGTCCAACCCTAAAACTTCTTATATTCTGGGACGGAGGGAGTATATTCAGGGACGGAGGGAGTAGTAGTCATCACTAGCTAAGCACTATTGCACGTTTGCAGCAAAGATGTTGTCCAAAGCTTTGGAATGGTAAATAAATAAGGGGCATAAATTTCACCTAGGTGTTGTGAGGGGTGACCCGCCGCAGCCTCTGGGGTTCATCACAATGGGGAAGTAGCCATTCTTCAATGCGTCCAACACAAACACCTTGATTCCCCTCTCCATGCTCCCCTCAGGCGTGCCGGGCACTATAAACACCGTGGAATCAAGCCCATGCTCCTTGCCCAAATCCAAATTGTCCGGCCAATCGAGCGCGATCACCCCGCCGTCCTCCGCGGGAATGCAAACCCTCTGGTAGAATATGTCGCCGGCGCCGCCATCCCCGCCGCGCGCCGCGGGGATGCTTCCGCGGCTCAGGTTGACGTAGTGCCGCTCCTCGGTGAGGAGGCGCTCGTTGACGCCGTCGAGCAGCACGCCCCCGTCCTCGAACGACACGGAGGGGCACCGCAGGAGCACGCACCGGTTGAAGGGCGTCGGGCTGGTGAAGAGGATCCAGTCCCCCGCGGCATCCCCGCACGCGGCGGCGTAGCCCGAGTCCGGCTCGGGGGGCGAGGAGGACGGGGGAGGGAGGCCGTTGCGGACGTAGGAGGAGGAGGAGGAGGAGGAGAAGGAGGAGGCGACCGCGGCGACGGCGGCGGCCGCGGCGGGGCCGACGAGAGCGAGCGAGGACGGGATGCTGGCGAGGAGGTCGGAGAGGGAGGCGCGGAGGGTCGGGCACGGGCGCGGGCGGTGGCGGTGGTGGCGCCGTCGCTGGCGGCGCCTGAGGATGAGGGGGAACGTGGCGGCGGCGGCGGCGGGGAGGAGCCGGGGAGGTGGGGCGCAGGCGGGGCGGGGAAGCATCAGGCGGAGGCGGGGGCGGCGGCGGCGGCGGCGAGGGAAGCGGTGGTGGAGAGAGGCGGACAGCCGGATTGGGAAAAAAGGAGAAAGGGAGACGTCGACGTGGGGTGGGGTTGGGGGAAGGGAGGCTTTTCCGTCGAAAAGCTCTCTCGCGAAGGTGGGGGCCCCTGGGGGGCTCTGTCGCTGGGCGGGTGGGGCCCACCTCCGGGGGAAGGGTTGCGTGGCGCGCGCGGGTGGCTGGGCGAGAGCAACGTGTACGGCGCGGGGTGGAGGTGAGGGGTGGTGGGGCCACGGGGACAGGGAGAGGAGCGGGGATTTTGTGGCGGGAGAGTGGGGGTCGGGTCTCGCGGGATGAGGCGGCGAAGAGGCCGCGGCATCGTCAGCGCGACGGGGAAGGGACGCGTGGCGGCGTCCGTTGGCGGGACCAGATGCTGGATTTGGGAATTTGGGATCACCTGATTACAAATTAAGCAGTTCCACTGAAACCATTGGATTAGAAATTAGCGTCCTAGATCTTTTCTAAATACTGCTCATAAAGGACCGTACGTTCCTGTGGTAGGTACTCTAGCAATTACTGTTTAAAACAACCGTAGCGTCTGTTTCAGCCGTTTGATTGTCTTGATTCTATAATGAAAAACGGTTCCAACTGCCAAACTTGTAGTTTCTACTATGACTGCACTGGATCCTTATCTGGGCTTGGAGTGGTGATCTGGAGTTTGTACGATTGCAGGTTTGACGATGTTTGACTCGTATATGCAGGTTTGAGAATGCCATTTTTTTCTAAAAAAAGAGTTCAAATAATATCCTAAATTTTGGATGAAAGTATAGCACTCTAAACTTTAAAACCGGATATTCAACCCTTAAATAACTCTTAAATTTTACAATACCGTTTATATAAAGATGGTTTTACGGTTGAGGGATGTGATTTATCGAGGGTGAGAGTTGAGGGAGCTATAGTAGACTTATTCCTAGTAAAAACAGCAAGGCCCACCATAGGCCCGAAGGCAGGTCTACTTCCTTTTCCCGTTCTTCTGGCGAAACTAAATAAAAACGAAATAATACAAAAGAGCAGAGAAGCGGCGTCTCGGCGTCTCGCCGCCGGCGGGAGGTCCGCCGCCCTTCCAGGCTGCAGCGGCCGCCGCGACCACAGGTTTGACCAGCCCCCTCCTACACTCCTCGCCGCTCCTCGCCGCCGCCGCGTCTCCCTGCAACTACGATCGTTCCGCTAGCCCTAGGCCCTAGCCCTAGTAGCGAAGGACTGACCCAAGCGCCATCGAACCCGAGAAGTTTTTTTTTTTTTTTGGGGTCCTTCGATATGCCCATCCGATGCAATTATCTGCTTGAATTTGATCTTCCTTTTTCACAATCACTGGCTAGTAATTTAGATTTTTTTTCCTTGACAAAAAAATATGATAATTTGAGGGAAAATGTTTGATTTTTCAAGATCAAGCTTTGATGCTTTATCCACCAATCTTCTGTTGATTATTTACATAATAATCTCCGTGGATTATGCATCTCCTTTTCTTACTACTTTTACTCTCTCCGTCAAAATGACACGAACCTATGTTCTTCTCAATATCCGCTGCATCACTATTACACATACGGGATCAGTGTAATTGCTTACCAATTACTGTATCTCACAGATGTCGACCAATGAGATCTCTGGCAGCAATGAGCTGTGTGCTCAAGATCCAGAGGTCATGACTTTCTATAATCTTCGCGGTTCTGATAAAACCACAATCCTGAGGAAGAAAGAACTGCAGAGGCTGAGAAAGGAACGCATCGAAAACAAGTGCTTTAGAAAGAAAGAGAAGATAAGGAAAGCTAAGGAAATTGTGGACAATGCCCTCAAGATAAGAGAAGAACTGCATCAAAAGTATCTCAGAGCCGAGCCATGGTTAAAAGAACAGGAAAGACAACGACTTGAAAGGAACAAACGTTTTACAAGTAAGAATTTTACTCTAACCCTTGCCTCCTCAAGTTACTCTTACTGTCATCTAAAAGGCTGCGCTTTCCTTCCTTTGTTACTAACTTAGTACCTCTGCCAACTTGTTGCAGCTGAGATCATTAACCAACCTCCAGATTATCGTGGAGGTTTGCTTCTCTTCCCATTTACACCTCTATGATATGAGTTAATGCGAATAAATATAATTCACCATGTGTATGTGTTCTGCATTATTTAAACATTATTGCCTTTTAACCTGTAATCAGAATGGGATCCATATGTATCGGATGATGAGTTCGGGACATCATTTGAGCTGAAGCGTACGGGTTGGGAAGTTGAGAAGTTTGCCTTAGACCTTGCTCGAAGCACAGTTGGACTCGAGTCTTTCACTGGTGCACATCTTTATAACATATGATTTTTCCTTGTGTTTGTATTGTCTTTAGTATACATAAATGGTTCAATTTCAATCTCTGCAGGAGAGAATCATCTATTCTCTTGCTCTGGTACTATTATTGAATTTCTGAATGGTATTTGTTCTGTGGTAACATCTGCAAGTTTAATTAGATGCATGGACAAAGACGAGCAAGCTGATGAACTTAAGGTGACTGCATTCTCCTTTTCTTTGCTTTTTGGAATCATTGTCTTTCTTCAATGGTGTCACTAAACTCTGCTATGTGATATTGGTCTCCAGATTAATGTATGGTTACCGAGTGGTGAAAAATGTGAGGGTTTTATTTCAAATGTGGATCTGTACTACAACATTTGTTTGGTTACAGTTCACTGTACTTCTAACCTGCCAAAGAAAAGCTTCAATGACGACACTGGATTTTTTGATTTATATGGCAACCATTCGAAAGATGTTGTAGCTTTAGGCCGTAGTTGTGAACCTTGGAGCTTGAAGGTGGCTTCGGGAAAGCTAATTCCAAGAAGACACCGATTTGATTGTGAAGAACTTCTTGTTTCTTCGTGCAAGATTACAAAGGTAAGTAATATGTATATACTTATTTTGCACATGTTTGATCCACTAATTTTGTTGTTTTCATTTAAAAACTGTTTAATGGTGATTTGCTGCTTTCAGCCCCTTGTGTGAACACTGTTTCTTAGAGCTGTAGTTGCTAAATTTGTCATCGAATACAATGATTTTCTATGTGTGAATGGCTCTTGCTAAATTTATCATAGAATACTTCCATATCATTTTATCTTAAATAGTTTCCACTAACATATGATTAGATACAATGCTCAAAGATATGTGTTACAGACAATATTGATGCTTAAAACTACAGGTGAAAAAGAACAAAGGTACTTATGACTAATATTACACCATTATGATTGATGAGATCTATAACTTAACTGTGCATGTTGATGTTTGTCAACTCTTGAAGAGATACAGTTGGATTACTCTGCTATGACTTAAACAAAACATGCAACCCAATTATGCATGTTAATTTTTTCTGCTGGTCAGGAGAGATACATTTGCAACACAGAAGTTCTGCTTAGATGGTGAAGCCATGGAACTAAACATTTTTTTTTCAGCATGTGCTACCCAAGATTTAAATATCTTCTCCAACAGCAACTTTGTTTCTCGCAAATGATCAATTAATTGCTGTATTTTTTGCAGATAGGTGTTGGTGGTCCTTTGATGGATTTTAATGGAAATATCGTTGGAATGAACTTCTATGACAAGAAAGAAACACCTTTCCTTCCAAGTTTCATTGTGTTGAAGTGTTTACAGCACTTCAAAGAATTTGGGTATGTATTTCGGTCATATAGGTTTGAGTCATATATCAAATAGCTCGATTTGTATTTCTTCTGTTTTGTAAAGGAAATAGCATGATAGATTTGCATGTTTTAATCTACTAAAGTCATAGTTGTACCATGTCAAAAAAAAAGTCATAGTAGTGACAATATGCCCAAAACACAGATACATTATTTAGGTCGGCTTCTATAATTATTTGTAATATTGAAGCAAGAGAGTGAAACTTGCATTTTTAGTTTAAGGTCCAAGTTTTTATAGACATGATTTACTAGTAAATATATTCTTCATCTTAAAAAAAGGTTCTGAGCTACATAACTAAGCAAGCAAAGCAATTAAGCTTGGTATGTCTAATTCTAGACTTTGGAAAGAAATTTCAGCATTTATGTTTAATTTTGTACTACTTTTTATTGGAACAAGCCAGTATGTCAATTAAATCTGTAGTGTATTTGATGTGCTTCTTGACTAATTATTTACATCATTTTTTTTAACATCCAGTCATTACTATACCAATCAAGTCACACTGTTAGTTCGTGGTAATATTGGGACAACTTAGTAAAACATGTGGTTTGCTTACCACTTTTAGAATAATGGATAAAATGCTGTCTGGTTATATAGGAAGGTTGTACGGCCATTGCATGGATTAAGGGTTGGAAATCTTCACAAAGAGTCTCTCGCTTCACTTGAGAAGATATGTCATGAGTTCCCTAAGGTTTGTGGTGTGATTGTGGAGAAGGTATGCATCCTTTTCTTATCATACAAATTTGTCACATTGATGTTAGTGAAATTGGAATTTTAATGGTTTATTCTTATCATACTAACTTGTCACATTGATGTTAGTGAATTTGGAAATTTCATAGTTTATTGTCATCTATTCAATCTTTTGTGGCCATAGAATTTTGGCTTAGGGATAAACCAAACGTCAAATACTGTTTCATACCAAAAATTTGTTATCTGTAGAAATTTCCACTAACACCACATCAAAATTTGGTTAGGCATGAAAACAGACATACTATGGACTGGTTTGGTATGCTAGCCTAATAAAATTTGGTAGCGCTAGAATTGCTCATTTTCGTAGCAAACCAAAAGCACACATGCCTTAAACAAAATTTAGTATTGTTCCTTGCGACCTTGTGTAAATCTGGTGCTCTATTATTAGTAGCAAACCAAACAATGGCAGACAACAGTAAAATCTGGTAACAAATCAAATTTGGCAATGCAAATTTTGGCCAAAAAAAAGTAAGGTTGATTTTGGCATCAAATCAAGCATGCCTTATATGTTGTCTTTTTAATATGAGACCGAATTGGTCTTTGTCTTTTGATCTTATTATGAGCTAATTGAATCACATTTATTTGTTTTTATGGTCAGCTGTGGTGAATCAGTTGCTTTCTTTTGTGCGTTTATACTATAGGTAGAACCTTCAGCAGAGCATTCTGAGATAAAAGTTGGGGACATCATCACCCATCTTGATGGTATGGCTTTTTCCAATGCTGCAGAGGTATATTTCTTTTTCTTAACCTTAATTTTTTGTGGGAACAAAGAATTAGTAAAGCATATTGTGCATGCTATTTGTCTTACTTTATTTTTTATTTGCCTCTTTGGTTTCCTTTTGCCTGCTGAGGGCATATGTAGCACTCTTTTGACGACCATAAATACAATGGATACAAAGTAGAGTCCTTTATGTCTGACTGTCGAGAAACATAATAATGTATGAAAGTCATGCCCATGATTCCAAAGATTTTTCCTGTCATATACTGAAAAACAACTAAGTGGTTTGAGAAGTCAAATAAAAAAATATAGGAAAAAGCTACCCAAGGTAATAATCATCTGTATAACCGTTTCCATCAAGTTACCACCAGGAGCTGGTAATCTAAACGGGATGAAATCCCAGGTGGTTTTCTAGATCTTATATGAACATAATGTTATACGATGATATTTTATTTGTTGTACAGTTCGGTGGCATACTGCTCGATAGGTGTGTCACACAGATGCTAGAAAAACAGAACTTGTCAGAGGACTGCAACCAGATGATAAGCCTCAAGGTTTTGTTGAGTTCATTAAGTTCTTCTGTAATGATTATCATTGACATTCTAATTGTAGTTTTGCATCTTGAATATTGGATCCAGTTTTCTGTGAAAACAAGAGGTGGCATATCTGAAGCCACAACAAGAACAATCAACACTGACAAGTTTACTCCAAGTGGACTCAACAGGTAATTTGGTAGAAACTACAAACAGCATTAACATAGTTTTGATTCTAGATAGATAAACAGCACAACTATTTATTTATGTGATGTAATGAATTTGTTATCCTGCAGGTGGCCACTTCCCAGGCCGATTATTGTTCGGCAATATGCTCGTGGAGTTCTATTCTCCGAAGATTGGTACAGTTAGCAGGACTAGGGTTTGTTTTATCCTTATACGTAGAAGTTTCTCATCATGAAAAGTATTTATGTGTAAGGTGGAATTACACGGATAGTGTGAAATGTTAATAAGGGTTTCACCAGAATTCAAGTTGAGTAGTGAAGCTGTATCGGTGGAATTTTTTTGTATGGTATTACCATGACATCCTCATGGTAGGCACAAAATATAGCACCTGACTTGGGAAAGGCGTTCAATTGTCGAGTTAAAAACATAGCTGTTGTAACCGTTAATCCGTGATGGCGATGGGATCGAATTCCTGTTTATGCCCAATGCTCGTTATGCTAATTGAGTTCATAATAATTCGCAACCACAAGATAAATTGTTCATGCACATTTTATTTTGGGAACTCAATTGTTTGGGAATTCATCTGAGTAACTCACAGCTCACACTCGCAGCACGCATTCGTGCGTGACTATTAATAAAGCTCACACTCAGCTTAGCTGCTGACTGCTGTTAAGAGACTTCAACAGTTCCAAGGAACTTTGAGGCTCAGAAGACACCAACACCCCAGGTGTGCACGCACAAAAGGATAGAAAAGCTACTCACAGCAAATGCAAATGTGTTGTTGCTCAAAATCCTCGTATGCTCCTCTTTCTCTCTCTCCACAAGCACAAGTAAATAATGATGATAAAACAAGTAAATAAGGGTCCATATGCTCCTTTTCTGATGTTGCGGGTCTCTGACCAAAGTTGGGCAGTGAATAATGAGAAAAGTTAGACAGTACAGGAAGCTCAAAATAGGCCGAGTTCAGTGTGAGGCCAGCCTGTCTAACAGCCACTTACATTTCATCAGTCTGACACCACCGTGCCCCAAAATGAGTCACAGGTCAGCTTACAAAAGAAAAACCACCCACATTGTATCATCAACACAGGTTGGGCTATCAAATTTTCATAGAGAATAATAATAACAAAAAAGAGACACTCAGATCGTGATGGCCTTCACCATTGCTCTTGAAGGTCTGAGCTCGTCATCAATGCAGATGCGCATAGCAGCTAAAAATGAGAAAAGCTGCAGAACAATGATCAAAGGCCCCTCATCATCTTCTGCCTGCATTATAGTAATGTACAATAGCTCTGATGTCAAAACAAGTACCAACCGATTTAAACAATTACCAATAAAAATTAAACCTACCTTCTAAATCAACACCAGCTGCTTCCGCTACATTCTTAGGCCCATTCCTTTTCTGAATTGAGCAAGACAGCATTCACGTGACGAACAATTTCACCAATAGTCTAGTAAAGAGAAGATGCAACCATTAAAAAATAAGAGCATGTTCGTAAATAATTTTGTTTGAAATAAATTAGGCATCATACCTCTCCTTCTTTTTTATATAGCAGGGAAAGCCCAAGTTGTATGGATTGTAAATTCAATGCAGATACGATGCCACCATAATCTGATGTTGATGTGGAGCTGCTAGAGATATAATGAGTGCCTCTAGATCTAGTATAAGAAACATTCATGCCAACAAGATTTTTATTTTCATTAAATACAGCTGATCCCAAATGACCAGAATTGCCAGTTGAGCAGCCGTGCACAAATACGATAGCGTCTTTGTTCCGTATCCCTACACCACTGTTTATCACTCAATATAAGTCGCACGTCTTAAATAAAAATTAGTAATACAAAGAATATAAAGTTTAGATTCTTACTTCACAAGATTTCCTGAGATGAAGGTTCTGTCCCTTTGATTTGTGTTGTAACCAACAGTGAATACCTTTTGAGAATGATCAATCTCTTGATCACTAAATGTGACGGTGGCTCCATGAATCATATCAATATTGTGGATATAAATTGTTGCACATTTAAACTCTGGCCGCACCTTTATTCTCTTCCAATCAATAATTTTTGAAGTTCCATCAAAAAATTTTACCACACATGATTCATCTTTCCTTTTACTAGCATCATCTATTGTTGTTAAAACGCAGCATGATCTCTTTCCCGAAGCAAAAATTATACCAGTAGCGAAATATGTTTCTTTCTTCTCTTCATCATTGTCCTTATAAAAACTCAATGAAACGACGCATCTCTCACAATTGGCATTAAAATCGAGGATATAATCTCCATAAAAAGAACTTCCAGCCTAGCATTTAAAAATGGGTTGTCAAAATAAACACATAATTTTTACTACAGGTTAACATTTCAATTGTTACACTATCATTCAAGTATTATGTACCATAACACTAAAAGACAACTTGCTTATGACTATTTTGGATTACAAGGAAAAAAATTAGAATTTTGTATAGACATAAACAGATATACAACATGATTGAAACCTACAAAATACCAGTGGTGTACTTGATGTTGTTAGGATTTGAAACATATTGCATGGAAGATTTATGCATAATAAGAACAATATACAAATACAACAGAAAAAAGGTGGAGTTATATTAACCTGGAATAAGCTTCCCATCGCAATATCCTACAAGATCCGATTGATGATGACTAGATCAAGCTTCTAACACCTAAAAATGTAACAAATTTTTGCTTAGAACAATACATGACAAGCTTTTCGTATCTACAATGTGAATTAAAAATTGTACAACGCTCAAGTTTGAAGCATAGCCAAGGGATGTATACACTGTTCGTTTCAACCACAGCTTGAGAAAAGAAGAGTCTAATAAATAAATTTCTATCTATCTATTCTGTTGATGTGCCCACTCAAAAGTTCTACAACACCATGAAAAAAAATACTAGACCAAAAGGGTGGAACAGGGTGTACCTACCACATACCTTTCCGACCATGATGTGCCAAAGTATTGGAGTCAAAAGGGACGAAGCAGTGGGGAATAGGAAACAGTAACTGGCAGCAATGGCAACAAGGATTGATGATGGAGTAACTGGGTCAACTGCAGTGGCTGGAAGCATAGAAAATATGATTTTCATGTCTAAGGCACAAAAAGAAATTACACAATAACAAAAGTTGAAGCATAATCAAGAGATTAGATATGTATACAGTGTTCATTTCAACTACAACTTTAAGAGATATATTTATCTGCCAAAAGAAGGGCAAAACATGCAGTTATAGCCTATTGAATAAGAACAGTAGTTCATATATTTTTACGAAGAACTTCTAAAAACAACAGCTTGCAAGTCTCTTGAAAAGTTGAAAGTAGATAAACCAAGGTTGTCTTTGTTCTTTAGAGCGAAAGGCACACATAATACTCTACACACTTGCATCCTATTAGAGAAAACAATCAATAGCACAAAAATTTAAATTTTCCCAAATTTATGGACGAATCCTCTAAGGTAATGGGTAGGGAATACATTAAGTATAACAACAGCCACGTGAAATGAACCTTTGTCCAGCCAACAACTGCGCAGACAACATAAGAGGCTTTGAGGGATGCGGGCGGCGGGCCATTGGAATTTCCCCTTGTGTCTAGTTCTACGCCATGATAACAAGAAAATTAAATGCCCCAGTCCTACCAGATCAATACACAACATTTGGTGCAAAATACGATAACTGAAAGGGAAATCAAGGATATGCCACTCTTTAACTCGCCATTCTAGGATTTGCCCTTCTTAAGGATCTAATTGATAATATGGCACACTTTGGGTCAATCAGTCACTTTGGACTTAAATGTTTCTTTTAAAACTTTCATTGTTCATTTATCTTTCAAATCAGACCATATTTGCTCTACAAAATGTGCCCCTACTAACCAGATTCCCCACCTCTACATGGTGCGGCCAGACCAGGCACGCCACTCAAATCCAGCTTTCACTCCTCTCTCTCTCTCTCTCTCTCTCTCTCCTACCGTTAAGCAAGCAGTCTAACAACAATAGCCGGGCTGGTGCTTCCATGTCCGCAACACTAGGCTCCTCCACTGCGTCGTCTAAGGTCACAAGCGACTCCATTCGCCTTGGGGATCATCTTCTCGGACTCTCGACCAGTGAATCTTTGGGACCAGTGAACTCCCGTCTACTAGGTCACAAGTGACTCATGCTCAGGTCTCCCTAATTAATCGAATACAGTAGAAGGGTGAAGAGAATGCGGGTGGTAAGTACCTTTGAGAAAGACGGAGCCGCGCGGGGATAGGAGCGAGTAGCCGGTGCGGTGGTGACGACGGAGGACGGGCTAGCCGGCCGGTTGACAGCGGCGGCGGGCGGCGGCGCTGGATCTATCCGAGTCGCTGGGGTCGGGTCGGGTCGGAGGGAGCTCTGCTCGGGGAAGTCGAGGAGGGGCTACACTACACAGTATCTGTACTCTGGGAAGGTTTCCTTTTTCTTTTCTTGAATGCACAATTACTATTTTTTTTCTCATATAAATTACTATTCCATCCGTACCATAATATAAGAGATTTTGACCATTTGCCTTTCAATAAAAAAAAATCCTTAAACTAAAAGGTTTCTCATCTTTTCTCTTTCTTTTTTTTTTCTTTTACCTTTAAATAGTGCTCTTATTAACCAGTTGGCATCATTGTATCGTATGTGATCTAGTGTCTCTGTCTATTCCTCTCTTTTTTTTTATTGAGACGACGGCCATATTGCTCAGTGCGTACAAACTATCGACAAAACCATCCACTTTTACATTAGACTAGAGCTTGGCGCGTCGCCTGCCCGTAATGATGTTGAAAAAACACATGATAATTAGGGTTACTGAAAAAAAAGAAGAAAGCAGATGGTTATAGATAACCAAACTACAGTACTAATTACAGGCCAACAAATCATGCACACTTCATAAAAGCGATTATTCAACCGATGCTACAGCCAAGAAAAATTTTCATATCTGTAAGATCTATGTTTACATATTTTGATCAACCATAGCGATTCAAATACTAATCAACTGGTAGACAATCCCTGTTACATGAACCGCAATTACCGCATACCTCACGGTGTTTCCTTGGATCAGCATTTGCACCTTGAGAAAAGCATGTCAAAATCAAATTCCCTGGCAAGCACCCAATGCGGAAACCTAACCAGGCGGGGGAACAAAAACCAAGGTCTCGATCAATTACTTGAGCAGTCATCTATGGTCACCATGATGGAACCAGTATGGTTATGTCCATGAACAACACCGGTGTTCTAAAAACTTACAGTTCCATACCATATCCATGACCTACCATTGAAAGAATATTATAAAGCTGATCTGACAGATATAATCACATCGATCTCAAATCAACAATTCCCACCTTAGGGTCAGCATTTCCCTGAACTTGTACATAATCACAGCGTAGGAAAGATGAGGAATAAAAAACCTCAAACCTAATCGCATATCTTTCGGAATACAAAAATATCTATTCCATTATACTCTTGCATATCTTTTTGCAGGGCAAGTAATGGCATAACAAAAAAAAAAAACACGGTGGTAGCACGAACATTGCCATGGCTAAGGAACCGCAATAGCCCTCTCTGCAACTGATATCTTCATTAATCTGAAAGTAGTAAAGCATAGTAGTGGACTATTGGCATCATGGTTCTTGATTATCTGGCAAAAGGAATGGAACAAGTATGAAAAGAGCACCAGTCGAAAACAATACTCCTTCCATTCCAAAATATAAGGCACAACCACCCTTAACCCAAAGACCAAGAAATAATTATTATCACCTCTAGATTGGATTACCTTAATAAATAGAATGTATGAACCCAATAAAATTAGAGATCTTGATGGTAGAGGATTTAAATAATAATATTTTAGTAGAAAAAATGTGCTAGTTAATGACATACATGCATGCACACCTTATATCATGAAACAACTTTAAAAAGTAGTTCTGCCTTACATCATGGAATGGAAGGAGTAGCAATTATTAGCTAACTATATAGCCTACAATTGAATAAGCAATATTAGCAGCATAAGTCATTTAACTTTTTCAACATTGTTTATCCTCCATAACTTATTTTTAAGTCCTGGATCCTGATCATTTGTATACTTCTGAACTACATGAATTTCTCAAGCGAGTCCTATTGCAACGCATTTTGTTCTCAAGATTAAATTACCCAAAGCCAAATTAAAATAAGACAAGTCACTTTTTATTACAGTATAGAAGAAAAAAAAATGAACTCCACTTTGGTTGAGAGCTAACCACATCAAATACAGGTACACAGAAAGCTCACCTAGCATTAAAGATGATCGGTGGAAGCAATAGGTTGAGAAGATGTCCTCAGTGAACACAAGTGTGTGAATTCTTCCCTCAACTGACAAGCAGAATCACACCTCCAGTGATCAGCCCCTGAAAGCACCATACCGCAAAACAAAATTCAAACCACTTCACATAAGCAAAACCACAAACACCTGGAGTGCAACGGCACAGAGTTTACACGCTGGTCTCTTTCTAGCAGATGCCCAATTGCAATGCAAGTGCATACCAGCGCTAGGAAGATGTTGACTGCAACAACAGACCCATGGTCTGACACTGATAGGTCACGGCAATTGAGAACAACAGCTCCCAAATCCAGCACCATTTCGATCAACATCTGAGTAGACCCTCCACAGCTTCCACTATTCCAGCAGCCTGGCAGCATGTAAACAAAATTTTCATTGATAATTAGTTTCTCACTCCAAACAAAAACGTACAGGAGGCGCGCAATAATTAGTTTCTCATGATCGCTAAAAACTTTAATCGAAGAATGAAGGAGGAGATGTGGGTGGCGGCGGCGGCGAGGGCGAGAGAGGGAGAATGGCCATATCAACACGCCTGAAAAGATATGAGAAGAATACAATTGGTTGTCCATACCATCAGGAAGATTCACAGCTTGAATCGTTCTCTGATTTCTTGAATAAGTCATCACTTTTCTTGAGAATTCCTTAACTAATGAATTATCTGAAAACATCAAGGGAGTCTCTCAGCAATTGGATCCCTCACATAAAACAGTCGAATAGGCATCCTTTCAGGATCATCAGTTGGAGGCTCTTTAGGTATATCACGGTACAGATGTCTGAGAATGAAGAGAGCAGTATCATGATCTCGCCAATAATTGCTACAAGAATAAACCTGCAGGCCAGTTAAATGGTGAAATAGACATGATAAAACAATTAGCAAACAACAGGATTGGTTATGGAACCTACGTATGAGATCCAAGGGCAGATAAGTATAGGTGTTGAAATGTTTTCTCCTGAAATCAGATGATTCAGACTGTAAGCTACAACATATTTGTACTGACATAAATAATATACAAGCCAGAAAATAAAGGGGTCAAGGGAATTGGTGATGTTGACAAAAGGGTTCGCAGTCCTGACACAGGAACCACTAAACCAACGGAGACTGGGGAACTAGCCAATTAAGCTTGCCAGTGGTTATATGATTTCCGCTGTCAGTTCTTTCAAGGCACAGTAGTTGGTTAAGATAGGTTAGCTAAAGGGTTACTGAACATATTAGGCATATTTTAAATCATGTTCTCACTCAATTATAAGTGCATTTAACAGTATTTAACCTCTTGGATTTATGTGCTCTTTTATGAGCCAAAATTTAACCAACTTTAGAGTTTATGGGTTTAACTCTCTTGTGAAGACTAACTCTGAAGCTAATTTAGGGTGTTAAACTAATCACTTATATTGTTTAGGGTGATTTAAGCTCTCACCATTCATGTCAAAAGCAATGTACAGTACTTTTCACATCCACAGCAGACCACACAATTTCAATGCTTACACATACACCAGCAGAGAGTGAAATTGAACTTGCTTTAATAGGAAAAGTTTGATAACCTGAAGTACATGGTCAATCCGACCATCTGGTGAACCTGTCAGCCTTTCCATCAGCATGTAACCATATGACTTCTCTTTCTCATTATTGCTGTCAACATCCTCTGAACAACCCAAAAACGTACTCAGAACATTGCTTTTTGTGACTTGCAATGTGTAGAAGACAGAAAAAAATCTACCATATGCATACCGTCTGTGTCATTTCTGCTCAGTGATAGCAAAGCAGCTACTGCTTTAACCTCACACAAAAGGGAGATTAAAAGTCCCAACTCATTAAGAAAGAGCTACGTGAACAGCTATGTTTCTAGATCATTCACAGGTAACAAAGTGTTTATGTACCAAGGCCCATGTCTCATATTACCATAGCCAAAGAGCAAACCTTACCTTCAGTGACTTGAACTGGCGAGCAACAGCTTGAGACCGTGCAGCAATATCTTCAGTGAAATAGTGAATTCCTGCATGACATGTCAACCCAAATAAGATAAATCAGATAAACAAGAGTAATTTACTATAACAGAGACACTCGCCTAAAAGGTGTCCAAGAATATACTGAATCACTCACCTGCACTCCTACATGTATCCTCTTTCCCCCTCTATGGTAGGGTACAATTACAGGGCACTTGCTTATGTAATCTTCACATACAAGTGGTTCGATCCTGTATAAAAGCCAACTTAGATTCATGAGACATGCTCCTCGATTTGCAACAGATAAGGACAGTCTTCTCCAGTACATAAAGAGAAGTGATGAAAACACCATTAATATATGTACGAAAGCTGCAAACCTGTATGCTACAGGATCAAAGGGATGAAAAATGTTGAACATCTGACGGCAGCATGGCATCACTTCAACTATGTCCTCATTTTGCCAATAATCTTGCCCCTGCCTTTAAAAGAGATTACAAACTTCAGAAATAACATAGCAAATAATCAACTGTCAATTGCCAGGAAAGATACAAGAGAAGCTGATGAGAAAGCAAGAAAGATTTCAGTTCTGAAGAAATATTTAGCAGATGGAAGGTTATTTTCTGTGTATTGCTAATATACTCCTGAAAAAAAACATCTAAATTGTATGTAGTAAAAATATACTATTGTTGTTTGTAGTACTGCTGACCAACACATCCAATCGTCTATTGACAACAAGTTCCAAATATTATTGGCTGCAGTAAGAAATATTCCAAGTTGTGTGAATTCCAAACAATCGGGAGTACCTTCATCGATTATATTCCCAATTACAAAATCCCTGAAAAGTAGCTGATAAAATTATACGTAAGGTTGGTGCTAAAGCTAATTCTTTGTTTGTTTTTAACATTTCTTCAGTTCTCTTCCAGTCTGAAGTTAAGAAGACGATAGTTGCAGACAAGAGATCAATCTAAAATTGATCATAATTGAAATGGTGGTGACTCATGAAAATTGTCTACTGCTGAAATCTACAATGCCTCCCAAATCCCAATTAGATGGATGAACTTTGGTCGGCATATATCTTTGTGGTTACAAAAATGTCCATGCAATTTCATATTCACATAATCCCTCCAGTCAATTTAGATGATAATTTTTTGCACTAAAGTTGGTGTTACAAACGGCATTGCTGTTAGGAACGACATATATGAATGGTTTGGGAGTTTTTTTTGTTCATATGAAATCTTAAGGCTTCTTTACGTCCACATTGATTTGGAATTATTTTTTACTATCGATTAGATGATCCACTGGGGCAATTAAAATGATTGACTATTCATTTCTTGCAAGTAAAAAATCACTAAAACAAAGGAAGAGGAATCTGCATTATTCCCAAAGGAACAGAGCAGAGAACGCGTAGGTGAGAAGGTACTTACATCTCCATGATACTCCTCAAGTTTCCAAACTCAGCAGAGATGTATCCAACCAAATTATTATTGCTAAAATTTCTATAGGAATAAGAGGATGTTGTCATGACATAATACAAGTATTTTATTTTATTTTTTTTATAGAAAAGTACTATACTATAGAACCTACAGTCACAGAAGATGCTCTAAGCTCCCAATTGCTGAGGGAATTGAACCACCAACCATGTTACAGGATAAGCCCCTTCAAATATATCAGCTAACACGCCATATCATGAGAATCGCTTGCTTAAAAGCAATTGCAGAATGCAAATTAACTTCTGGTACTTACGATGTGTCCAAGTTTTTCATTTTTGCTAGTTCAATGGGAATGGCTCCACTAAGATAGTTTGATGACAGATTCGTAGAAGCTACGGATGGAAACACAAATCATTAGGCACTATGAACAGAACTAAATTTATGGCAGGCTTGAAGGAAAATCACCTAAAACCAATAACACTTACAAATAAGTTATACTCTCAAGTTTGTGCAATGAACGTGGAACAGTCCCATTTAATTTATTGCCATAAGCATTGCTGTTACAAAGCTAAAGTTAAGAGCCCTGCCATCGGAGAGGATATAGAACTTCAGGAGAACAAATGAAACTTACAAGCTAATGAGATTTATGCATGAGCTTATATTATCAGGGATTTGTCCTTCAAGGTTGTTGTTTGCCAGGTTCCTGTGAAAAACAAATGACATGGTCCACTGACTGATTTAGCATTCCAGGTAAGTATCAATTAACAAAGGATGAGTAGAGTTATACAAATCAAATAAGCTCGTCAAATTTCCAAGCTCGGGCAGAATGAGCCGCCTGCCCGCTTCCTAGCCATCCTCCTCATCCAACCCCGGCAACAACAAAAGTAGCACCTGGCGGAACACCCCTTGTGGTTGCTTCTTGCTAGCCAGCCGCTGTGAAGAGTAGCTCGACAATGCCAAAATGGGGAACGTGACGTGGCGGCCGCCGAGGACCAGATGAATCGCTACAGGGCAGCTCCCCTATCGTGGAAATCGATGCCAACGTCAACCCCAGCCAACAACAACAATGAAAAGAGAGGAAACGTAGAACGCACACCTCTGCTGCTCCGGATTGCTATAGCGCCGCCACCGAGGAACTGCACTACTTCGGCTGCCGTTGTTGCTTTTGTGCCACCACGCGCGCTCGTTAGGACAACAGCTGCATGAGCACACTGCCACGCAGCTTAACAGTCGCGTCGCTGCGACACCCTGCTTCGCCTGCAGCTACCTCCGCTCCAGAGCCTTGTAGATCCGGGAGGAGCTTCGATTTACCAGGACAGCTAGAGGACGAGGAAGAAGTGGTAGTCGGTGATGGTGGCGAAGGCCGCAGCAGCACCGCTGAGCGATTGCGACAGCAGCGGACGACGGCGCTGCAGCGGTGGAGCGAGACGAAGGCGGAAGCGGCGGCGCTCGGCGACGGAGAAGGCGGAAGTGGCGGCGCTCGGCGATGGCGACGGCAGTAGCGGAGGCGGAGACGTTGCCCGGCGCACGGGGGCGGTCAGATCTGCGTCCCCCGACCACATGGAGGCCGGATCCGGACGCCGGCGGTCGGCGCGAGGCGGCGGTCGGCGCGAGGCGACCTTCGCCGCGACGGCGCGGAGGTGTATGGCGACGGCGGTGGTGGAGCCGGATACGGCTGCGCTCGGCGACGACGCACGGAGGAGGCGGAGGCGCCAGCGCCGGCAGCGGTGCGAGAGGGAGAGGGAAGACGAGAGAGAGATGGTGTGAGCGGAGGCAGCGGCTAGGGTTCGGGGCTTGGGGGTAGTGCGCGGCGTTTTTTCAAAAACACCCCTCTCCTTTCACGTATTTTTGAAGGGCCTTTATAGAATATAACAGCTCACAAGTACTGTTCTCGGGGGACTGCAAATTGTGTGTAGGTGTATGCCAATGTTTGCTGCAAAGTCCTTCCATCATTTCTTTAGGTTGCAACGACCATCTGTTGACATATATAGGAGCATGTTGGTTGAAACACCCTATAGTGTCTGGACCTGAATACTGTAGAGGAGTAATTCTCTCTAGCGGAGGGACGTGAGATCCCCTTTGTGAGTTCGACCGGGGGAGTAGGACGCGATGATCAAGAGCGTGTCTCCTCTATGGATCGCGCTAGCGTGGTGGATGATGATCAAGAGGGAGACTCAGGATTATCCAGGTTCAAGCCGTTTAGAAGCGTAATACCCTACTCCTGTGAGGATTTATGCTTATCAGGTTACAAGAGTTCTCAAACCCTAGGGAGAGGGTTGGCTAACTCTTTCCTAAGGGTCAAGCTTCCGAAAGTCGTCCCCTTGCTCGGGCGGCAAGGTTCTCCTTTTATAGTTCAAGGGGATACCACATGCACCACCTCTACCCGTCCCTTTTTCAAGGAGGGGCCCGCGCGAACCTGGTGGGGCCTCCACTCATGCCTTAGGCAAAAAGTAAGGCGGCCGCGCAACCTCATGTAGGGCCCAACACCATCCTTCGCCTAACACGGGGGACATCCCCCATCATTCCCTTATAAATTCTTGGAGACTTTGGAGGCTCATGCACGCGGGATGCACCGGTCGAATCGTCGATCCCCTACCATTGATGGGACAGGGCATACCTGCCCCCACGCCGCCTGAATAGGCAGGTCGTGGGTGCGCTGACGCCTGTCCTATCCGCTGGCAGCCAGTCACGACCTGGTCAAAGTGATTGACGCACGTCGATCACTGGGCAGCGCACGACCTGCCCCGTCGCATTAAAAGCGACGGGGGTTGGTTGGGACGCCGCCCATAAATGCGCCTGGCAGCGCCCTTACCTCCGCCCGCTCGGTCGCCACGTGGCGGCCGAGCGAGGGCCTCGGGGTAACGCACCCCCCGGGCCCAACGGGTGCAACTGGTTACCCCGAACCCCCTCGGCGGACACGGCCACCTCTTGGCTATCTACTGCCCACGCATCCGACCTCCCCCGCCAGGGGTTTCGGGCCGCGTGACCACGTGGCTGGGGGAAATGACTTTTTTCCCTTTAGTGTGGGTACCCCCGGGCCCATATCACTGACAAATACCGATGGCTTTCTTGTTTTGCATCAGCGGCTTTATATATCTACCTGTAAATTCCTTACCAAAGTACTATAAAAGACATTATATGTGAGTTGTTTTATATAGCTGTAAGGACATGGAAAAATAACCAATGCAGCTAGAAGAGAGTAATAGCTTGGAGTGGAACTGACAACTCTGTCTTGTTTCATGAATGTGGAGTTCATAGCGACAATGTAAAGCCTGGTTGAAGGATGTATAGTCTGGGCAATATCTGTGATATGTTTCATGTGAGATGATAGCTGAGCATTCTGTGCTAAGGAGCACACATCATCAAATGTATTCCTGGTGTTGCCTGCATTGTATATTTTTGGTAAGCTTCTTTTGTGGTTACTGAGAAAGGAGTTGATACTGTAGATAAATTATTATGGGAAATTTTGTGGTTATGGGATGTCTTCCCCCAAAACTTCACTTTCATGGTGCCCCTAAGCTAAAACCACACAATTGTGATGTCCTGTAGCAAAATTTGCCTAAAAAAAGCCAGATTGAATCTAATCAAGTCAAACGACACTAATATCATATAAATCCCTCACACGGTACTTTCCTAGTCGTATCCCCTCATTCAAATCATCACATACATACAGCATCAAATCCCAAGCCCAGAAGAGTGTGGACAGGGATCAATGATCGAAAGCAAAAGATATGGTGAGGGATCAAGGCAAGCAATAGGAACTTACCTGGGGTTTTATGGCAACGTTATTGGGCGAAGACCGGCTTATGGTGATCTTGGTGGAAATCGCATGGTGGCGACTTCGGTGGTCAACGCGTTCGCCCGTTGGTTTCACTGCCGTGGCTGGTTCATGTGTGGAGAGGAGGAGAAGAGATAAGGTTAGCGAGAAAGAAGGAAAAGATACATGATAATTTCAAACAGCCACAAAGATGTTCACAACAATAACCCATTCTCCTCCATTATCTATGAGAACAGCTCAAGGTTACTAATTAATAATATAGGAAATATTATGGATCAGCCTAGTCTTTCAAGTTGACAATAGATAGAAAAGTATCAGCGGTGAAAAGTAAACAGTTACAGGATAAGGTAAAGATAATTGCCTCTGTTAGAACTGGGAATTGGAAGTTCCTACTGAGTTTTAAACTGACAAAGATTATAGAAATCAGATAGGCTTTTTGTCTTATGTTCTAGAGATCATTTAGTTCTCCCAATGCCTTCGTACAGAAGGAAAAAAAATGCATGTAACTCTAGGTAATAATAAAAACAAAATAAAGGTACATGATGATTATACAGACCATATTCCTTGTTCTTCTGTAGATGTCCAGAGCTTTGATTAACCACAAGTTGTCATGTGAAAGAACTACAACAGTTCAAAAATAGAACTTGATCAGGATCAAATCAAATGGATCTATCTACAATTCAACAGAAGAAGAAACCGGTAAATGATAGAATTACCATTTCCGCAAGGGACCGGCCACCGGTAGCTTCGGCAGCGGGAGTGTAGGCTGCTGCTTGATGAGCGCAAAAACGATGGAGTCCTCCTGGAGCAAAGCATCACGCTCCACCGCCAAGCTCAGAGCTCCTGATCCATCACCAACTATCTCTCTTTTGAGTGTGGGCTTTGCTGCATCTACAAGGGATAAAAGGAGTGATTGTGTGACAGCAGATGGCATGTGGCATTGGAGATTCAATTTAATAAACAGGACCATGAAATTCAGCACAATTTAAACAAGCATTGGTAAAGGTAACAACATCAAGTGGCAACTAAAATCATGCAGCTAGAGCCTAAGTTAACCTATGCAGTGTTTGATATCAACAGCAACACGAGGTCACTGCCCGAAACAGTCTCCCAAATATCTCCCAAGGTTCCACTCTCTTCAGTAAAACCAGCAGCACATGCTTCATCAAATGACTAGCCTTTCCGGAGACCAATGTGAAAGGAAAGGGCATAATAGAATGTTGGACTAACAGAACAATGCAAAATTGCATAAGTGAGGAGCACAAAATATAATGGCTTATGAATTATGATGTCCAAATCGACAAATTGTATAACTCGAGTTATTTTTCAAAATAATAATGGATAATAGGTTGTAGCCATATATAAAGGAGAACGAATATTAGGAGTTCAATCGAGACTTCAAACCATGGTTCAGAGCTTTCAGTTAACAGGGCGACTTGCATACCAAAGTATTGCAAAAAAGTATCCTATGAATCAAAACTGAAAATACAGTACAAGATAAGAGTACCTTAACAACAATGTCGGACTTCACTTGAGCTATTGAATCCCTCAGGTCGGCTTGTGCGGGCCCCTGAAAAAGCAATGGTAACTCTGTTATGTTACAGGTGGTTTTCTTGTCCTGAACCCGAGTAGCATGAGAAATCCATGTAAAAAATCAATTGACAACCCATTCACCACATTGGTCACATCAATTTGTTCGTTATTGAAGCAATTTGTTGTGTAATTGATCAAATAGTGATTGGAAATGTCACATGTGCGTCACTGGCCATCTAAATGAAACGGGAAAATAAGTCTGAAAACAAGAAAGAAAGCGTTTATTTTTTTCGAACCTGAGAGCCCCATCCGATCACTCCGATTTGCTTATTGCCCTTGAACGCCTCGGGAAGCAGCGGGAACAGGTTCATGACAAAATTACATATATACACACAAAAAAAAGGAAGCCAAAAAAAGAAGAGGAACCAAATTACCCACGTTTCCTTTCTTTGCAGACCTGAGTAATTCACAACATACATACAGATGAAATGCTTCAGCTATACTGGCAATCCCAGCTCTTGGTCCTTTTTGCAACAACCAAACAGCGAGAAGAGCCAGGTCCAGAAGCTTCCCCGATCTGTTTTCTTCTGGTTTGTTCCTCTTACAGCATTCAAATCATTCATATACTGGACCACAGCCTGGCATGTAGAAGAAAACATTATTAATCATTTAAAGAAAGCGAAGGACTAAGTAAGCAAATATGGCAGAACGATGAGTGACAATGTTAGATTATTGTTCTAATAAGTGAGATGTTTGTTATAATGCTTGTACGTAGCTAATGCGAAGAGTGAGAAAAATTTAACATTATCACTTATTAGGAGTAATAATATATGAAATAATTTACCAGCATATTATCTAATATCTCACTTATTAGGAAATAATTATTTCAAATCTCACTTACTTTAACAATGATTGTTACTTCTTAAGCCACAAAATCTATGCGAAATCAGGTAACCTTTCCGAGATCCATGACAAGATTAACAAAAAAAAGTAGCAGATACAGTACAGTCACAAAGAGGCACCAACAGCAAAGCAAATCGAGCAAGAGAAGAGAAACAGACGAAGAGGATAGAATTCAAAATTTATACTCACCAAGCGAAGATCCTTGTGAACTCAATAGATCGACAGGGCAACCAATAACAGAACTTTAAAAAAATAATTTCATCATGTGTATTTATGAAATAAATGAATTTCTCAAGTGATTCCTACTACAGTGCATTTTGTTTTCAAGACTAAATTAGCCAAAACCAAATTAAACTAAGACATGTGACATTGTTGAAGTATAGAACAAAAAGCAAATTCCACTTTGGTTGGGAGCTAACTACATTAACATCCTGAAAATTCACATCCTGGAAATTCAATTACTGCAGGAACAAAAACCAAGGTTACTGCAGGAAAAAAATTCACATTGTTGAAGTATACGAACAAAAACCAAATTCCACTTTGGTTGGGAGCTAACTACATGAACATCCTGGAAATTTACATTAGGCAATTCAGTTACTGTAGGAGTAAGGATGTTGATTATCTAAATAATCTAAATGATCAAGCCTACTCACATCCAGTACTTGGCACTCAGCACCTAAGTCCTCTAAATGTAAAAGTGCTGCAGATAGTAGTGTGATACAATCCTTTTAAGTCTGTATTTTAGGGAAGAAAACATTTGTTTGGGACAGGGCAGTCATGATTGTTTGATCTATTTTTCAGTATAGTTTTATAAGAATGGGAGGGTAGTTGACTAATCCATCTATTTCAATAAGTGCACCTTCACATTCAGAAATTACATGGGTTTGAGAAAGTTCTAAAAATATGGCTTTGATAAATTCAGAGAGATAAAAAACATCTTATACAGAACTGTAAAAAATAATTTCATCATGTGTACTTACGAAATAAATGAATTTCTCAAGTGATCCCTACTACAGTGCATTTTGTTGTCAAGATTAAATTAGCCAAAACCAAATTAAACTAAGACATGCCACATTGTCAAGTACAGAACAAATTCCACTTTGGTTGGAAGCTAACTACACGAACTATCAGTACATAGAAAGCTTGCCCAAAATTGAAGACTGATCAGTGGAAGTAATAGATGAAGAAGAAGTCCTCACTAAACACAGGATGACAGGAATATGTGAATTTTCTTACCAGTACTGACAAGCATGAATCACACCTCTAGTGATCAACCCCTAGTAATCAACCACTGCAAGCCATGGAGCAGAACTGAAACTACTCTTCCGTAAGGCAAAACTACAAACACCTGGAGTGCAACACGAGAGAACTATCCCTGCAACACAAGCACCGTAATGGATTCATTGACCTACCAGTTCTTTTCCAGTAGATGCCCAATCACAACCACGATATTATTTATATAAAAATGTTAAGTAGTACACTGACCAAGTAGTGTTAGCAAAAGGAACACAGGTTTGGGGCTAGTTTTAATTTCTATTCTCCACTCTATCAACCATGGCTGGTTGGAAACATATATATAGGCTAGTGGCTTACACCATAAGGTATAGGCTAGTGGCTTACATCCTAAGAAACTAGGAGTGGCTTACATCCTAAGGAAAACTACTAGTGGCTTACATCCTAAGGCAGCTAACTATTATTCCAAAAATAGATGTTAAAAGCATATAGTAAAAAACAAGACTTAATCTGTCAAGTAGAAGTAGGAAAAGAAAAACTAAGCTAGTAATAGTGTACTTTTTCAGTGGCTGACTGGCTGTCAACTGTCTATGGGCCTGAAAAATCTGAGAATATACAACTTAATTAATCTGAAAGGTCAGTATGATTGTCTTGCATCTAATGGAGTGATCCAATTGACAGCCTTAGTTCATATCCAGCTCATCTAACCATTAGCTTAGCTTCAAAAAATATTTTTGTATTGCTCTTTAGTTCTACTCAAGTTAGCTTCAGATATTTCAAGTGATTCTTCCGATCAATGTTATTTACCTTTACCTAGATGGCTAGTTCAGCATAATTCTTTACAATGACAATATCATCATTAACCATTATACTAAAACTGCTCCAGAACTGTTGTCACGATTGGTTGTTAAGGCACTTCAATATTCAATAAACTATAGTCAGTAAAAAACCTATTTTCAGACATACTCCTATTGCAGAACTGGAGACATACCCAAAAAATGAGCAGCTTCATGCCTAGCAACTCTGTCTTGATAGTCAGGAAAAACAGTTAAAAATGCGCCAATTGCTGCTTGCAGAAGACTGTGATGATGGAATGGAAAATTACAATATATCCTTGATAAAGTTGCAACATATTTTCATTGAGCATTCATAAAACAGATAGTGTTATTTGTCATGCCATAAGTAGTCTATGTTGAGTGACATAACATTAAATTAATTAAGCTGATAAGTTTTGCTGCTTGAATATCCATTTAAAGAATCTTAGAATATGTCAGACATCTGGATTGTTTGATGCCGGCTCTTCCCAACTTTCACAGGCTTATTAGCAGAGACAACAAACACATACCCTGGTGAAATGCTTCCGATAGCTAATACTATCAATGAGATGCTTCCAATCAAGTAAGGAACCAAAAAGCCCCAATCCTGAGATAGAGAATTTTGAAAAGCTAAAATTATATATCACAGGATGTTTATTAATATCAACAGAAAAATTATTTTGCAGGAACCTGTGACCGAAGCCTAATGCACTTATCTTGTAAGGGAAAAAAGATTATTTTTATCAATCCAGAGTAGCACAAAGAGGAGGTAGCAAGGAAAAACCCTACTAAGCTGGCCTGCACGAATGGGTAGGAATCCGGTTGAACCGACAACAGTGAAAAAAAATGCTGCCTGCGTGATCACAAGAAGGAAAATGGGGGACTATGCTTCTGAACAAATTATGGCACTACTATTCTTCTGCATTTGCAATTTTGCAATGCTTGATTCCAGAATCCCCATCAAATCATCACGCTCTGTTGCACCATTGCAATTTCCAAATAACTAAACAAAGCTACAAATACATTTTTAAGCTTAGCAGGCCTTACATCATTTCTGACACTCGGAATCACCAGGTTCTCCACGTGCTTTATCCCAAGCCTGGTGAGCTCTTGCAGAGATGTCTGTCACAGTTCATAAATAAAACACCAATCAATTCAAGCTCCAATGCAATCGCATTGACCCAAAACTCTACCTGACGCCTGACAATAGAAGCAGGTCAGAATGCTCTCTGCAACTACAAATTCGAAGCGCTTGGTGCTTGAGAAGATATAGCACTTACCGTGCGGCACGACACGTATGGCTGCGAGCTCCACCGCTTGGCCCACCCGAGCTCCTTCAGCTGGTCCATCGATGGTTCGCGGCGCGTGAGGAGGATTCTATCGGACGCAGCGGCTGGCTGCGCGTGAAGAGGCGGAGCCCCTCGTCCAACACAGCGACAAGGTGTCGATGGCGGCGGAAAGGGTGAAGCCGGTTGGTGGGAGGACAATGGTTGCTCCACCAACCGCCTAACCATCGGCAGCCACGAGCTCACCGCCATCAGATCAGGCGGCCTTGAGTTCGTGCCATCAGATCTGGCCACTGCGATGGCGGCGAGCGGCTAGGCCGGCCAGTTGACGACGACGGCGGCAGGTTGACGACGATGACGATGGCGGCGAGGCACAGCTCCTCGTAGGCAAAGGAGAGACGAGAGTGGAAGAGGAGAGGAGCGTTCGCCTCGTCGCTTTCTCCGCGTCTGCCTCGAAGTCCGCGCTCGGCGACGACGGCGACGCGAGGGAGAAGGAGGTGGAGGCGCTCAGAGACGGCAACGGCGACGTCGACGGCGGCGGAGGTGGAGGCGGCGGCGCTAGGGGAAGACGGAGGCGGAGGCTGAGGCGCGAGGCGATGCGGACGACGATAGCGACGGCGCGAAGCGGAGGCGGCGGCGGCGGCGAGAGAGGGAGAGGGCGAGACGAGGGAGGAGGGGATGCGGCCATGCGGGCGGAGGCGGCTAGGGTTTTGCGTATGCGATAGGACTTGCGTCTCACAAGTCACAAGGCTTATAATTTATAAATCATGCTATACTACCCAAGCTTTCATAAACTTGTTAAAAACAGAAAAGCCAAACAAAACATCTTGCTGGAACAACTCCGCATTAACACAATTCATATTACTCAGCTGGCAAAGGATGCAATTTGCTAATATTAGTAGACATGCAATTTTTTTTCACTCCTGTAGCCCTATTCAGTTGCCAAATATGAATGTCAACAAAAACTTGCGGTGCATGTTCCATTAAGTATCTCAGCATATCTTCTCGATTAATGCAAGATTTCTTCTCGATTAATGCAAGATTTCTCCACCTCATTCTTCACCGTAATATAGTCTTAGTTCAGACTCATCAAGGGCGGCTGAAAGATATGGCAAAAAAATAGTGTTTAAACACATTGTAAAACATTAACGTCATGTAACAAGAAAAAATGTTAGAAACAGAGTGTGGTTTTCATGCAGTTTAGACTGATAGTATGGGACAGCTTTATAAGCTGCAGTACAGACTAAATTCATTCAAATTGACAGAGGCCATATCAATGTTATATATTTGACGCATTTTAGTTCATTAATCTATTATAATATAGTGAAAAGTAAGAAATAAGATCCTTACGTAAATAATAGCTATCTTCACAGGTTCGAATAACTATCGGATCAGGCGCGACAATTTCATCACATCTATCGTCCGTACATGGATATAGCCACTCCGCCTTAGGTACAGGCCATCTGTCAATTAAGAGACATAATACAAACATTAGAACATAAATTTGCAAGACTAGCTGTAGAGCGTTAGGATAAACCTGTTCTTCCTACTCATGTCAACCACTTCAGCATTGACAATTGCACGGAAGGTTAAACCGTTACTTGGCCTTAGAATAGACACCTATTCCATATATGCAATAGAATGTCATAAAAAATAATTAATGTACGCATGTTATAACAATTAACAAATCCTTAGAACATGCACTGCAGCTAACCTTGAAAAGCATCTCTTCATCACGTCGCAAAATATCTTCTGATTTCCCCAAAATAAGCTCATAGAACTGATAAGAAAAATTAGAGCTGAAATCCATCAAAAAGGGAAACTATGCAAACATGTATTATTCTGTTTTGCATACATACAGCAAGTAAAGACATCGTTACTACCTTATCTTACCAACACATTTTGACTTCTATTGCCTACATTACAAAATAAATGGTACCCAAAAAAAATGCAGACATGCAAATTAAGATTATTGCAATGGTACCAGATACTAATTGAGCTATTTCAAAAAGATGGAAAACACTAAGTCATCATGCTAGGTTTTACTCTGAACTTGTAAGTTGTAACTCACTTGTGAAAGTAAACATATTAAATTGAATTATGAAGAAAATATCCAACAAAAAGACCGCATGCACTGAAAAGAAAACTCTAGTCTGCAGTAAGTAAACATTATGCTACAACAGATTATACACATGCACTGGATTTTTTTCATTTTGTTACATCCTGGAATCCTGCAGCGATCTACTAACAGTGAAACTTCACATCATGAAAAGAACTTATATCTTTCACATGTTCACCAAAACAATATATTATCACAGTGAACTCTTAACAGTATAGTTTTCACATAGTGAAAATTATTGGATGTGAATAATAAAATGGAAGGAACAGGTAATAGCACTATAACAGTTTGGCTAGTAGATTTTGCTTGGGACAAAATGCAAATGGTTTAGTCAGAAGAACCACAATGAAAAATCAGTTTGATTTTCCAAAACAATTTTAAGATTAACTACTAGAATTTCCAGGCAAAGAACTTTTGAAACAGAACCTCTTGTGCATGGAATAGATCGACTCCATCAAGCTTGGTAATAACATCACCAACGTTGATTCCAGAATCTGCTGCTGGGGATCCATCAAAAACCTATCGAGTAAATTTTGAAGTAAGTACTACACAAAAAATTAATATAGAAGCCCTAATTATGTTCACAGTCAACCCGCTTATTTGGACAAGATAGATGCTAAGCCTTTTTTTTGTTCTAACTCAAGTAGGATTTAGCATAGCACTTGACAAGGCATCAAAGCTAACATGGATACCTCATTTTATCATTGTTCAAACAAAGTTATGAAAAGCTAATATTTAACCAAGAAAGTTATGAATGTTTAAATAGCCAACGAAATAGATTCTGCAAGTTAAATTAAATATACCATCTTGAGGAAAACAACAAAAATGATTTGGATAAATGATCGAAATTTGTATGAGAACCAATAGGAGCAGTTAAAAAATGGCCGTCCATCATCAGAAAACAGAAAAGTTTTCTGCCACATTGCAGCTATGATCTCAGATAAAAGCGAACCTAAAAAAAGAGATACACATAAGGGAACCCATTGAACAGTACCAACCAGAGTGTTATATATGAAACCAGACCGCCCACACAAAAGGCCAGGTAGTGGTTCGCTGGCTATTGACTGGTCACTACTAAAATAATCCATTGAATTCAAAACAAGTAATCTGCCAGTTTCCACACGATCCCCTCACCAGATCAGTACAATGACCCAACTTTCTATCATTGATTTTTTTATCAATCAATATCAAACTCATTCATAAACCATGCTGCTTCTCATCGCCTCATCTTATGCAAGTGTTCTATGGAATGCCACATTCATGTATTGGATGTGAGTGATATTAGTACAAGAAAATAACTACAGCGACCCCAGGAGTATCACTCCTAGTTCAGATAGTTGCACACCATAGCAAAATTCATCTTTTATGTCTCACTGTCTCAGCATAGACACCAATCGAGACAAACAGGGTAACAACTCCCATACTCCTAAATATATCAGAAACTATGTCAATCATATGTGTTACATCCCTTCCTCAGGCCTGGAATGCAAGCATGAAATTATTCACCATTAACAGATCTCCCCTTGAAGGTTCATCTCATCTCAAGTTAACCCTCTTTTAAGGATTAAAGTTTACAGCTAACCATGCCAATATCACAACTCCCTAAATCCACTAGTAAGCATGTTCCCACTTGTAGGTACCTTAGACTGAAATGTTGCTGGAACGAAACTACTGGGATACTTGTCCATTCTCTAAGCCAAAAATAGGAACCAATGAATAGTAGATAGTGATTTCAGAGACGCATAGGACTAAGAGACATGGGCCGCCATGGTACCTTGTAAGCAAGAAAGGAAGAAGTCTTTTAATGGCCCATGAATTGTCGTTGTCTGGATTATGGAATACAAGAAAGCTGAAGGTGGCAACATGACATCAAATGTGCACATTCAACTAAGATTTGACTATAACTTTTAGATTTCTCTTTGTTAGGGTATACACACAGCCAGGGAGGCACAACTTGAGGGCCGCAACTTGACTTGTTGGCAGCCAGTGGCGAAGCCAGGATGTGAAGGGGGGGGGGGATGTGTTGAGGAATAAGCCATAGGACCTAACAAGTGTCGATAGCAAATGAGGCCAAATATTCACTGTCGATAACAATCAACGCGTAAACTAGTCCTTTTAAAAAAAACTTAAATTTTAGCTCTTTAATAATATCACTGGCAGTTTGAAACTAGTCCTTAGTTATTGCTAAATCGTTTCAACGTAAACTACCAAGAATCTCACAAATAAGCATCTTCTATTTTATTTTGAAAAGATGAGAAATCACAAACTGAGTACTCAGTCTGACTACAATCTATGGATTAGGGATAGGAAATAAACTAAAGGTCATGTATTTAGGTATTGCTATATTGTAAGAGAGATCAGACCTCAGGCCACAGCCATCGGTGCGTGCTCAACGGCAAGACAGGATGGGAGGACGGAGACGTGCGTGCATCGCTGTCGCATACGGGTGCAAAACTGAAGTGATGAACATGAGGCATTCGCTGCTTCTCTAATCTCTCTCATTAATTAATTTTATAGATCATGTTTCTTGCTTGGCTGACGTTTTTTCTAGATTTGCTAATGGGCTAACTGACACTTTATACCTGGTCTTATACGTAGAGGAGGGGGGGTCGGATAGGGGGGTGCTGGCCCCCTCCGGCACCCCCGATGGCTCCGCCACTGTTGACAGCAGAAGACGCTATGGAGCAAAGGCAGAAACAATGAGCCACTAAGGAGCAAACTGGGCCTCACTTGGGAGAGGCCTGGTGGAAAGGTGAGGAGAGGACATCATATTAATAGAGGCAACTGGTACATATGTAGTATTTAGCCCAAGACAAGTCATTCAACAACTAGTCTTTGATAGTTAGGCAAGTCTGTAGAGGGCTGACTCAACTAGACTTTAGGACATGACAACCTTGGGTACAACAGTTCAATTGAAAGAGTTTTCAAGAATTCATTGTTTTTATAAAGAAATCAGCATATACTTACAAACCAACACTCACTAAAAGAAAGCGTTATATATAGTTCTAAAGTTCATATCAAACTTGCTTGAACTAACTTCTAAACAGGTTAAACTTTATACCCAGAACCAAAAAAGAAACAAATTTCTATAGCATGATACCTAGGAAAAAAAAATACCTACTTTCTGTGTACAGAGGCACCATGGTGCCCTAGTTATTTAATTAATGATTTTTTATCGATGCTTACTGATGGTTCTTGCTTGCGTTAATCATGCCTTATAAAAATGTATTTTGCTATTGCTATGGATTAGACTTGAGATATAATTTAAGTAAAAGCGAGTAATTGGAATACAGCCAATTCTTATCAACCGAGTCCTGGGCTGGATCACCTACACTAAAGGTTCCTTTCTGAGAAATTGAATTTTGGTCCCAATAAGCAGTGTAATGAAGAAAATAGGACAAAAAAAGAAATATTATAACAAAAATGCAGCAAACTGGTGTATGTCGAATATATTGAATGGATATTCACCTCTTTTACATAAATGCCACCTGTGTTGGAGAAGCTTCCATGTATTTGTTCACGGATATCCAGTTTTTCATGTTTCAGTGATCCAATCCTCAGGCCAAGCCATGGCTGAACAACTCTCCTGCATATATCTCAAAATTTAGCAGATGATTGAAATATTTAGACTGAGGCACTCGGACTACATTGAATAATTTTAAAATAAACTAGCAATACAGAAAACATAACTATACAAAATTGCATATAGGTTCAACACATCAAATAGATTTTGTGCAAATGACCCGCATAAGTAAAGAACCAGGCTAAGCAGTTTTGGGACTAGCGGACTGCTGGAGGAACAGTGATTTGCTCAGTATGGGGACTGCAACTACACTTGATGACTGCTAATGGCTTGGAGAAACAGCTGAGTCTGGCGGCTCAGATTAATAGAATGTAATTATGGAGATTATGAGTATTGTCGGTCCTCTTCTCAGTAGTTGGCAGTCCAACGAGCCTGCTATGCAGCGATTGTGGCACTGCTGAACATCCGAGAAGGTGGCAGAGCAGTGTGCTGCTGATGTTTATGGATGTAGATCCCATCACAAAGGGAAAACTGAGGTAGCAGCCATCACAAAGGGAAAACTGAGGTAGCAGGAAAATTATATCTATATGTCCTGCTTGTTGTGAATTGTGATGCGATGGATCACCTATCACTAACTGAGCCATTCTATTTTACACCCAACAAATGAACCACTGAACAGCATTGTCCAAGTCAAACCATGGGGTGGCATCTCACAGGGCTGTACAATTGCACCGCAACAATGCAAAAGTTGTACCATAAAAAAAATCTTGGTACATCCACCAGAGAAAGCATGTAATGCACAAGCAATATCACATTTTATACATTTGATAATCAATGAAACAAGATAAAAAAATCAGCTCCTGTCATGATAAATCGAATTTCTAGCCAAAGTTAAAAAGGAAATAATATGAGACATCTCACTTGCTTAAAGCTTACTGAAGGATTTAACACACTGGAGTACTCTCTGAGTCCTGAAACCCTGATTGGTTTCAACTAGTAGAAACTTTACAAAAAGAAAAATAGTGAACTGTGTACCATGACATCTAGGATAACATATGAACTTTGTTGCCAAATTCGACCATATCTGGCCAAATTTTACAGAAATTTGTATTTATTTATTCATGCTCTTCTGTAACACACTTGGGGTTTCTATTAGTCCTGAAGCCCTGATTGGTTTCATTTAGTAGGAATTTCACAGGAAAAATATACTGAACCATATTCCATGACATATAGGAAAACATGTAAACTTTGGTTGCCGAATTCGACCATATGTGGCCAAAACTTATAGAAGCTTGTCTTTGTTTATTCATGCTATTGTGTAAATTCATCTTAATGTTGTATATAACTTATTGGCACGTTAAAGGAAATCGAGACATGCAATAAGTCAAACTCAGGAATCCTCAAATCCCAACATATTGGCAGCAATGGCACGGCCATTTGGGTATTCTGCATACAGCCAATGCTTTATCAAAGGGATAATTAGCAGTACAAGGCGTGCAGGATCAACTGCTCAGATACCAAATGCCATGAATCAACTGCTCAGATACCAAATGTTATGAAAATCATTCATTGAGAAAAATAGGTTTGTACCATCACAAAGATGTAAATACCATTGCATGTGAGAATGACACTTTGGACCAGGGCCCACATGTCAATGACACATGCGATGGTATTTGTAAATATTTCATCTTTCAGACCAAGTACCAACCAAAATGGTCTAATTCATAATAGGCATAAACATTGCACTGAGTAGTGCCAGATGGCAATGACTCAAGGGTGGATGGATCTCAGGGGAAAGATGAAGCCATGAAACTAAGGTTGGTCAGCTTTTGAGTCATACTGCATAGTAATTCATAATTCTTGCTTAGTAAAAATGGTTCTGACAGTTGAAAGGAAACTGAGGAGCTCACAGCATTTATCCAATACAATTTTTTTGCATTCACTACAACTCGCTTAAAAGAAAATGGCAATGCAAATTTGATTGATCAGGATATGATGACTCATCTTAGAATGTTGGTTTTGAGTTTTGACCTATCCAAATTATTTAAGCAATAAACTACCAGTCTAAGTATCAACTAAACAAGCCAACAAGTATTTCCATCACGAGTCCTGACATAATCTCTCCACAATCAAGCTAGTGTTCAAAGAGTGGACGGTCAAGGAGAACAAATTTGTCCATTAGCACACATGATTGCAAGTGAAGATTATTGGAAGTACATTAATAAGAACTAGAAAACATACCCAAACATATCAAAGTGCTTTAAACATTTCCGAATTATATTGATTGGTAAGAAAGGAGTTTCCTTCTTATCACAAAAGTTCATGCCAACAAAGTTTCCATCAAACCCAACAAGGGGACCACCAATCCCAGCCTGTAACAAAATAAAATGATGGTGAACAACTGCTGCATAACAGATTCCATTTTAAACTGCACTATTAATGTCTTTCCATATGATCTTTTTTTAAAAGGCGGTTCAACGTGAATAATATGCATATTAACAATATAAACCAACCGCAATCATAATCTATCCATAGTACTAAATAAATGAGAGGTAATACCTTTGTGATCTTACAAGTGGAGGTCATGAGTTCCTTGCAGTCAAGTTTGCTAGGTTTGTACAGCAGTGTCCCACCTGTAGCCATTAGTTCTCCAGATTCATAGCCACGTCCAACAGCGACCAGTTTACTTTGAGATAATTTAACATTAGATTGCCCTTGATTATGTATCTGTGCTGTACTAAGTTCTGGGAAATACTTGATTTTGACAACAGCAATATTATAATATAAATCATAGTTCCACAGTTTTCCTTCGGTAAGCTTGCCATTGGGTAGGCGCACCTTAATCTACAACCAAGTGACAACAATATCATCTCATGAAGCTAAGACCATAAAGAAGTAACAGAAGAGAAAATATGGCTGAATGCTGACCTTTAATTTTTCATCTGTCTTGTTTTCATCTTTAGTGCATCTAACCAAACTAGCGGAAGTCAGAATGCTCATTTTAGATGGTCCATACTCCATAATTGTACCCGTGCATGCAAACAGTCTCGTTCGCCCTGTACAGGACTAACATTTAAATTACCAATTTGTGATGGAACTACACAGATGGGAACTCCTTATCCCCTACCCTCTGTGTAGGTTACCCTGTTTGTCTTGATTGGTGTCTATGCTGAGACAGTGAATTATTACCCTTAAACGAAGCAAGTGAGACAACGGACTGAGATATTCTTAGAGCAACTAAATTAACTTTGCTGTATTCTTCATTGCAGTCATCCAAGTCTCCAAAAGATTCTTCAAAGTTATTCACCATGTGCATACCATCTAGTCAAAGAAACACGGGATAACATGTGTTATGTAACTAATTCCAAGAAACATATATCAAAATAAAGAAAGGAAGTGAAGGATCAAAACACAAGTACTTGCCAGTGAACTCAGATGGCATAGGATAACCACGGGGGAGAAGATTTCTGCGCAATATGCGTGTGAGGCCTGGTGCAACAGGGTGAAAAGGTGACACAATTAATAATAAAAAGCCATATACAAGAAGATAGATGAAATGTGCCAAAATAAAACTAACCATCCACAACTGGTGACGAATCTGCAAATAATGAACAACAAAGAGTATTAACACTAATTGGAATTAGTGTAGAAAAGAATAAGAGCCCGAAGTGATTGCACTTTGTTCACCTTCTCTGTTGGAGTTAGAGTATGAGGTCTTCCGCTTCTTAGTTGCGCTTGCTCCTTCTACTTGTGTGTTTTGGTTGTTTCTCATCATCTTCCGAACCTTTCATGGATAAGAGCCAAAACAATTCGAGATGTTGTTATAATTTATAAAAGGCCATCTAAACAGTGTACTTCCTCTGTTTCACCTTAAAAAACATTTTGGGTTTTGAATAGATTCATGCATGATTCAATGTATGTGCTTCATATATGTGTCCAAATTCATGTGGATATTGGTGAATCTAGACAAGGGATGGAGAGGCCAAAACCTCTTTTAATGTGGAACGGAGGGAGTAGTACCTGATAGTACTTAACATGGTAATGAGTAATGACCTGTTTAATAATTTGGTGCATTTTTGAGTTTATTAGATCATATACTATAGCTTATGAAGATATCATAACATCTTATACTATCCAATGATCAGATGCAATAGAAGCTATGGTATATCGTTGTATGTTTGGAGTTTAAAATCCACAGCCAATCTCTTTTCTGTAAATTGAGGAGTAATGCAGCAACTCCTCTCAATCCCATCTCTCATATTCTCCTATACCCATAGTACATGATGGCATAGCTTTCCTTTCTTTTAATAAAGCACAGTTCTTATGTGCCGACTGAATGAACTTGAAAATAACAAAATACTTGCTACTGATTGCATATATTATGCTCATATTACTACATTATAAGTACCAACTGTCTACAGAATTCCCATGAGAATGCTGTAATTGTACCGCTTACTTGAGATGACATAAAAATATATAAGAGCCGATGACTATCATATGCACGCAGGCAGGCATTCCAACTGCAATTTGAAGTAAAAATATATATTAAAATAACTGTGATTATCAACACGCATTTTCTACGCCATGGTTTTTTTTCTCAACTGATTGCACTACAAAGTGGGGCATAGGAAATCGTGTGCATAGATGCTGCAGCATCATGCATTAAACCTAACCCACAAATTGAAGTCAGCAAGAAAACAAGGTTCTGCAACAGGTGCGGACCTAACGTTGGTCATGGGGGTTACAGTTGAAACCCCCCAGATTATTTTGGCGGGGGAAAACTGCTATACTAATAATTAAGGTTCAAGACAAAGAGGAAAACCTGTCCTAACCTAGTTTCCAGATCTAGAACAGAAGTTAACAGGCAAATTCGAAAGGGAGGAGGTGCGTGTGCGTTTCGGCACGGGTGCTCACCGGAGGCGGAGGCAGCAGGACGACGGCACCCGACGGATGCTCCCGTCCGTCGCGGGATGGATGGAAACCGGCGCAGGCGGCGAGGCGAGGGCGAGGCGCGGCGGGGCGGGGCGAACTAGCGAGTCGGAGAAGGGAGTCTGAGGCCGAGAAGACGGTGCGAGGGGAGATTGACTTTGGCGCAAGGAGTCGAGTACGCGCCGGAAGCAGTAGGCGCCCGGCACGGTGCTCGCAAGTCGCCGCCGGTGATGTGGAGATCGGCGCGACGCGACGGCGGCGCTGCTCGCGGCGTTTCCCGGTAGGAGAGGATGGTGGTATCGATATCGATCGATCCCGCGAGCGCGAGGCCCAGTCGGTTGGTCCACAGGGGAAAGTTCATCCGAGGTCCTTTAACTTGTCAACAAATCTGATTTTCGTCTTTCAACCGAAACACCACATTCAACGGGTCTCTCAACTATTAAAACCGGTGCAATATAGGTCCCATGGCAATTTGGATGGCTTGGAAACCATAGCATAGGGGTGAAAACGGGGTGGGTATTTACCGCCCGCCAGCTCGGCCACATTATTTCGGGACAAATTTAGGTACCCGGGACTTTTCACGCATATCGGGTCCGAATACGGGTCTTATTTGAGCATACGAGATCGGGTTCAGGAACTTAGTATGCGATAGATACGGATTATCCGGTAAAAAATCCGGATATTACCCGGATAATTATACGGATATTACTCGTATTATTTTCTGTGAGCCACTATCTGGTACTATGTATTGATTCTACTATTTTGTATTGTACCATATTTTTTTCATAAGGTCCTAATAGCCTAATATATCGTATTATGGATATATGAAATTGTTAAATGGTTATTGTCTATATGATATATAAGATTGTTGCTTCAACTTGATATCCAAATAAATATTCGTAACCGATAGTGTACGTATGCATTTTGGTACATATTTGTTTCGTATTTTTGCCCGACATTATCCGAGTTTGTATCCATATTCGGCACTATATGTGTCCGACCCGATTCCGATTATAAAATATGGGTTAGAATATGGGAAGGGTGAGATCAAACCGAACCCGACCCGTTTTCACCCCTAGCGTAACAGGAGCTCGCCCGCCGCCACTATCTCTAGTTCCCCCATCGTGAAATGATTTGAAGCTGACGAATGCGGCCACCATAGTGGCGGGCGTGAGCAAGGAGGAGATGAGGAGTAAGGGGAGGAAGAGGAGGAAGTGCGTTTCTCGAGCCATAGCCATTGGCCGGTGAGTGGAGAGGAGCGAGCGCCACTTGCAGCCCCGCCGACTCCACGCGACAGCAACCCCAGTGCCTCCTGCACAGGGGAGTTGCTGTAGGATCGAGATGTCGACTAGAGGGGGGTGAATAGGCGATTTAAAACTAAATGACACCTAATCAAAACTAACCTAAGTTGCTAGGCTTGGTGAGGGTCAACTCTAACTAAGCAACTAAGTTATGTTTTGCAAACCTAGGGTGATAGTGGTTCAATTATATCTCTAGGAAAGTAAATCACACTCCTATGTCAATGTTTAGCAATCCTAGGGTGATATAATCTCAAGTATGTCTCTAGAAATGTAAATTGCACAAATGTAAATGCAACAATCAAATGAGACAAGGAGACAAGAGATTTTTTCACCGAGGTTCGGAAACTCGCCGGTTTCCTACTTCCCGTTGAGGCGAGCCCAACTCCACAGCTCAACCACGAAGCCACCACACGTCCCCTTCGTCAAGGGGTGGGCAAGGCGGGAGCCGGCCCACGGAGAGGACTACCCAAGCCTCGATCACTAGGGTAGTTCTTCCTTCACTCCGAAGGTGGTGAACTCCAAACCACTCACAAACCGGCGCCGGGCCTCCTCCACAATCTTCTCGGAGAGGTCACCGGGCAACTCCTCCACAAGCCGTCTAGGAGGCGGCAACCTCCAAGAGTAACAAGCAATGACCCGGCGTGGAGATGATCAATCAAGTGCCACACTAGCTCTATAATGGAAGCAATGCACTTGACTCTTGGCTAATCAACCCTCTAACACACTAGATGGATGAACACAAAGCTTAAGTGGGTGTGAGAGAGGTGCAAGGGGTGTATGCAATTGAATTGGGTGCCAAGAGAACCCCCGTGCTGCTGGTGGGGGAGTATTTATACTCCCACCCATGAAAACTAGCCGTTGGGGGCGAAATCCCCCAACTCTGTGCTCTGTCGGTCTGACCGGAGGTATGTGGCCGGTCGGACCGTGCTACTCTGCAACGGCTAGAAAACTAGCCGTTGTAGTGCTGTCAGAGGGCCCCATCGGCATGGCCGATCAGACTGGCGTTGAGCGGGCGGTCAGACCGGCCTTGGCTCGGTCAGACCGCCATCGGCTCAGTCTGACCGAATACGGCTTCGTCGGCTCTGTATCGGCCACCCCGAGCAGCACCATCCCGGCCTCCAGGGGGCCGGTCTGACCGCGCATGCGCCGCCGGTCAGATCGGCCTTATGCGCCGGTCAGACCGCCCTCTTGGGGCCGGTCAGACTGGCCAGGGCACGCCGGTCAGACCGCTACTATGTGGCCGGTCTGACCGCCCCTGGTCAGGCCGAACCCAGTGAAAGGCAAAGGTGTGTGTGTGAGAAATGAGAGCTCAAGTCTAAATGCATAATGACCTAATGTGGCAATTAAAATCATCTCTTTGCTAGGTCATTACCCCTCTTAATAGTACGGCGAAACTAAAAATAAACTAGCAAATTTGATCGCCCTACACCTCGATCAATTCTAAATTAAATCGCTAGTTTTACCGTCTTCTTTCCCTTTGCTTTGCGCCGTCAATTTTAATCCATCGATAATCATCGATGCGCACATATGACGTGGTCCTAACTTAAAATATATAGCTCAAAGACAACAGTTAGTCCACAATTAGCGCTTGTCATTAATTACCAAAATTAACACCGGGAGCCTAGATGCTTCAGTTGCAGCGACAAGGACGGTGAGGCAAGCGACAGTGAGGTCATGGTGGCAGCGGGCCGCTCCGCCCCTCCCCTCGCCCGATTCGGCCACCGCCTACCCCCATTCCCCTAGCCAGGTCATTGCGGTGGTGGCGGTGATGTTGTCGACCCGGGAGCGGTGGTCGAGGGCCGCTCTGCCCTTCCCGTCGCCTGATCCAGCCGCCGTCTACCCCGCTCCCTTGGCCAGAGAGAGAGGGGGGGATAGAGAGAAGAGGGGAGAGAGAGGATATAGAGAGAGGGGGATGGAGAGGAGAGAGTAGTGAGTATGACATGTAGGGCTGTCAAGCCCGAGCCTCTTCCTAAGCTCGCGAGCCTTGTCGAGCCGAGCTCGAGCTTCCAACGAGCCTAGCAGTATATAATTTTTGTTGTTATTTAATAAATTAGGAGATCAAATATGTTATTTGTATGCCTTATATTGACATCATATATTTATTTTATTATTTTTTCCTCTTATATTAGTATGATGAATTAGAAATTAATTATTATTTTAAAGATTATCTTTGAAATATATATTGTTTTACTTAAAAATCAAGCTCGGTAGTCGAGCTCGAGCCAAGCCTGTTGAAAAGCTTGAACATTTTATAGGCTCGGCTCGAGCTTGTATTGAGCTCGAGCCTAGGCAGACGAGCTCGCTCGAGCTCAACTCGTCGACAGCCCTAATGACACGTGAGGTCACATGGGTCCACCATTTTTTATTATTTCGTGTGTAAAACTGACATGTGAACCTCACAGGTTTTATTATTTTTTCGGATCGAATTACTACGTAAGCGCCACGTGGGACGAAGACCTAGTCAAAGGAGCCACGTAGGCGCCACATCAGCCAAAAACTGGGTTAAATACTGCCAAGGGATTTTGTTTGCATGGTTTTGCAAGTTAGGGGATGTGTTGTATCTGGTTTTTGCGGTGAAGGGATGAATTTCGAACTCGGTGACAAATGAGGGACCTAAAGTGAACTTTCTCCGTCCTCAGGCTCCAGAGGCCGAGTCGGCCCACATAGGCCCATTAAGCCCCCAACAAGTTTAGCCCAAGCAAGTAACTCCCCCTTCGTCGCGAGGCAGACTGGACGCGGTCCCGGGCGCTGCTGCCGGCTGCCGCCGCCTCCCCTCGGCGTCTCCTTCCCCCGCGGTTGGCTACCTCAAGGGGCTTCCTCAGCGCGGTCACCTCCCTCCTCGGCGGTGAAGGTATTTCTCTCTCACACACATCCTTCCTTGGGGCCTGATTTGGCACGCAACCGCATCTGCTCTGAATTCCAGATAGTCCTGAGTCGGGAGTCATTGTAGTATCTGTGTTTATTAGGGCTAAGTTACCTAGTCAATTCTGTTTTGCTTGAAACTCACTGTCAACCTGGTTTTATTTCATTGCAGATTGCAGATATTATGCCGAACAAGAAGAAGAGAAGTGCAGAAGGTATCGCAAACCTTTTTTTTTTTTTTTTTTGCTTCTATATGCATATTCCTAATCTCTTCCCTTTTTAGATGATTCTAGCTGTGAAGGCTTTATTATTCAACAATATACTATCTTTTTGTTTATGTTTAGCATGAATCCTTTACTTGTTTGTTTAATTCCTCAGATGCTGCTTTGTATGTGGAGAGTTTATTGTTCGGTGATGATCCTAGTGATTCTGAAGCGGATGTCGACAAATATGATGCTAGCGATTTGAAGGGGGCAATAAACAAGGATGGCTCTAGTGATGAAGAGGATTTCACAGAGGAAGGCCTGAGTGCAAAAGAGGTGGCCTTAAGCATATCCAAATCCATCGTGTCCCTTATCTCTTCTGTTGGTAATCTTACTGATCGTCTGTAGCCTTGATGCTTTTTTTTTTTTTTTACAAAATTCGCATACCAGCAGCTATTGATCCTACTAGTTGCTTTCCGCAGATGGAAAGGTTCTATTTACTTGCTCAGGGACAATGGTTGATCATGTGGGTTCTGCAACTTGGATACTCACCTCTGCTACTCTGGTTAGGAAATGTGACAATGACTATGATGCTTATCAAGAGGGTGATGTTAAGGTCAATATAACAACAGTTTCATGTTTGTTTTGATACATTCTCTTTCAATTTGATGTGTAACTAGGTTTTAGTTTATTGACTGCAGATTGAAGTACTTCTGCACAACAAAACAATCACTGAGGGGTTCTTAGCAATGTGCAGTCTGCAGTACAATATAGCTGTTGTCACCATTGAGCCACAATTTGATCTTCCTTTGGTGAAACTTCATGACGTTCCTGTCTGTTATTCCATGCTGTGTCGGCCTGTGATAGCTGTAGCTCGTAACTTTAAGTCAAAGACTTTACTAGTGAGATGTGGGGAGATGACCCGTGAACGTAGCGAATTGGACTGCGATGAGCTTTTGGTCTGCACTTGTCCTGTTAGTAAGGTAAACAGATTATCAATATCTAGAAAATCAATAGTGAAGACCGGACTGTTTAAATATACTGTTAATTCGGTTAGTTGTTATAGATGGTAAGCTGTCATGTGTATTTCACTGAATATTAAGAAACTGTCATGTATATTTCGCTGAATATTAAGAAACTATCTATTTGCTTCTGATGCATTAATGGGGGTATTTTAGATTGTTGGTCCAACTAATCTACTAATTATTAATTCAGAGAATTAGTAATAAGCATTGTTAGCTTTTTTTTTGTCATGGTGATACCTTTAAATTGTTTTCTCACACTTAATTGTGAATGTTTGTGCCTATTATTATGATAATTCAGTGAATTAGTAATAAGCACTGTTTTTTTTTTGTCATGGTGATACCTTTAAATTATTTACTCGCACTTAATTGTGAATGTTTGTGCGCCTATTATTATGATCCATTGATTGTTTGTCCAGTTCCGATTAATTTCCAGATAATGATTACTCATTTTGGCATGCACGTATATATTTTTTCAACAGCTCTCTGTAAGTGGCTGTATTGCAGGTTAATCAACTGAGTTAGATCATTACGATATGCTGCTGTGTGGACATTGTCATCGTTAAAAGGGACATTCATTTCACTATATTGTTATCTTGTTCTAGGTTTTCATTGGGGGCCTTGTCATGGATTTGGAAAGGAGGATTCTCGGCATCACTTTTTACGACAAGGATACTGTTCCATTCTTGCCTATTGAGATTGCGGTGAGATGCTTGGAACACTTCAAGAATTTCAGGTATGCTTTCTCTTTGGGTTTTAATGATATGATATGCACTTTGCCAGTCTGTAATACTGTCATCCCCACACACATGTACATTTTTTGCATACCTGAGCAATCTGGATTCTTCTGAATTAGTTTTAAATCTAGTTTGAGACAATGTTTTTTCTAGTTGTTAAGTTCTATGATCCACTATCATTAGTCCTGCGAGTAATTTTTGTTGTCTCAATCTGTTAAACCGCTCTGCGGCTATGCCCATTTGAAATTTGCACTTATACGATTCACGTACTTCGGAAAAACCATATACATGTAGGGCATGTTAAAAATATGTTCACACACGCAAATGAACAAAAAAATGATTACATGTGCATTGTGAAAGGGAAGATAAGTAAGTCAAAGAAAGACAACTTTCCTTTCTTTTTTCGGTGAAGTACATTTTTGGCCCTTGAACTTTGCTCGAAGTCCATTATTTCACACAACTACAAAACCAGTTATTTTTACCCCCAAGGCCCCAACTTTCAAAATCGGACAAATAACACCCTAGACATACTTTCTTAGTGGTTTGTTTTAAGTGGACTTGGTTTTCCTGGTTTGTACTCTTGTTATGCATATTTTGCTACTGTAGATGATACTTAATAGGTCCACAACAATGAAACTTACCTGACTGAACATGTTGGTGAGAAGCCACTCCGTTCGATCAAAACTAACATGAAATATGGTTCAGGGTGTTATTTTTCTGGTTTTGAAAGGTTGCTTCTTCAAAATTTTGTGTGCACATAACATTATATATTATTACATCTCTAGAGATTTTTTTAAAAAAACAAACAAAATATTTACGGAAGGGGGTGCAACTACATCCTTGTTCAATGGGTGCCTTTCTTTTCTGATAACTTAGCTAATGTTTTAGCATCCTTCAAGCTATAGTATAACCACAGTGCCCGTGTTGAATTTGTGTTTACCACTTTCTTCCTTGAGTACCATCTCTTCTTTCATTGTTTGACATGGTTTTCTCTGGCTATTATTCTCTTTGACCTTGGTAACTATGTAATTTATTCTGTCTTTCCACAGAAATATTTCCCTAGTATTCTGTCCAGTGTTATTAGAAAAAAGTACATATTTGCATAATATTTTACCCACTCTTGGATCTTTTAAAAGTAAATTTTACCTGCTTTTATTATATAAATTGCTGAAGCTAATAACTAGTAGTAGTAGGAACAGAAGTAGGATAAAGTTTTGTGCTATTTATGGATGTCTGTACGCATTTGTGGAGTCTTGTTTTAATGCTTTTGCAAGAGATGTGATGCGCTATGAATGTAGGACACTCAAACAACCATCTCTTTGCATAAGGGGACAAGCTATTCACAAGTTGGAAATATGCAATTTGGAAAAAATATGCTACATGTATCCTGAGCTGTCTTCTGGTTCTGGAATTGTGGTAGAGAAGGTAGCCAATCCCCTCCTTTTCTTCTCTCTCTACTTTTGAAGGTTACTTACTATCATCTAGAGCATGATGAACCACTGCCAATAATAATCAGAAAGGGCTGTGTTTGATTACTACAAGTTAGAGCGAGGTTTGTTTTTGCATATACATGGAAGAGTATCTACTTATTTGAGTGTTAATTTGCCATGTGATGATGTGAAAGTATCGTTTGCTTCTTGTGGCCCTACATTTTTATGTGTTAAAATATGCATCAGTATCAGTTTACTTTTTTTGTCATAACTGGATTAGAATAGGCATAAATATCATAATAAGTTCGCTCAAATAATGATGAAAAATACTAGAATGATCAGCATATATTTGTTCCAAGCTATAGTGTAGGCATGATTATGAGTAATTCTGAAATCTTTTTGGGGAAATTGCATAGGCCCTTCTACATACCACTCTATTAGGAACTAGGAAGCACCCCCACAACTTATGATATGTCAGTTACAACTCGTGCGATTCCGCTCGTTCTCTCTATTTTAATAGAAACGTAATTGTTTTTATCTGCAAACTCGAGCATGCTAAGCTGAACAAACAAATTATACGGGGTAGACATATGCCAAAGTCAAACACTATTGCTCCACTGATTTTTATTGGGGTTTTATTATGTTAGAATTGACAGAAATCAACATATAGGGGGAGTTCTCAAATGGAGGAAACTTTTGATATGGATATGCAAAGGTCGTTTTGCAAACTTGGAGCGACGGACCATTTTTCCATTTGTGAAAAAAAAAAGTTATTTGCGGCATTCTTTAAAATATCAAGTTTCATATTGATACATCATGTTAGGAGAAACAAAATAAGTACAACTGGAAACTTTATCTCAATTTTCCATTCTTCTGTAGATTTAATAAAACTTTTCTATGACATCAAGATCATCAGTTTAGAAGAAAACAAAACTAAAAAAGGTCATGGTTCATCTAAATACCAGTGAAAAGCTGTGTGCCTGTGCCATATGGGAAAATACCACTCTGTAGGCATCTGCTATCCTCTTTTGGCATTCAGGCGAGGGAAACTATACCTCATTTAATTATCGACCCTCAGGCTAACTTGGTGAAGCCAGACCAATGCCATCTGATTAGCACTTCACCTATTCCTCTATTGGACCTGGACTCCCCCTCACAAGAGCAGCATTATGGTCGGTGCTCCAGCCAGAGTACCCTCTTCAAGAAATTAACTTAGGGCTTGTTTGGTTTGAAGCCAATTTTTGTCCTACCAAAATATTGGTAGTGCCAAAACCTTGGCAAGTTTTGGGCCTTTTGGCACTACCAAATTTTGTAGTATTGACTCTGAACTATTATAGGCAAAATTTGGTACCAAACCAAATGTACATTTACCACTATTAAAGTTACCAAAATTTTGGTAAGGCGAAAATTGGCATCAAACCAAACAAGCCCTTATAGCATGTTCTCTGTTCTTGCATTCCATTGACTTAACTACATTTTTTTTAGATATCAGAAGTGTTACCAGAAAATTGTAGCAGCATTGAGGCTGGTGATATCATCTGTAGTGTTGATGACATTGTTCTCTACTCTCTGTCTCAGGTATTATTATTGATGTTTGTCTGTAGCACTTCTGTTTGCCATTTGCGCAGTTAGAGCTGTGGGTGGATTATCATAGGATCATGAAAAATGAATTGGATGCAGATCCTATATGAATTTGAAAAGCTTTGATGAGTTATTTTATTGAGAATATCAAAGTGCTTTGAGTCCGAGAAGTTCCAGTTGAAAGGCAAAAAAAAGAACTTTATTTCCTGATGCTGAGCTATTTGGTTTTCAATTGCATTGCTAAACATGTGAAAAAAATATGTTAGCACCAACTATTGCTGGTTCATCTGAGAATTACTCTTCCATAGTAAAAAGGAATCCCCATCCATGTATCCCCACCTGTTTTTTTCTGCAAGTTCTATGATCCTATCTTCTCTCAACCACACCTCATTTCTATCCTCCATTCTGGTTGGTGAATTGCTATATTTTGTACTATCTTTTTTTCTCTTTTCTTTTTAACGGAAGACACTGCAGGCAGAAAAAGTCCTTCAGTCTGAGAAACATTGTGGTCTTTAATATAACTGTTACTTGACCCAACTATTTGGAGTTCATACTCATGTTTGATTTCCTACTCTCAGCTTACTTCGATATTTCTTGATAAAATGGCGGCTGCAATGCCCACGCAGGATAAAGTGACTGTCCAGGTTAGTTGGCAACCATATTAGTAATCATCCTTTTGTCACTGTATTAAAAACCTTTCTTTTCTCTTTGGAATATAGGCTGAAATACGAAGGCCCAGAGATAACACTAAGTTTGTTGCAAAGCTGAATATAGGAATTGCTTCTGGTGAACACAACAATTGCTTCAATAACAGGTTTTCATTCGAAACACTCTAAATCATGTTCTTATCTTATTGATGATTCATGGAGATTTGCTATTTGTAGATGGCCACTGCAGTGAAAGAAGCAATATTTTGGTGATAAATATTTGAACTGATGAAGGCTGACCCTTTTTTTTTTTTGGGGAGAGAGAGGGGGGGGGGGGGGGGTTAACATGCAAACCTATCTGCCATTTGTCTTTGAAGCCTCGGCTTTCCTCCGAATTTCTTAAACCAGAAGTATCCCAATCCAACACAACACACATGCACTGTGGCATTAATGGGTAGGATAAAACCTCCTCAGACAGATTGCTTATGGTTTTAATTTTCAGCTGTGAAGATGAGAACTTTCAAGGGGATTCTTGATCCATTTCAGGCATGTGTTGACATGAAAAGGCCTCTTCACTCCTTTCCTCTATGTCCTCTTAGCCTGCAAGGGCTCCTCTGTAATCTCATTAACTTTGTCAATGCTGTGATGTACTACTCCGCCTCAAAAAAAGACAAACCCTAGCTACGAACTTGAACACGCATATGTCTATGTTCGTAGCTAAGATTGGTTTTTTTTTTTTTGACGGAGGGGTGGAGGGGTAGATGCAGAGGTGTGTCGGAAGTTCGTATTGTATGCACCGAGCCACTGACCATTGTTGTACAGCTGCGTTATTTATTGAATGCTGTTGTCTGGTTTATTTCACCAAAGGTCTAAGCATCCAGCTGGCATACTCAGAGTCTGTTCTCATCGTTCTGAAAAGTGAAAAGTAGCATTAGTTGTGACGTAGGGCTTGTTCATTTTATTGCCATCAAATTTTGGTAATATACCAACAAACAATGATGGCATCAATGCTATCCTACTAAAATTTGGTAGTTCTGAAACTTCTCTCTCACTAAAACAATACAAAATTTTAAAATGGCATCAAATTAAACACATTAAACGCTGTCAAATTTGGTAACTCTAAAACTTGTCAAAAGTTGGTGTTGCCAAAATTTGATAAAGTTGTTTTCAGCGACAAAGTGCGCACGGACTCCACCTCCTATGCCCGTGACGACGAGGACGGCGGTGGCGATGCTGACTAGCGCCACCTCCCTGCTCCTGCGCGGCCTCCACCACCGCCGTCCACGCGTGGATTCCACTGATGGTGCGGCAGAGAAGAGGGGAGAAGAGAGAGAGGAGAGGGGGGGGGGGGGGTTGAAGGAGTGAAATAGTAGAGATGCTGATATGTAGGATCTACAATTAGATTGGATAGTGTAATGGAGATGGTGTTGGAGTGAAGATAAATTTAACTATGCATTTGTTTTGGCAAGCTGGCCAAATAAATATTTGAAGAGTCAGATTTAAAGAGGCTGCTAGAGATGCTCTAATAGGTGAAACCGACACCCTAAATCACCAAGCTGAGTTGAGCCTCACACGGTCATCCCTTCATCCTTATCCTCCTCCCCAGTCCCCATCCTTATCATCTCTCACATTCTCCCCACCTTCCCCTCGCTCTCACTCTCATGATTCAGCACCTTGGCGGTGACGTGTGATGACGCTCCCTCACCTCTCTGCGGCGGCACCCACTCTTGGCTCACTCCCCCCTCGCTATTTTTCTCCGAAGACTACAACACGTGACGCTTGCCCCTCAGCGGCAACACCCTCTCCATGGTGGTGCTACTCTCCTCACGCCAGTGACCTCCTCAATCATTATGATTTGTTTTTATTGTTTTTAAGTGCCGCCATGGCTGGTTGGCACGTGATGCCTCCCTCTCTTGCCAATCTGCGCTGCTTCACGTCGGCAGCAATGGCCCCCACGACGCCGACGGAGGGGATAGAGAGAAGTGAGGTGGGAGAGCTAACATATGGGTCCAAGGGTATTTTAGATATTTCACACGATTTTTCTCTTCTCTTCAACTGAAAATTATTATTTTAATGGGTGCGGTGTCCGTTGGTAAATTCTTATGCTTATTGAATGTCTTCCTCCAGAAGTCACTTCGTGCGGTATCCTACAGTCACAACTGCGAAGTCACGATGTTCTGGAGCAAAATTTGTCTTTTCAATTTGTTTTATAAATTCTTATATTTATGGGTAAAATGTTTCATATAACCCGAATACAAGTTTATATCATCCATTTAACTAATATACTTTTATCTATAATAATTTATTTATCTATAATAATTTATTTATTTATCCATGTAGATGCTTTTCAACAAGTGCTAATCATTATGGTTTGACCATTTATATGTATATTGAATCGATTATCATGTTATTACCGATTAGTATTATGTTAAGTTTTTGTGCCGCGCAGAATTGAAGAAAAAAGTTAAAATAGATGAGAGATGTATACTTTGAGTCAACAAACATCAATTTATAAAAATAATCATGAGTGTTAATGAAATATAAATATTTTATAATAGAAGTAAGTGGGGTAGTAGATTCGGCAGCGTATCATGTGAAAACCAGGCAAGCTGTGCAACCTTGGAAACTCTCAATCAAGATCACATGATGTGCTCATCCGATGGCTAGGGCCAGAGATGGGGTACTTTTGCACTTAACCGCCTGCCAATCCCAGCGCCCTTGCCTGGTTTTTTGCAAATCCACCCCCTTAATGCCCTAATCCGGCAGCGCACGCCGCCCACATCGTTTCGTTTTCTCGCTGCCGCCCACAATTCGCCTCCGGCGCCCGCTCTTCGCCGCGATTCGCCGCCACCCGCGCGCGACGTCCTTTCCCTGTGCATATGTATGTATCTGTTGTTAGGCACATTTATATTCTGGGTTGTAAATTTAAAATCATAGCTTGTATTTGTTGTGAGGAACAAGTATATTGCACTGCATACATTGCCCTCATTACTGAATCGTCATACATTGCCCAAGAAAAAGAGTTGAGCAAGGCAATACACTCAACGATTGAGATTTTCTGCAGTACAAAATCTCCTCTTTTTTCCTCCTTACAGCAGCAAAGTGAGTTGAATAACTAATGACTCCATATCATTGGACCTCTTCTCAGCTTTGAGAAGTGTCTGAAGATGATGCTGGGTCCTGCAACATCTATATTGCCACTAGACATAACCTGCTATTTTTTTATGCACATGCACTGAAGATAACTGCAGAGAACAAACAGCAGACAGCAGCAGGGTTTACGATTCCGATAGGCCCTTCCGTTTCGGGCACTGGCGGAATTCGAAATTTCGCGAAATCCGGTGGAAAACCGGTAAATTCCGAACAAATTTCATAAACTAAAATTTGAATACAAATTCCTTAAGTTGCCGATAAGTTCTCGAAAACCGGTCAGTTTTGGCGAAATTCCGATCGAAATTAATGAAATTTCGATCAGTAATTTGTAATGGAGGTAATTTGCTGAAATTCTTTTTTTTCATGATGTAAGTTTTAGTAAATACACACAATATATCATTTTTTTCGGAAATTTATATCCCAATAAGTTCTATGAATATCATAATATTTATAAGATTTTATTTCATTATTTCTTTTTTTATCAATTTAAATTTGAATTTAGATGAAACTCCTCGAAATCTCAAACGGTTTCTACTTTCGAGCCTCGTCGGAATGTCGAAATTTCGCGAAATCCGACCTAATTTCGTCGAAATCGTAAACCCTGGACAGCAGCACAACCGCGAACGTGGTGGCGTCGGGGCCTGTGTGCCCAGAGCTGTTCTTGGCCGGGAAGGACGAGGCGTTCCTGCGGAGGGTGGAGGAGCACTCCATGGGGCGGGGCGGCAAAGGGGCGGCGGGCGCGGGCGGCAGCGAGAAAACGGCTCCCATCGGATGGCCTATTCAGCCAAAGAAAAAACCAAAATTTGAATTTTCAAACTTAATTTTGACATTAATTTTGAGATATTTTCAACGTAATTTCTTTTTCAGCATTGGCTTTTAAGTCACCGAGAACACATATATAAAAGTTTTACCTACAAATTTATTTTTATTTTCTAATAATACATTTTGGCTTATTACGAGAAAAGCCAAACGATGAGGCCCAACGAAATGACGTGGGCGGCGTGCGCTGGCGGATTAGGGCCTTAAGGGGGGTGGATTTGCAAAAAACCAGGCAAGGGCGCTGGGGATTGGCGGGCGGTTAAGTGCAAAAGTACACCACCTCTGTCCCTAGCCATCGGATAATCATCCTGTGACCTTGAAATTCACAGTTATTTTAAATGATTATAAATTTATAATCACTACACTCCCTTCTCCCGAACTCCTCACGCGACCACCTCGCCGCCAGCTCAGGAACTCAGCCGGAGCCGCCGGCGCCGGCCCCAACCCACCTCGTAGCCACTCCAACTAGCCTCCCCCGCAACCGACTCCGGCCCAACGCCCTCCTCCTCTCCCGCGGCCGAGGCGGCGCCACCGCCGGGCTTCCGCTCCGATCCCCGCGACTTCCCTCTGAAGGCGACGTCTCCTCCACGCGGTCCCACCCCTACCCTCAACCGGAAGACCTAACATTCGGCGGGGCGCCCGCGCCGCCGCCATCGGCCATCGCCGGAGAAGACGCCGCCGCGCCACCGGTGAACTTATCCTTCAACTGCTCCTTTGCACTTTCTTGATGATTAGAAATTCTAGTTAGTTCTTTAGCCCAAAATAAAAGACGAAGTTAAGCTTTGGAGCATGTGTGGGGCAAAGGATATATAGCGATAATATCTCCTTAGCTGTTTTTCTTTTCCTGTGCACACCATTTGGTGGTGGAAACATGTATACATGATTTTTATTCCAGCTTAATACAAACACCACCAATTGCTGGCTCGGCTTCATTCAAAAAAAGTGTTTTTTTTTTTTTTGCCTCCGTGCGTTGCCGTTGCCTTATTGATTGCTTAATTTTAGCTTTATTGCTCTAATTGTTCCTGGTCCCGACGTGCCTAATTTTGCCTTATCAAATTTTCTCATCGGGGTTGTGCGTTTTTGTCTTATGCTATCCAATATCCATGCTTCACTTGCAGGGTTGGTGAACGGTCCATAGGCTGTGTCCGGCTTTCACAGTCCACAGACTCCACAGGCAGTGTCCGTTTTCCACAAGATCATATTCTCCACCTCGCCGATGGCTAATCTTTGCTTTTCCGTCGGTGTATGTTTGTTGTTTGATACTCTTTGGTTCATCTAATGTGGCTCAGGTTTACTCCCAACTGATGTTACATAGCCGGGTAACAGTTCTCTTTCTCTCTACCGCTCCATGACACAGTCTTTGTCCTGAGGTGCTCCGATCAGTACTGCTGCAAGGTACGGCCTTTGTTCTGCTCCTGCTCCTCAGGTGCGCATGTACTTAGCATTAGTGCTCAAATCAATTGTTTGCCTGTACTTCTTTTTTCCCCCCTATTTAGTGAAATCGTTCTGCCTTGCTTCGTGTATACTTCCTCTTTTCACATTATAAGACGTCTTGGGTTTAAATAGATTCATGTATATGCTTCATATATATGTCTAGATTCATATGAATGTTAGTGAATCTAGACACGAGGTGGAGGGATCAAAACGTCTTATAATGTGGAACTGAGGGAGTATTAGCCAATTAGTGTCTCTGCTCTAAAAAAACAATGTATGGCTTCAATTTCCACCTTTTGGGGGTAATGGTGAGGATAAAATTCAGTTTTAGAGCAATAATCACTTTAGCAATCCTTGCTGCATATTATGATGCAATCATGGGAAATTGGGAATCAACAATGGTCTACTCAGATAAACATGCTCTCACATGCGTTGATTCTTCTAAGACATATGTACATGGCATGCTGATTTTTTTAAAAAAAAAATCAAAGGCAATATTTTAGTAAGGCTTTCTTCTCTTGGCAGTGAACAAATATATATATATATATATATATATATATAGATGCCCGAATGGGCCGCTCGGCCTGGCACGTCCCAGGCATGATCGGGCCTAGGCCAAAGTCAGTCGAGCCGGCATGGCCCGACCTACATGCCGGGCCGTGCTTGCCCACGGGCTGCACCCACGGCCCAGACACGACCCAATAAGACTCAGGCCGTGCCGGGCTAGCCCAAAGGCACGACAACCCATCATGCTTCTCCATAGAATAAGTTGATTTTTCCTACCTCATCTCTTTGGGCTGTGTGTTATATGGCTGGAATAAGTCTATTTTGTATCCCTCTTCTCTTTGGACAGTACTTTATAAGGCTGAATTAAGTCTATTTTGGATCCCTCAACTAGTTTTCTTTGACCGTGCAGTGCTGGGCCGGCCTACCGTGCCAAGGCATCAGCCCAGGCACGGCCCAATTGTCGGGCCAGACCGGCACGGGCCCGACACCAGTCATGCCGTGTCGTGCTTGGGCCGGACCTCGGGTCTTATGGCCATCTATAAACATATAGGGAGAATGACAAACATACCTCCACTCCTTGCATTTTAAAATGGCTATGGCTTACCGAAATTTTGACAATTTGACCTTTTTAGAAAAACTTATTTGAAGAATAGACTACGTCAAAAACTTATTGCAAAATTGGACCGGAATCCCGGTGCCATGGGCCCTGGCGCTTAGGCCCATGGTGCTGACCTCTCACCCTTGAGTTTTGTACTTTGTTAAAAACATTAAAATCTACTCTTTCTCATAAACATCAAGTAGCCTAATGGTAAATGTACTCCCCTCTAGATCCAAAGATCTTGTGTTCGATTCCCACTCCCACAACCCCCTTCTTTTTTCCCCCTCCGTGCGCACCCACACAACTTTCTGAGAGAAAAAAGGAATAAAAAGGATGCAGCAGTGGGGTTCGAACCCGGGGCTCTATCTTGGGTTTGCGTATATTTACCATCACACTACACGTTCAATACTATATGGCCCTATTACCATTTTAATCTATTTCGCCACAACCAAAAATGGACCACAATATCCATTTTTTGTTATAGTTTTTGGCTTTTTGCCATGGTTTATTTGTGGAATAAGTTTTTTAAAAGGGTCAAACTGTCAAAATTTTGGTATGGCTTATGATCTGGCATTTATTTGGTACTAGAAACATAATCAACATATTGAGAACAATGGTCCTTACACAACTGTGATTTCTTTCTTCTTTGTTGCATCCACACCATTTCTATTGTTCTTACCTTTTGGGCTTTTAACAGTAAAGGTGCTTGCTTGATTCACTTAGCTGGACCCAATATGTACAAAAGATAGTTCCTTTTACACAATAAAAGTTTCTTTTACATATTGATAGTTGAGTTTCATAAAGCATTTTTTTTATGGATATGCATCAATCTGATGCATTTATTCTACATTGATTTTCCCTTTTTACTATTAGAAGATGACATGATATTCCCTTCATTATACTCCCAGGGCTACTCTCATTAGCTATGAATGCAGCATGCAAGTTATGAACGTGCACTTCTTCATTACATTGGCTAATTTGTAATTGGTGCTTTGCAAATAATGTCAGCGGTAAGTTATCATTTATGTAGACTCCAAAAATGTTTTGTGGGGCTTATTGCTTTGGAAAATGTTCTATAAATTGTGTTGCTGTTCTAGACTTAGTAGTATTTTATGAAATGTTTATGTTGTATGGTATAGTTTGTGCTTTTTTTAGTGTGTGGCATTACATAGCACTTTATAATATAGATTGCTTTATAAAAAATTGAATAAACAAAAAAAATCAAAATACAAGTTAACTTGAAAATCTGTAGGTGAGAAGTTATGATGATGCTTTTTTAAGGCAACTGCATCAAAGTGTAGCTCCTTCAATTGTGCAACTGGCAGTTTTCAATGCAAAAAGTACCCAAATACCATGCCATCTTGGTACTGGATTGGTATTATGTGTGACACCCAATTATATTGGGGTAATCACATCTATCAGTTGTGATCCGAAAGATGGTTTCAGAGTCGTTGCGAGATTTGGTGATCAAGAAGATTTGGAGACAGAAGTTGTCAGAACAAGTTCATTACTTTCTGCGTTGGTTGTGCGAGGATGTAATGTTCAGGCCATACCTTGCATTCCTACATCGTTTCATGAAGGCGACTTACCAGAGGCAGATGTTGTTTTTTGTATTGGATGTTTTAGCATTGTGAAAGAGCAGATAATGACTGCGGGAATAATCAGGTATCCATCTATTCTTGATGACAATTCATGGATATTTTTGTTTTGTACTGTTACTTTTGTTGCATTTCATTCCCCTTGTATTATATTTTGTTTTAGTTTATGTTTAAAGTGCTTATAAGATTTGACGGAAGATAATTGAGAGGAAAATGCAGGCCACTGAACTTTCAAATTGCAAATTTAGGCCTTCAAACTTGGTTAATGTACCATCATAGGTTCAAAGGTGAACATACTCCTTAGGGAATAGATGTGGCATGCTAACATGGAGTGAACTTGGTATGTGGGAGCACGTGAACTTGCCATGGATTAGAATATATGCATGGAACCTCCTAAAATCGATATGCTCTTTACTCTTGTTCCACTTTACTCATGCTGTAATCCCCAAATTATGTCGTCTCCCGTTCACAACACCATCGGTCTATAATCGACGAAATGGTAGGACAAGCTAGCCATTTTCAATTGCAATGAGTTGGCTTCTCCTGGCATGCCATTGATTCCTGGTCATCGATGAGATGAATGATCAGCAGGTTGTTTGGTGATTATGTTATGAGCAATTGGGATTGATAGTGAACACCAAGTTGATTTTGCATATATTTCCATCCACGTCAATCTCAATTCTCACATTCTCCCACATGCCACACCAGCTGCTTGCTTGTTGACATGCATCATAAGCTCTTAGACATTTGATGATAAATTAAATAAGTTTGCTGGCTTAAATTTGCAGTTTGAAAGTTTAGAGATCTGGACAACACTTTATGGAATGTTGGTATTTTATTCTTAATTATTTATTCTTTAAGTATGTCCTTCTTAATAACAGTTATTTAATGCATGCCAGTGTATGCGAATTTGAAAAGGAACTGAGAGGAGAACAACAGGTTAGCACATTTGTGCATACCTGTCCGATTGGGGATGGGTTGATGGGAGCACCTATATGTAGTCGATTCGGAAAAGTTTTTGGAATGAATGTTGCTCGGACAGCACTGTGTTTATCAATTAATTTTGCCCTGAACAATAGTCAATTAAAGGTTGAATTGGCAAAACTATTACAGAATGAAGATTATGAGGTACTACCTTTTGTACAAAACCTAAAGCCCGAGTAATAGCTTTTGCTGTTTTAGGTCGTAAAAGGCTCAGAAATTTACAGATTTTTAACTTCATGATAATATTTTATAGATGTCAGCTCTTATTGAGAAGTACGATTCTGAAAAAACGAGTGCATCGAAGAAGAGAAAGGGAAGGGGTGTTAGCAGTTCGCAAATGTCAAGGTCACCAGTGAAGAGAAAGGCGGGTGGCAGTTCTTCGTCAAGAAGGGAGAGGGGTGTTGCCAGTTCGCAAATGTCAAGTTTACCAGCGAAGAGAAAGGCGGGTGGCAGTTCTTCGTCAAGAGCGATATAAAAGAGGTGTGTGCCACAGTTTTCTATTGTTCACCATAGGTATGCTAATGGGTTAGACTGAAATGGGCTTAATGGATTGGTTATATGTTTGGACAGGCTTTGTTTTGATGGAGATGGGCTTAGGCGGTTTGGGCTGATTCGGAAAAGGTTTGAACTAGTTTGTTTTTGGGTTACAAATATTCGGATCCAAATTGGAGAATATTTGTCATATCTGTGGCTATATTGTTAGCCTTTAGAGGAGTCTGCCACACCTTTTAACTCAGATGTCATCACACATGGAAGACTACAGGCAGTTCATCATGTGCCCTTTCTCCTGTCTATCTTTGCATAGCGTTTTTTCCCCCCTTTATCTACTATTTTTGTCTAATGAGAAGCAACAACATATCTCTGCTTTAATGCCTGCATCTCAATAGTCTCAAGCTGCTCGGCTAAGTGGCAAGTGAGATCTTCAATGCCGACCATGGATGGACAGCAAGGATGGAACGCGTCTGGAGGGATAAAGGAAGACTTTGAGGGAAAGATGATCTAGCTGAAAGCTGGAGTTGTTTTGTGATAGACAGTGGCTGTGTTTGGATTGGCCCAAAGTTTAGAATTTGGTTGAAATTGGAGACGATGTGACTAAAAAGTTGTGTGTGTATGAAAGGTTTGATGTGATGGAAAGTTGGAAGTTTGGAAAAAAAATTGGAACTAAACACACCCAGTGTTGTACGTAGGCTATCTCTGTGTGAAAAACCTGTATACATATACAGCGTTGTACGAACATATTTGGTGGCTAGCAGTACATATACAGGTTGATCAAGAGATGCATGTTAATTAGGTGCATATGATTCTCATTCATTTATGCATGCAAAGCAAACCAACAAATTAAGTGAACCAATCATATACGTACCGTGTTGCATGCACTTCTATGGTAGGATACATACGCGTATACCGGCCGAGCCAATCAAAGTGAACCAAGGCATGTCATGCATTTGATACCTTTGTAGCTAGTATTGCTTAATACTCCCTCCGTTTCGAAATGTTTGACGCCATTGACTTTTTATCACATGTTTGACCATTCGTCTCATTCAAAAAATTTAAATAATTATTAATTCTTTTCCTATCATTTGATTCATTGTTAAATATATTTTTATGTAGACATATAATTTTACAAATCTCACAAAAGTTTTTGAATAAGACGAACGGTTAAACATGTGCTAAAAAGTCAACGGTGTCAAACATTTCGAAACGGAGGGAGTAATAATAAATCAATGATTCAAGATTGGTGAAAGAGTATATACAGTGAAGGGTCCAATATATTCAACTAGTCGAGCATGTTTTTTCCAAAATGCAAAATGAATATTAAGACCATTTTCTTTTCATGAAACACCAATCCATCTTTTTTTTTCTTTTTGGTTATGAGGGACTTTAGATTTGCACGATATTGAAAAATTGTATCTTTGGTACTTGCTACAGTCTCCTGCATTCTTAAATAAATTGAGGGCATAACAAACATATATATTCTCAGTTCTCAATCGTCTAATTAAATAGATAGAGGCAGGCTTGAGCTGCGCTGATTAATTGAGCTCCCTCATATATATGTTCGGGAACTACGTACTCTGAATCTCTGATACATTCTAAATAAAATCTCCTGGTACATATATATAAATATAAATATCATCAGGCCACATATGGCATAAGTGCATAATCCATTTAACCCAATTCCCTTCACTGCTTATCACCGGAGAGGTATAGAGAACCGCACGTCTCGTCATGCATAAATATTAAAGGTTGCACTTTGCCTGAAGTCGCATGCATTAGATACACTAGGACGACGGACTAAAAGAAAAAAAAAGGAAAAAATCGAATTAGTCCAGTCCTTGTGTACAACGAAAAAGAACTATGGAATTAAATGTACGTATGTATAGTAGCTTAATTATACATAGCCCTCTAGCCTTGCCCCTTAATTAATAACCATATAACACATATATAACTGTGTAGAGATTTCAGCATGATTTAATGCGTGTATGTGGCTATGATCTAAAAGGTGCACTATTTCATTAATAAAAAAATATATATCCTTGAGGATATGTAAGTACGTGTTTTTTTTTTCTATATGCATGCATAAATATTGTACGTACCATACTAATTTTTTTATGTTTTTTTGACTAACTAATATTTTAAAATTTAATGACAATTAATCAACCATTTTATAACTTACAGGGGAAAAAAACAACGATAATGTGTTTACAACCGGCCGGGGAGAGATCGATCGAGTACCTGGTGATCCTTGATGATGGGCCAGCTTCGTCGCTTTTAAGCAAAGCGAAGCATGATTCCAGAATCTCCTCAATGGTTGCATTCGGTCCAAGCTATAGCATCCAAGCAGAGATGGATCAGAGTACAGTACAGTGTAGTTAATTATATAATTAGGAGAGTAATTAATTGTTAAGCGAGATACATTGCTTGCATATGCATATGGAGAGTAAAAAAATAGTAACTCCGTCCCAAATTGATTATAATTCTAAGTTATTTAGTCCTCTCACCATCACATAATATAAGGCATGGTAAAAGTTACACGGTTTCTAAAACTAATCTTTAACTTATAATTTCTCATATGTTATAAGGTTTACAGCAACAAAATTATAATTATATGAAAGTAAATTTAAATGTCAATCTAATGATATAATTTTTAACAAATAAAATTCATTTCATATTATATTAAATGTTTGTTAAATGTTTTAAAGGTTGAATATTGAAATACGTGTACATTTTATATTATGGGATGGAGGGAGTATATACTAAGGTTTGAAAAAAAAGACTGTGATACTATTTATTAAATGGTTTATAGATAAAGATAAAAGGGTAGTTGAGACTAAAATAGAGAAGAAATTTGGATGAGAAGTAATTAATGAGGATCATTAATACTCTATTGTGATAATTATTATGGGACATACGTATATAAATAAAACTAGCTTGTTTAATTATGTAATTAACTAATACACGGCGACTGTATTAGAGGGCCGGGTACTTACTCCGGACTTTTTGACCTCCTGTAAATTCCTCAGTGTATCCTGAATCCAGCTCACCGTGACAAAGCACAAGACCTCTTTGCCACCGTGAACATTAGTGCCCACAACCTTGCCATTTTCGCCTCTAAAAACAGGTGCGCCTGATGACCCGCCTGCACCGGAGTAATCAGCGTTGACAGTCATCATGTGTTCTTCGGGAGGGGTGTCTTTCAGTTTTCCGACAAGAGCTGCCTCGTTGCTACATACATACATACATACATACATGTACATAAATATATAGTATGGAGTAGTAAGTGACCACAACATCAAAATCAAAATAATTAGTACTAGAATGAATGAAAAGCTAGCTAGAGATAATTGATTAAGCACAAATACTACATGCATTTTATGTTAATTAGTACTACTAGAATGAACAGCTAACGCTAGAGATAACTATTTTGACCAATAATTAAGCTATATATTATTATATATAGGCTACATTTTAAAAATATAGGATGTACTATTTTATTTCGTTGGGACAAAAGACTTTAACCAGCAATTAGTACTATTACAATATATGTGAAGTGAAGCAGCATGTAATTAATTAAGCAACATTATTTATATACTCCTCATGCTCGATGGAAAGCAGTTTAATTAATTAATTAGTAGTATGATTTATACCCTCAATTTGTGCCACATATATAAATGTTATATTAGCGAAAGCGATTAATTGTTTGCCAACGTACCCTGCTTGCATGCATAACTAAATTTAACAAAAAAAAACACAAAAACACAAACGAAGAAGCTAGCTATAAACACACTTACGTGACAGAGCCGAAGAAACTTCCCAGGTTAGTGGAGCCAGTCTTGCTGGAAGGCCAAGGGTAGCCTAGGAGCACAAGTGGGTCCCCTTTCCTGACTGGCTGGTGGTCGAACGCCACGGGAGGGTACTCGCCCGCGTCGGTGAGCTCCCGGTGCTTCAGGGACACATCCACGGACAGGATGGCCACCTCCTTCTTCCGCTCACACACCTTCACCAGCGCCTGCGCCACCACCTGATTATTTTCATTTAATTAGTGGCAAAATTTAACCCACAACGTACAAAAAATTACCCCCAAGTTATTAATTACATAGAGTACCATACTAATTATTATATCTAATTAATTATAGGTTTCTGTGTATAACGTTTAACCGTCCGTCTTATTTGAAAATTTTAAGAATTTTTTTTAAAAAAATAGTCACACATAAAATACTTTTCATGTTCTATCATATAATATCAATAAAAAAATACTAATTATGAAAATTTAAAAAATAAAATAAACGGTTAAATGCTGAATATAAACGATGTAAAACTACGGTATCTCGTCGGATGGAGGTAGTATTAGGGTATTCCCAGTGCAAGGACGTGGCGTTCAGCCTCGTAGCAAAAGAACAAGTATTCCTAGCCACGTAGACAAACCGTGTGGCCTGCTCAAGCGCTCGGAGCCAACTTGAGCTCCCCGTTCCTCATCAATTTTGCAGGTGGGGTCCACAATGGAGTGACGCGTCGTCAATGAGGAGGAAAGAAGAAGAGATGAGTAGTACTAGTATGCATAGATGGGAAAGAATGGTGGGACACGTCGTCATTGAGGGGGAAAGAAGTAGAGAGTAGTACTAGTATGTAGAGATGAGAAACAATGGTGTGACCCACTGGAGTAGTACCACCAGTATGCATTGTGGAGTACTCCCTCTATTCCATAATATAAGGCACAACCATTTTTTTAGATGTTCCATAATATAAGGCATGTATGCATGTAGGCAATTAACCATGATCCATTCTCCATTAAATTATTACTTTTTAAAATCCTACATTCTCATGTTCTCTAATTCTATTAGATGCATGCATTGTATTTATTAGGATGATCCAAACTACAAGATGATAATAATTATTTCTTGGTCTTTAGGTTAGAGGTGATTATGCCTTATATTTTAGAATTGAGGGAGTAATATGTAGCTATCTTATAGTTCGTAGATGTTTTTTCTTTCTCGGTGGTAAATGAGGAACACCATATTTTGGTGGCGCATTGTGAATGGTCTTAACTGACCAGGTTGTCGAACAAGACCCTGATAGGCTCCGGGCAGATCCACGTGTCCAGCCCGTGCGAGCAGGTCAGTATCAGGAACTTGCGCCCGGCGTTGTACACGATGTACCCCGTGCCACCCACCGTCCCGGGCTTTCCCAGCTTGTTCATAACTGGGATCAGCAGCTTCACAACGGACTTCCTGTGGTTGGCCTTTATCTTCCTCGTCACAATTGTCTCGTACGGTAAGTCGTCCTCAGCCCTGCATGCACGAAACGGATTAAATTAAATTAAATACAATACCACTACACGCATCCATATTACTCCCTCCTGCTTAAAAAAACGAATATAGAGACACATTCTAACGAGTACTAGTTTAATTTTTTTTATAAAATGGGTGTTTGCAAAAACATTTTTTATAAGACAGAGAGAATATGTTATATGTGTCCTTTACGTTATCGATTGTGTTCAGGACTCCACCTAGAGTGTGATGGTCTTGCCAGTCTTAAAAAAATATATTGTACTATTATAATACTCTCTCCGTATTTTAATGTATAACACCGTTGACTTTTCGACTAATGTTTGACCATTCGTTTTATTTAAAATTTTCGTGCAAATATGAAAATATCTATATCATGCTTAAAGAATATTTGATGGTGAATCTAGTCACAATAAAATAAATAACAATTGTATAAATTTTTTGAATAAGACGAATGGTCAAACGTTGGATAAAAAGTTAACGGGGTCATACATTAAAGTATGTTTTAACTTTTTCTACATTTTGTACCATATATACTTTTACAAAATTTAACAAAGTACTCCACGTAGTAACTTTTAAGAAAAATCTGCACACGCATATCATACTAATGCGTTCAAACTAAAAGTACGTATCTTGAAATTTACCGATCGATCGACAGTCATTACGGCCGGCCGGTACGTCTACTAATGAATGGTTGTCCCATATTTGTTTAGTCCACGCCATAAAAACGAGGACAGCCTACAAATTGATTGATGGCCCCTCCGCTTGGGAGGCCCAGTTGGCCCAAACCATCACTCTTGTTTTTTTTGGCAGAAAATCCCAACCCGTGCAAAATCAGCCAAATTTTCAAAAAATGAAAAAAAATTAAAGGGAGAGACGTTTCTCTAAACATTTTTTAATAAAAAATTATGAGCACCCATCTAAATCAATCCAAATGCCATAATATATCATCCAACGCCGACGGTGTCAAATCCATATATGCATTATTAATTATAATTAGTTGATTGATTAGCGCAGGGCCTAAAATCACAAGGACGCGTACGTACTCATCGTGGATGGGCGCTGCTGCTTCCGCTGCCGCCATTTCCAAGGATTATCAGCAAACGCCAACACGTACTGCCTTGGTCGATCGGCTACTTAATTAGTACAATATTGCCTGCAAGTATTAATTAATTAAGTAATTAATCAACAAATTAAGAAGGAGAAGAGAACGATGCATGCACATAAACAGTAAAGCGTATGTTCGATGATGCCTTCCCTAGCTAAGCTATAGCTGTGTCAGGGTCTTTCGGCTAGCTTCACAAGGTGGTGGGCTAGACAATATAGATTCGAAACCTCACTCATTCTAATTATTTTATATTAGGTTATTCCCTAATATTCGTCTTTTACAAGTGCACCAAGCTTTCTAGCTCGGTCAAACTAAGACAATTAATAATGAGACCAGTGTACAATCAGGTTTATATATATTCGGAAGGGAAACAAAATAAGTCTATCCTTTTCTCGAGGAGTCAAATTATGAAAGAGATGCCTTTGCTAAGGAGTTTAATCTGGACTTTGAAATCCAAGTGTACACACACATTTGAATAAAGTACAAGGCATTTCTCAGTATTTGGTGATGTGCATGCAAGCATATCCAATGCAGCGCATGATCATTGTGCGAAAACACACATCTAAGTCTTCTAACGTTCTATAGTCTTCACCAAAAGCAAGCTATAGCCTATAGCATATATCTCACTTAATTATAGCACAGAGAAAATCATGCATATGCATGCAACAAGTTAAAGCTTGAAATGCTGCTGTACAATAATAATAATAATAATAATAATAATAATAATAATAATAATAATAATAATAATAATAATAATAATAATAATGAAATTAAAATCGCGCGTTAATAAGTCGATCGGCGTACGTACATACCTTGTGTAGCTTATAATTAAGGAGAGATCAGATCAAGCATATATGCAGGAGAGATCGATCGATTGCGAGCGAGGTACGGTGAGCAAGAGGAGGGCTATCTAGCTGGAGCTTTCTTTTGCTCGACGATCGGCTATATAAATAGATGGAGTAGTAGAAACTACAGTAGTGAACTCGATCGATCCATCGATCGGCTAGCTAGCTTATTAATGCATGCGCCAATAATAAATTCTCTCATATATGCACAACCTGCACAACACACACAACACTATACAGTCCAGCTGTGTACTCTCTTTTGAGAAACACGGTGCAAACATAGACGCTCACAACACGCGTACACTTATTTCTATGAATGTACGCATGTACACTCTATCTCTATTAGTACCTCCGAAAGACTCGGCTGGTATATCTTAAGGTTGACGAAGTAACCACGGGTGCCTCACTCTCAAGGGGTACGTCGCTTACCATTGAAAAAAATAATAAGCCGTAAATATGAGCATCAGTGTTAAATCTAGAATTTAAACCTGGATGATACTAGTTCTATCACAAGGAACCTAACTATGCTCACTTCTCTCTCTATGTCCCTGTCAAAAGAGGAGAAATTTTTTTTTGTTTCGAGTAACACACATGCAAGATAGCCTGTACTTGAATTCAATTCTTCACTGCTAGCTTGCTTTGACGAGCGAAGCGACGCGAAAAGCCCCTTCTTCAGGGATACATATATACGCCATAACGTACGTAAGTTGCCCTAGCTAGCTTAGCTTATGTGTACTCCTGTACGTACTGAGATATAGATCGATCAGATGTAGCTTTCCGTTCTTGTGTAACTCTGTATTACTGTGGCCTGTGGGGGTAGCGAAAGGAGGCTCGGCCAGTGATTGCCTGATGGGGTGTGCACGTCATGCTTGATCAATGCATATGCTATAGCATTATCTTCTTTCTTTTGAGTCTTTCCATGGCCCCTTCGTACTTGGATGCATATCTTCCTACAGGATACGGAGTAAATACTTGTAAAACCAGAAGGTCCCTTCAAAGGAATCAGACTACAAGGGCAAAAAAAAAAAAAAGACGCAAATCAATTAAATTCAGCCAAAAGGATAATTACACTGTAGATTTTTATTTAAAAAAGACTGAGCATATCTCTATCCCTACTATTATAAAAATTGAAGATGTTTTTGTAGGTATTTTGGTGCGTCATCCGTGTATGAGTCGGTTTTTAAGTTCATTTGCTTCTAGAAATGCATATCCGTATTTGAGTCGGTTTTCAAGATCGTTCACTTTTGGTAATACAGAGGGAATCATATAAGAATTCTGTTTAAAAAAACTCGCATGCTAACTTGAGACGATCGGAGTTCTAACTGCAGCTCATGATTTTCTAAAAAAATATATATCCAAGCGAACTCCCACAGTGAATTTCATCTTAACTAAACCATATAACAATAATAAGATTAAAATAAATTTCATCCGTTGCAACGCACGGGTACTTTTTCTAGTTAATAAAAAATATAAGGTACTATATTATATACTCCTAAATTTTTATTGAAAAGTCCGTGAAAGTAGTAACCGCGAACAAGAAAAAGCTAACTAGCTCTAGACAAATCTAGCTAACTCGGTAACACCATGGAAGATAAAACCTAGACTCTACATATATAGATTTAAACCTCTCTAAAGACTTTATTTGGAAGAAACCCTATAAATTTATTGGACCGGATAGCGGAGGAGGAGGGGGACCGAAGGACGAAGGTCGAAGGTGACGGTGGAAAAAACCCTACAGGTTCAGGGGCTGCCTTCCCGAGCCGCTGTGTTCATTCTTATATATTTTTCTGTGTGTTTTTCTTGCTAACTAACATGTAAATTCTCTTCACATTGAGGGAAAGAAAGGAGGCAAGTTCAGTTGATACAAGAATCTAAAATTAAATTCTTGGATGGAGGGGATCAGATATTCAGAAGAATTTATAGAGCTAATGCTTTCAGCCAAAATATGACACTACTTATCTCTTGTTTTTTTCTGTATGCAGAGAACTATAAGATTTGAGGTTTATTACTAATTCTTTGCATGTTGCTTTACTCTCTTTTAGTTTTGTTATTTAAGGATGTGTCAAATAGTCCATCCATCCCAAAATATAGCAACCTAATATGGGATGAGACTCATCTTAGAACAATGTATCTGTACATCCTAGGACAATTTTGGGACGGAGGGAGTACCATTTTACTACCTCCATCCTAGAAAGATTGCAATTTTACACTATTTATATCCAACATTTGATCGTTCGTCTTATTTTAAAAAGTTTTATAAATAGTATTTTTATTGTTATAAAATGATAAACATGAATAGTACTCCCTCCATCCAATATAAGCATTTTTATCATAGTGATAAGTTAAACATTTTTAAGTTTGACCACTAATAGCAGAAATATAAAAAAGATCAATCATATAAATTTGATATTACAAGATTTATCATTAAAAAAACTATTATAATATGTAATTCTTTTTATTTAAGATATTTTATTTTTATAGGTATTGTTGGTCAGAGTAGTATCTCGGAGGCCATGTCAGGATAAAAAAATACGTATATTTTAGGACGGTGAAAGTACATTATGTGTGACTACTTTTTAAAAACTTGTTTATAAGTTTTTCGAATAAGATGGACAATCAAATATTGAATATTACCTCGTTGAATACGGAGGTAGTAGCCTATTGAATACGGAGGTAGTGCTACTACGGATGAAGTGACGTACTACTGTTCAGATCAAATCACGAAACTAAAGATTTGACGGGTCGCACTTGGACCAAAATTGCCGCAAAAGATCTCACGCCATTGAATGCCAAAAGTTCTGACGACTAAAAAACATTAACTCATGGTTGAGTTCAGTGCACACGGATCACTGATTCGCCGCAGCTACGCGCCGATCTGCAATGATGAGCTGACGCAAATTAATTGTTGAAGCGAGAGTAAAAAGGAAAGGCAACACTGCACCATGAGTGCATGAGCCGCAGCGCTAGAAAGGAACCCCAAATTAATTAATCCCTCACTCTTTGAATCTGTTAAAATATATATAAGGGCCTATTTAGTTCGCCTAAAACTTTTCAAAAAACATCAGATCAAATCTTGGAATATATGTATGTAGTATTAAATATAAATAAAAAGAAAAATTAATTACACAGTTTGCATGTAAATCGCGAGATGAATCTTTTGAGTCTAATCCATGATTAGCCATAAGTGCTACACTAACCCACATATTCTAATGACGGATTAATTAGACTCAAAAGATTCACATCGCAGTTTTCAGGCGAGTTATGAGATTAGTTTTTTCATTCGTGTCCAGAAACTCTTTTCGATATCCGGTCAAACGTCCGATGTGACACCTAAAAATTTTTATTTCACCAACTAAAATAGACCCTAAGCTATATTACAATTTGTTTTAATCGAAGGACCCTGTTAAAATATAGATTCGCACTCAGGCCGGCTCAATCGAAGGACCCTTTCAATTATAAGTTAAAATATAAGCTGTATTACAATTTGTTTTAATCTATAAATATATTCATGGGTTATGGGTTACTCCCTTATATCTTTACCTCCAACACCACACTAGCTTCATCCAGTTTTCTTTTATTAAATCTTTCCTACGAAGAAGAATATTTTTGTGTTTTTTCTACCTTAATGTGTACACCAGTCACCAAGTGAATGCCACTTAGCATCAGTGTTTACAGATTTAATACAACACCGGAATTCAAACCCCGTTGAATTGATGGTTTCCACGAGAAAACCCACTGGTTTGCTACAAAACTCACAAACCAAAATTGGAATTCCGTGCAGGCGCCTCTAGATCGCCTACAGTGGCGGATCCACCATGGGGTCTCTGGGGTCTCGAGACCCCGCTACCCGTATTGTAATGACCCCATAAAGACCCCACTAAAATTTTCTGTCATACATCTATTAGAAGAGGGGCCTATAATTTTATATGGTTTGTTCAGACCCTCCTGGTAATCTTTCCTGGATCCGCCCCTGATCGCCTATAGGTATATATCTCAAGTGAACGAGAACGTGAATTCCCTTTTAAACTGCCCAGAAATCTTGTTGAATACTGAGAGTAGGAACACCGATATAATTGAAAGCCATGAATTTTCGTCGAAAACTGATTGCTTCTGTATTAAAATAATAAAAGTGATCGAGAAAATCAGGAAATAAAGGGAAAAATATAGGACTCTTTTTACAAGGATTGACAGTGATGTAACATAATATGTAGTACACAACTGAAAACATTATAGCAACAATCGAAAAGTTTGAAGTCCATAGCCAGTACATATAAAAACTATACAATCTTATAAAGTTATAATATCGATCAGCAACATAATATTATTATGACGTTCCATATCAATGGCATATATGGTTGTAAAGTAAGGTATCCTGTGGCAACAAAACATAAAAAAATATTTCTTTTTACTAGTTTTAGTTATTTGATTTGGCTTTTAGTGCTAAGTTCACATAAATACAACTTCTGTTTAACAAATTTTTGTGTTGCATAGTAATAGTATTTATAAGGAATTTTTCCAAAGTTTTCTCATTTTTAACTAAAAATACTGATTGGATTAAAAAAATCGACTCATTTGCAACCTTAATTATTATAGGATAGATATTTTGAGAACTTTTTTCTATACATTAGAACTCAAAGTTTTAAGTAGGGTTTTAAATTTTGATTTTGGCTAAAATTTTGGCCATTTCAAAATTTCAGAAATTTCAGCATTTTTTGGACCGAATTTTTCTGAAATTTTGACACAATTTAACTGAATTTGAATAAAATTTAACCAAATTCACCAAAAATTGCGAAAAACCGAAAATTTCAGCCGAGATATCAAGTACCAGAAATTCAAACCCTGGTTTTAAGAAAAGAATCAACCAAGATTTAGGAAAATCTCAACGATAAATGCAATTGGCTGTGTGATCCAATTTGGCCCGTCAGAAGCTCTCCAAGTTGGCACCGCACTTGACGCCACTTCTGCAGTGTACTCCGTGCCATGCAACGTAGCTGCTTCATCGCTATGCATGCAAGATGCTCACTGGAGCGCGTTGTCTCCATGGCGATAAGTGGCGGATCAGGAAGATATAGTAGTGGGGTCTGAACAAACTATATAGAGTTAAAGTTCCCCCTCCTATTTACATATAGAAAATTTTAATAGGATTTTCGTGGAGGCTCTTATAGTCTTCACGCCAGTAGTGGGGGCACGAGACCTCGCCGCCCTCAGGCTGGATCCACCCCTTCATGGCGATGAACTCGGCGACGACGTGATCCAGGAGCGCCACGGCGTTCGGGTTGTTAAACTTCGACGAGAGGTGGAAGCAGTGGTCCTCGCCGTCGGACTCCACCAGCGTCGCCCCGCCGCCCCACGCGCCGTCGCGCATCTCCGGGCGCCGCAGCTTCAGCGCCGTGGCGCGCCAGGCGGCCGGTGTCTCGGACGGTAACCGGTCGGTGCCCCAGCCCACCTTCGATGTCGATGCCTTCGTCCTCGCCGCCGCCGGCGCCACTGCGGGAGGCGCCGAGCCGTACCTTCAAGTTGTGCACGATGTTGGCGCCGGCGCTCTCGCCGGCGAGGAACATGTGGCGTGGTTGGCCACCTAAGGGTACTGGACGGTGTGACGGGAAGCCACCCACCGGAGCGCCGCCCACGCGTCGTCGTAAGCCGCGGGCACAGGGGTGCTCCGGCGCGACGCGGTAGTCGAAGGAGACGGCGACTGCCGCGGCGCGCGCGGCGAGTGACTCCGCGTAGCGGTGGAACAACGGGGCGCGCGGAGGCGCTCGCGGTACAGAACGCGCCGCCATGGACGTAGACAAACCAAAGGGAGCCTCCTGCATGCGGCGGCGGCAGGGAGGAAGAGGCGAACGGACACGCCGGGGATCGTCACAACGCCATTTGGGCTTCTGATCTCGTCGGACGACGATGCTGGCACGGAGGTGTGGCGCACGTATACTTCCTGACGAGGCCGTCCTTGTACGTTCGCGCGTAGGAACGGGAAGAGGTCGACGGCGATGTGATCTTGTTTGTGTTCATGTGATGCTGGTCCTTCCCGCGTCCGTGCTCGAGCTCCTCTGCAACATCACCAGTCCAAGACGGCTTCACCTCGAGTTGTTAGTTGGTTGAAGGCTTATAGCTTCTTCGATGCAGTTATCTTACCGTCGTAACCTAGCTCCTTTGTTGTTGTCGGTTTTGTGTGTTGCATATTCGTCCTCCGTGTCGTGTTGGTGACGGTCTCAACTCTCCATCACTGGTGAAGATAGAGACATATGGATTTACAGTTCAGTTACTTTCCCCTATCTTTTGCTTGGTTCGACTGTAATAATCAGCGGTGATGTGTGTGAGGTGATCTGATCAGCCGATGATTACGACGAGTATTTGCAAATTCGAGTTCAAATTCTTTGGGAATCCACGACAAAGGTTTAAGGTAGTGGTGAAAACGGTACGAAAACTTTTCAGATTCCAGACCTATTTTTTAAAACAGAATCTATCGGTTAGAATTTTTCAAAAACGGAAACGAATTCGGAAATATTTTGTCGGAAACGGAATCGAAAATGATAAGGGCAGTTTTCGTCGGAACTCGGAATCAGTCGGAAACTTTCCGGAAATTTTCTCGGAATTACCAGAAATTTTGTGACTGAAATACCCTAGATTTTTTTTAAGCACTGAATAGTGAATAACATGGTGTTTACCTGCTATTTTTTTTAAAAAATTGTTATGCAAATCTAAAATTACATAAGAATATTATTTTTCCTGCATTAGGATTTATCAACAACATTACTTTCTTAAACATAGATAATTTATTCCATTGGATTTATCAGTTTGAGGGGTTTTTTATTCCGATAAATTTTCGTACCGTATTTGCGCCAGTTCGTTTTCGCTCCGTTTTTGGTTTATATAATATTCGATTCGTTTTCGTATCCAGGGTTTTCAATTCCGATTCCGATTCCGATTCCGAAAAAAAATGAAATCGAAAATAATAAAGATGGCTTCTGTCCGTTTCCATACCGTTTTCACCCCTAATCTAAGGAGGAGGACTTATATGCAGATTATGCATATTTTTGCCAACAACGAATGGAGTAGGTTGTCATCTCACTTTCTGTATTTAGACTTGTGTTACAGATCGTCTGTATTTAAACTTTATGTTTTTAAAATACGCGAATATTAGGGAAAGATCTGATATCAAATAATGAGAAGGAGTGGGTTTCGAACCCAAATCGTCTAGCCCATTACCTTGTGGAGCTAGCCGGAATATTCTTGGACGTTTCTCAAACTGTATGTTTTGTTTTTTTAAAAAATATAGTTGTTTTGAACTGCCAACTCTATAATACTTGGGGCTAGTTATTTCGAAGCAATAGCCCAAATAAATTCCATTATTAAAAAGATTATCTTCGTACCACAATAATACACACATAATAATAACAACTAGTCCGTGAAACATCCAAGGCAGTAACACAACTGTTTCCATTAGTCATCAGAGTCTCAGAGATAATAACTCTGGAGCACACTCCGTAGAGCAATTGCAGGAACACGATGATACTTCTGGGCCTTACTGGGAAGCCTGATCATGTTGCCCACCCCAAACCCGGCACGTCGAAGCCCAACCACAGCTTGGGCCGTACACCTCGGCCCGCGGGGAACTCTCCAACAAGCTGGCACCACCGCACTTGACCTCGTTTTCTTAGTGGCGCGCTCCTCCTCCATCAGCATGCTGATCGGTGGTGGTGTCTTGCCCTTGGCGATGAACATGGCGACGCGATCCATGAGCACGCCGGTCTCCGCGTGGGAGCCGAACTCCGGCAAGAGGTGGAAGCAGTGTTCCACGCACCTGGACTCCACCAGCGTCGCCTCGCCGCCCCACGCGCCGCCGCGCAGCGCCGCCGCGTACCGCCGCCCGCGGTCGCGAAGGACGTCCTCCGTGGCCACGCTCACCAGCGCGCGGCGGCACGGCAGCGACGCTATCGCCTCGGCGGGAGGGTCGATCCGGGGATCGTCGCCGCCGTTGTTGTTGTTGCCCGCCGTCACGTACGGCCAGAGGGCGTCGATCCTCTCCGGCAGCAGCATCGGCGGCGGCTCGCGCGTGCGCGTCTCGCACGGCAGCCGCTCGGTGCCCCAGAAGTATGGCTGCAGCAGTATCATGCCCTCGATGTCGATGTCGTCGTCGTCGTCGAACACCTCGCCAGCGTTGCGGGTGGCGGCGCCGGCACGTACTGCCACGTTGTGCACGATGTTGGCGCCGACGCTCTCGCCGGCGAGGAACACGCACGAGAGGTCGGCGTAGTCGCCGACCCAGGTGTCGTCGGAGAGGCGGCGGGAAGCCGCCCACCGGAGCGCCGCCCACGCGTCGTTGTAAGCCGCGGGCACGGGGTGCGCCGGCGCGAGGCGGTAATCCACGGACACGACGACCGCCGCGGCGCGAGCGGAGAGCGACTCGGCGTAGTCGTGGAACATCCTGGCGGAGGCGCTCCCCGTGCAGAAGGCGCCGCCGTGGACGTAGACGACAAGGGGGAGCCTCCTCCCGGCCGCCGCGGCCGCCGCGGCCGCGTCGACGGGGAGGAACACGCGGACCGACACGCCGGTCTCGTCGTCGATGACGACGTCCTTCGTCGCGACGCCGTTCCCGCTCCTCGTCTTGTCTCTCGTGGCGCACCAAGATCCACCTGCGGCCGTCGTTGAACTCGACAAGAAACGGCCGGAGGTCGACGGCGATGTTGCCGCGCGCCGGCGCCGGCGCCGGCGACGGCGAGCTCTTGCTGCTTGTTCTCATGCTGCAACTGTAGCTCGCTCTTGCACGATGGCTTGCATGGAATGGGAATTAAGCGGGTTCTTATATATAGGGAGTAGAGAGGTGCCGTGCTGGTGAAGTTCTCTAAATTAACCCCTTAATTAGTTTTTTTAGGAGACCTTAATTGATTGATTAATTCTCAGAACACAACTAACTGATCGATCGATGCGCGTTCCCATTTCTCTCGATCTTGCAAGCATACGCGTTCCATTTGAAAAGACATATAAACATTCCGTAGAAGGGAATATATAGATTCGCAGGAAGCCAGGAACAAATTTCTCGTGAATTAATACAAAATTGTTGTTGATGAACTTATCTGGGAAAGGAAGATATATGATTTATATATAAGCATTAAATGTTATGAAGTTCTTGCATAGGAAAAACAAAGAGGAGAGATGCCATACGTATTAAAAAACCAATACTGATCCATGTTTCCATTCTTAAAAAACATGTAGGCTGATACCTTTCACATCCTCATGCATGCACCAATATTGTTCTGGCCGGTACATTTTCGTAGAAGGGCAGTTTGCTGGAGCAACCTTATCTCATGAATTAATTAAGACATGCCACATAAAATAAAATCATTATCCATGGACCCTCTGGGAGAAGGAGAGAGAACCTGGGACTGGGAGGAAGGCGTGTTTGCTGAAGCAATGGCGCCGATCGATATTGTTTATGAAGTTTTGCATCTGCAAAAAAGGAGGAGAATAGGTGGACAGGGAAATCCAATTCACTACTATAAAACCATTTTTTAGATAACCCAACATTTTTACGAATAGGCTAAAGGAAGACCCGCTTTTAAAAATACATAAGACTCCTCCGGTTAAGGTTGTCTTAGTAGGTCTGCTCGTCAAAATAGACCTATTTTCCCAGTTGGTGGTTTTGAGTCGATTCAGTCACACAATTCCACCATGGACCGAAGAGCTATATTAAAATCAAAGGACACGCCCCTGCCTCTGCTCATTTGTTCCTTTTTCTCCTTTGCTCTCAGCTCAATCTCTTCATTCTTTTTATCAGTCCGGCAGCCTCGGGAGTAGCAACGGCGATGGTTGTGGCCTCAGCAGCAGTGGATCTGTTGCTGACAAGCATGGGAGCTGCGACGATGACCACGTCAACCTCTAGAGCGGCGATGACACCCCGTCCTCCCCCCCACACCCACCCTTTCGGGGGCACCAAATCTGTCGCTGTGTGCCTTGGGAGGGGTGGATCTGCCAATGACGAGCATAGGAGTGGCGATGACGTATACCACAGAGGCCTCGGGAGAAATAACAATGATGGTGCCAGCCTCGGGAGGGGTGAATTCGGCGGTGGGAAGGTCGGGGATGTCAAAGGCAAGGTCAGCGACAGCCATTTTTCAGGGAATAGATGTGGTGTCGACAGTGGACGGCAGCGGTTTCTTATGAACTAGGGATTTTGGGAAAAAAGTTGGCAAAATTTCTTTTTGCAGTCAGGTGGCATAACGTGTCCGCTTGCAGAAACCTCATTTTCCCACACAGTTGTGTTGTCCGTTTGAAAAAAAAAATCCGATTTTTACATACAGTTGGAGGCAGCGGTTGTTGCGCCCGCATACAAAAATTCATTTTGGTCACATGAGAAAATTATTTTTTTAGGTAGTGATTAACATTACCAGATCAACATAATGGCAATGATTATCATAGCTACTCCCTTCGTCCTTGAATATATCAATCTAGAATCGGATAGAACGTAGCGTAGTACTACGAATTTGGACAGGTACATTTCATCCGATTTTAGGTTACTATATTCTGAAACGGATAGACTAGGTGGTTACTTGCGTGGATTGATATATGTAAACATACATTAGGATTAACCCCAATACAATATAATAAGTTGATATACTTGCAGAAAGCAATTAAAATGACACTGATGATCTGATGCGGCAATAATGCCCAGCCTCGGCGTGTGTTTATCAACTAGCAACACTAGGCCTCGACGTGGAAGAGGAGAAGAAGACTAGATGAGGGTGTCAGTGTGGTTAGCCATACGGCAATGCCTAGCTAGCTTAGCTGCAACGAGAGACGAGGGTACATGCATAGAGGTCAACGTCAACGCTGTTGCATCCTATAGTTGAGAGGAAAAAAATGTCTGGGTCGGCCGACGAGTCCGGAGATGGATTGTAATCAGTTGAACGATCACCCGTTTATTATATTATTTAAATACTTATAATTATTTTACAAGATTAAACAAGATAGATTAAGGTGTAATATATGATATCACTTGGTAAACATACAAAATCAAATTTGATTTCTACATGTTGTAAAAAAAATAAATTTAGTTGTGCATATCCGTATACTATTTTTTTATTTTTGTTATAACTTATAGAAGTTGAATTTAATCGTGTATGTTTGTTAAAAAAAATTAAAAAATTTCACAACTATTTGGTTGACATGTAATAGACGAGTGGACATCCATATAGTTGATTAAAAGAGTTTCCCCAACAAACTCGCTTAAAAATTTTAAGTTACCTTTTACATGTCGATAAACAAGACAGCCATAGAAAAGTGATATATAAACGGGCTCGTAGATCAACCCATTTGCATCCTTGATATTGGCGGATATTAGCACAAGGTGAGGTGTTGTTGTCGGCCAAATAAGGACACTAGATCGAGTTAACAGAACATCGCTTTTCACCAAAATCGTTCGGTTTTCATGTAATAATCGGCAAATCGCTGGTGGTCAGTTTGCGGAAACCGATCGGTTTGAGCTGGTTTACTTGTGGCATTGCCTTGAAGTCGTCGTTCTTTCAGGTTTCTGGCCAGTTTTCGATTAACCAATAAGGAGTGGTTTTCAATTCCACAAGGAAAAGGTAAACCCTAAGAAACACTATGCATGAATGTTTCTAGCATTCTTCCTATTTCAATAAATCACAGATATCATTTTCCACTTTTTATTAAATTTTAGAAATAATAACTATTTACTCCCTCCAAATATTAATATATGATATGATGTATTAACACTAATTTTGGTGATAAACGTCGTATATTAATGACAAGAGGGAGTAACAAAGAAATCAGTGTAAGGGATGATATGGATTTTTTAAAAATTAGCAGCACAAAAACATTAAACTATTTATTAAGCATACATCTGTCCCCCACATCGACATACTTCATTTTGCAACATAGGTATATTGTACTTTATCATAGTGATTGGGCAAAAGGAAGTTCAGGAAACACAAGGCCCAACATTTTCCATTTTGTTCTTCAGAGACAACTCCTGACCACATACTTGTCGGCCTTATTGGCCATTATTCCTGATCCGGCATGTTGAACTTTCGGCGCAGTTTGGCCTCGCAACGCATGCATTGACGTCGTTTTCTCCGCGCCCGCGCCATGCAACGTGCACCGGCGACGGCGACGCCGCCGCTTCGCCATCGGCGACGACGTGGAGGTGTTGCCCTTGGCGATGAACTCGGCGACGTGGTCCATGAGCGCCGCGGCGTTGGGGTTAGGCCTTGGCGAGAGGTGGAAGCAGTGGTCCTCGCCGCCGGACTCCACCAGCGTCGCCTCGCCGCCCCACGCGCCGCCGCGCATCAGCGCCGCCGCGTACCGCCGCCCGCGGCCGCGCAGGACGTCCTCCGTGGCCACGGACACCAGCGCCCGGCGGCACGGCAGCGACGCCACCGCCTCGGCGGGGGGATCGATCCGGGGGTCGCCGTTGCCGGCGGCGCCCGCCGTGGCGAACGGCCAGAGCGCGTCGAGCCTCTCCGGCAGGAACATCGGCGGCGCGGCGCGCCTCCAGGCGGCCGGTCTCTCGCAGGGTAGTCGCTCGGTGCCCCAGAAGCATGGCTGCAGGAGTATTATCCCCTCGATGTCGATGCCGCCGCCGCCGTCGTCGTCGTCCTCGCCGGCGGCGGCGGCGGCGGCGGCACGTAACGCCACGTTGTGCACGATGTTGGCGCCGGCGCTCTCGCCGGCGAGGAACACGCACGCGGTGTCGGCGTAGTTGGACACCCAAGGGTCGGAGTGGCGGGAAGACGCCGCCCACCGGAGCGCCGCCCACGCGTCGTCGTAACCCGCCGGCATGGGGTGCTCGGGGGCGAGGCGGTAGTCCACGGAGACGACGACCGCGGCGGCGCGCGCGGCGAGGGACTCGGCGTAGCGGTGGAACGGCGGGGCGGAGGCGCTCCCGGAGCAGAAGGCGCCACCATGGACGTAGACCACCAGAGGCAGCCTCCTGCCGGCGGCGACCGCGGCCGCGGCCGCGTCGACGGGGAGGAAGAGGCGGACGGACACGCCGGTCTCGTCGTCGACGGCGACGACGTCCTTCGTCACGACGCCACTCGGGCTCCTCTCGACGGGCGACGCTGGCACGGTGGCGTGGCGCACGAACTTCTTGATGCGGCCGTCCTTGTACACGCGTAGGAACGGGAAGAGGTCGACGGCGATGTCGCCGTCGCCGTCGCCGCCGCTCTCATTTCGAGCTGGCGAGCTCTTGTTTGTACTGCTCATGCTGCACTGAGATGAATTTGCTTGCAAGCTAAATTATTGATTTTGCCTGAGGATGCTTTTTGCATGTGTGGTTGATGGGGGTTCTTATATATTAGAGGAGTGCTTAAGTTGTTGAGTCTTGACGAAATCACGAAACGCTATAAATTAAGAACAACGAATGACACGTTTCATGCATCATATAATCCATTCATTCTCTTTTTAAATAATATATCATGTTGTTTCCGTTTTGTTTTCACATTTTGAACACCCATATAGTCTCCGAGAGGCACATGTTTTTTGTTTTTGTTATTAAACAAAGTAGATGATATTAAGTAATACAGTATAGTACAGACATATTGTTGCAACAAAGAGACGAAACATCTGCTAGTACTCGGAACAAAAGATGCTTCACGTATTCAAACATCGCAAGAGATGTAATGCTGGTAGACGTGTGCATACCCAACTGATCAACCCTACACGCACAAAAGTATATTTTTATCGGAAGGCTAAATGGCTGTCGAATGATTTTTGATAGCTAAATCATTCATGTTTCAATATATTCAGAACCGTTGTTTTATACGTTGTAGAAAAATGTTTCATGAGGTGATTTGATTGTGTTTTAGCTTTTTAAAATATTAAAACATTTTCAATCTACTTGGTGAAATATTTTCGATCCACTTGGTGAAACAACGCCCGATTAGTTTCAAAATATGCATGATGGAAGCCTAAAAAATAATGTGAATCCCATATAGACTTTTTCTTGATGTATTTGGATTTGTTTCATATTTCAGAATATATATATATTCTGAACCGTTGTTTCATACATCGTAGCAAAATGTTTCATGGAGTGATTTGATTGTGTTCCAACTTTTTTAAAAAATTAAAACATTTTCGATTTATTTGGTGAAACACTGCATGATGGAAGCCTAAAAAATCATATGAATCCCATATAGACAGTCCTCCTTCGATGTAACAGTTAATAAGTATCACCGAATAAATCAACAACTGACACTACTACCGAAACGGTACGAGAACCCCTATAGTTTACACATGGATTGTAACTGATTGCGCCCGTAAAAATCAACTTACATTTTCGCATAAGCTCCTTTAAAAGATCCGTATGAAAAAAAAATCAATTTTCAGAGACTGACCTCTTAACATATATACCCAAATATAAAAATAAGTATATTTTCACAAGCAACCCCATTTAAGAGGCCCACCTTCAAATATCTAACTTCCTACGTCCACTCCTCACTCTCTCCCCACTCCTCGCTTAGCCTCTTCTCTCTTCCTTTTCTTTTTGACGAGAAAACAGTAGGAGAGGCTCCTACTACTACGGTATATTAAAGGGCAGAGAGTTTATGTACTCTAGAAGGCGAAGCACGAGGGATTATTAGAAATTATCAAGCCATGTTTGCCAGATTGGTCGATCATGTATTTTTACCCTATTCAAAAGTAGAGTAAAATCTTCCCTGAAATGAAGCTTCCAAATTAAGGTTGAAAGAAGGTTGAATGTTGTTGAATATTAAGTCATTTTTTCGTTTCCAAATGTTCCAAAGAGCTATAGCAATTACTTCAATAAAGAATGGGTGACCAAAATTCCTTTTTTTTAATCATCATGTTCATGACATCTTAATTCGTTTCCCAACGAAAACCAAGAAAAATCCTGCATTGATTTGTGAATGAGCAGGTGAAAAACGTGTGGTTGGAGTCTTCTGGCATAGAAGTGTTGCAAAGTAGGAGTACACAGTTGGCTCCCGAGTTGACACTGAGATTCGTTCCGTGCAGCATATCTCTTGTGTTTAGGCGATCCTCTCCTCTCCTCTCACCCCTCTCCTCTCCTCTCCTCTCCTTTCCTCTCTTCCTACTGTGACTCCGATAGAATGTGGTGTGAGGAGCCCAGCGGAGGAGGCACGTGTTGATGGCAGCAGCAGTGGGGCCCTCCCCGGTGCTTCCCCACACGGATCTACAGGCGGCGGCCCTACCCCACGCTCCCCCGTGCGGATCCGGCGGTAGAGGGGCAATGCAGTGCGGGGAGGAGCGACGACGGCCTCGGTGACGGTGACGACGACGACGAGCTACGGGACTCAGTGATGGCAATGGCGATGACGACGAGCAATGGCAGACTGCGGGACGCTGTCGCCGGCATGAGACCTTGCTAAGGTTTTGAGATTGATTTTTTGGGATTTTTTATTTTTTTCGTATTTTTGTTTTTGCGTGCGGACGACATAAGCACGCGCACGATTTTCCTGTGCAGGTGCGCTGTCCGCATGAAAAAAATAGTGATTTTCGCAGATACACACAAAAATAGGTTTTGGCCATATGAAAAAAAAATTAGTGGTGCGATATATATTCGACATCCTTACTGTTAAAAGCTATATTAAAAGAGTTTTAATATATTTTTTATATAGTTCAAAATATGTAGCCATTAATATATTTATATATTTATATATTAATGGCTACAAATTTTGAAATTTGTTGGACATCTCCTATTTAAAAGGGTAAATTTTGCTGTAGGATACCCAAATTTAATGTAATTCGCTGATGGACATCGTAAAAATATGTCACGGTTGAAAGATACCGTAAAAACTGATAATTTGGTAGAGGACAATTCTGGCTCAATTAGATAGATAAATTCTTAAGGAAGACGATAATATCCTTAGAACCAAAAGCTTTTGACCAAAAATTTTTCTGAAGAATTTAATGTGTTCTTGTTTTTCCTGAAGAATTTTTCTCTCTACTCGAGCCAAAAATGTTTTGCAGTAAATTATCAAATTTAAATGTCTTTTAGCAATGATACGTTTTTATGATATTTATCAATAAATTATGCAAAATTTGAATTTCCCAGAACAAATTTTGCCAAACGTACATAGCGCTGATATATTCCATTTGATACCTTTCACATTGTTCGGGAATGTTCCGATGGAATGGACCGTTGCAAATAAATGGATAAAATAAAATAAGATTGCTGTACGCTTAAGGGAATTATTAGCTGGAAGGAACAGCCTTATCATGAACTAACACGTGCAATATAAAATCGTTTTTTTGCTAACTCCGAACTTCCGTGTGAAAAGGAGATAACCTGGCGGGAATTGAATTATTGAATACACGCAATTACGCGTGATGAAGCAACATTCTGTTATCAAACTTTTGCGGATGGGAAAAAACTACTCCTTTCATTTTATAATATAAGACTTTATATTATTGTTCTTCTATATTAATGTAGATATTAATGAATCTACACACACATATATATATTTAGATTTGTTAATATCTATATATAAATATAGATAATAGTAAAAAGATTTATATTATGAAACGGAGGAAGTATACGTATTCGATGTATGGGAGTTCGGTGCAAACCAGTCAAAAAGAATGCACCACGTAGAATGACATCACTCACACATGTCTTCCGACACTTATGCACACTGAAGTTTTAAATCGGCCAAACTAAATCTTCAGCCAATCTCTTCAGCCCACAACCTAGTAATCCCACAACCCATAAGCAACAACCTTTAATTTTTGTCATACCCCTATTCTTCTTATGGTTACTTTGGAACCCATGATTCTCAAAACACGGAAATAAAAACTACGCAGGATTAAAATGCCATAGCAACTTGAATCCCATGGACCGAAAAAATGCACTATAACTGTAGGAAATACCGTTTGGATGAAGCACAGAGCGAAAACTCACTAATTAGATGAGAGATATAGACACAACGGATTTTTTTTCTTTGAACATAGAGCTTATGTTAGAATTTCTTTAAGATTATGTTTTGAGCAAATACAAAGGAATTTTATACAATACTAGAAAAAATACCCTTGCGTTGCAACGAGTAAAAATCCAACGGTTCATGTGATGTTTCATTTCAGGTTGTCCGATACAACTTTCACTACATATTATATATTATATTTTTCAAGCAAGCAGTCCAAACGTTTAATTTTTAGTAGATTTTAACTAAAAATACTGCAACAACGTGGGGGCATATTACTAGTAAGCAAAAGTTTCACGCTAGTGAAAAGAGTGTAACTCAACTGTGTGAGTGTAACTCTACTGGTTAGATTCCTTATGATAGAACTAATCCATCTGAATTTAAGTCCTAGACTCGACGCGGATACTCACATTTATGGTTAATTGTATTCAGTGGTAGGTGACATACAACAAGACGTTCGTGACTTCGTGGTGACTTCGTCAATCTCAAGATAACATTATGAGCGCTTGCGTTTGTACCACTCTAGTTTAAAATAGATTATCTACCGGATTATTGTATTTGATTTTCTACACGATTATAAATTTAAATCAAATATTGTGAAATAATAGTTTAGAACAAAGGATTTAAGCAATATAGTAGGTGTTGACGACCAAATTTGGTAAATCATGCATCAAATTCGAAGCTAAAGTCGAAGCGGATTTGGCGGGAGATCGTTCCCAGAAACAGAGTGCGTATCGGCTACGAGAGCATCGGTTAATGTCTGCATCGGCTGATATTGGACCGGACAAAGAACAACCAATGTAGCCGATCTAGTAAGGTGGTTCTAGAATCATCTTCGGGATCGATTGATGTGCTGCACAAGTATTGCCACATATGGATTGAGTCCTAAGAAGGCAATTGTATCTATTAATTAGGATTTTCTGGTAGTTTTTTTAGAGATATTTTCGGTAAGATTCTACCTAAAAGACTTTTATATCTTAGAGTTGTAACAGATTGGGAGTCGTGTCCGGCAAGGACATATTATATATTTTGGGTATAAATATGACCCAAGACCTTGTAAACAAATTAACGACAGTTCAATCGCCACCTTTTCTACTTTCATTGTTTTCGACGAGTTCTTGCTTTCAAGTTGGGTTGCAACGAGTTCGATCTCCAGCAAGAGGTAAAACTTGTCATGGTGGCTTGTGTTCTCGGGATTAGTGCTTACATCTTTATGATACTCTAATCTTGTTTATGTAAATCGTCGAGTTATCATATATGTTATATAATCTTTTTCAATATCGTTATCTAACCTTAAATAGGCTAGCATCTATCATCAGAGGGTAGCCGATAGGGTTAAACATCAATGTTGATCTAGATTATATAGTATATCTACCATCTCAAAGAGGTTTTCATCGACTTGTTTAGATCTTATGTTTCTCTTTGTACTTAATGCTGCATCAGTCATGTTCGATCTATTAAGTAACATCTAGAACCATAATATCTAGCTTGTTTTATGATTATCGATAGAGATAGTATCGGGGTTTCAGCCGATCTTATCTGGTTTAGTTATCTTGTTCCTTACATGTTTACTCGATATGCTAAATCTGCCATTTATATTAAGATCTTATTGCATTAAAATATATTAAGCTCGTTGTTTAGTATATTTTGTCTGTTTTAACATCTTAGGATAGAGCAGTGTCGGAGTATTAGCCGATACATCTAAGATTTACTTCATCGGCTATGCTATGAATATATATAATCTCAATCTTGAAGTACTTTTAAACATAAGTGATTTATATTGTCTCGGCAGACTGTCCGATCTATCACAATCACTTAGTTTAAACATATTTTTAGAAATAGATTATATATCATTGATATCTACAGCCGATCGGGTAGATTTAATTTTATCTTGCTTCTTTCTTTATTGCTGATCTGGTTCACTTCACATCGGCCCAATATTGAACGATATGTCATCGGCAATACAGCCGATCGGCTATCGTTTGTAGATTTAACTATGTTTCTTTTCTTTCTTGTTGGTTTAAGGATCAAACCAACTGGCATGCTCAGAAACCAAAAGCAATTCTTTGGACCTACACTGGAGTTAAGCAAATCTTCCAGGCCAGTGTGTGTTTTTCGCATCAACAGTAGGAGAAAGTTTTTCTTAGAAAAATATATATTTTTTTAGAAATATCGAGCAAATAATCCAATAGACTAGCTGAAAAGAACAGGATTATGAAGTCTCATCGATCAATAGCAAAGGGGGCTTTGTATCTCTTAAGCATGTATTGAAAGGATCCATGCATTCGCAGATGCATGCGTGATGACTGTAAATTTATATCTCAAGTACATTTCTCACATTTTCAGCAACAAATGCAAAAATGTTAAGAGTATAAGACATATTGTGTCAAATTACAATCAATCGATCTTTTATCTATCCATCTATCTATCTCTAGTGCAATAAATCATTTCCCACAATATACAGATCAACAGTTGCTACTGAAGAAACCTAGTATATTTACATTTCACAAGTCGGGTTTCGAATAAAAAATTCCCCAAGGTAAAATAGCCGTATGTACGTGCTACACAGGTAAAGAATCTCCGGCTTAAATTAAATCAGCATCCTAACTCGTCAAGACTTGTCCTCTTTCCCCTTGATCTCAGGTCAATCTTGATGGAGCACTTCTGTGAAACGTGAGGCAGTTCAGATACGAGGAGAGCCTGCAGAAAGAATCAGTGGTCAATAGCCTGAGAGACTGAAGGTCTGAAGAATATCATAATACAAGTTTCAGTGAATACCTTGCGTGTAATTACAGACTCGATCCCTTCCCGGTGCACTATGTCGGTGTAGTTAGTTCCTATCCTGCAATCAATCGAAAACTGCACCCAAAAACATGTTGAAAGTTTGCAAATTTAGTGATCCAATCTCCTGAAATTACAGCAAGCAAGTAAATGATTTAGAGCAAGTCTGAAATCTGAAGATCTTTTTTCAACTATCAGTAGAATAAACTTTTTTACGTGTGATATTAGTGTTTCAAAAGCTAATGCTAGAAAATATATTACGATGAAAATAAAACCAAAAAGATTAAATCTAACATTAAAATTTAAAATTTAAGTTTTAGCTATGACTGATATAAGCTAATAAGCAGATAATGAGAGGTTGAACCTGAATCTTGGGCAGAGCGAAGTTCATGATGTGCGTGCGCGCATCGATGCTCCCGGCGATCCGTATCTCCAAGTACTTGCGCTGCGCCGAGAGCTCGCCGACGACGAGCCGGGTCACGTCGGGCTGCGAGAACACGGCGTGCACGGGCACCGTCACGTTGGCGCTCCGCGGCGGCTGGTAGAACTCCGGCACGCCCACGGCGCCGACCGACTCGTTCGCGTACGCGACGCCGAGCGCCGCCGCGCCGTACCTGATCCCGATGCCGTTGGCGTTCTGCGCCGCGAACACCAGCGTTGCCACCGAGCACGCCGTCCCGTTCGCGTTCGCGCCGCCGCCGCCGGTGCCGTTCGCCGACGCCGACGACGACAGCGACGACTGGATCAGGCTGAACGACCTGTCCATCTGCACGGACTGCAGCAAGAACGTCGGCTTCTTGAGCCTCGCGACGAACACGACGAGCAGCACGGCGGCGACGAGCGCGAAGAAGACGACCGAGAGGGCGAGGTAGAGGCAGAGACATCTCGCCGACTGAGGCGGCGGCCAGTGAGCGCCATTGTTGCAGCTCTCCTCGCAACTCTGACGACCTCTCCTGCCGCTGCTGGTAGAATCCATGGCTAGCTAGCTATAGCTAGTGAGAGAGAGAGATCATAGAAGAAGCCATGGAATCAGCAGAGTGAGACGAATATATATGTTGCCATTTGCAACTTTGCATTGCACCAAAGAGAAAGGAAAACCGCGGGAAAAGCGGTGGTGGGCTTCTCCTTCTCCATAGTCGCAAGACTCGTGCAAATACCATCGAGTCGCCTTTATTCTTTCCTTGAAAAGTTTGTATGAATTTTGAGCTTCTCCTTCATGGAGAAGATGGAGGATCACTTGGAAGAGCAGGCAGGTGACTAACTTAATCCGGCATGGATGCTTAGTTTTAGAACTAGATTTCACAAATAATGAAGTTTATTCGCTACAAGAATCCATAATTTTCTTGGCGGCCAACTGATTTCTTTGGCGGTCGGCCGATGAATAAATAACCACCTTGGCAGTTTTCATGTTATAATTGGAGGTTTTTGACCATCAAGAAAATTACGAATTCTTGTAGTGATTCAATTCTTCCTATGTACTGTCCCCATTGTCAAATGAAAAACTGATGATCACCATGTTGCATGTACTGATGGGTAAAAAAATTTCTAAAACAGAATATATGTGCAATACACATAAAGTTGCACAACAAATTCACCTTTTTTTTGTTATAATTATGTGAAAGACACACGCGCGCACATAATCAAATACTCAACCCACACACACCCATGGCGGTGAGTATGCCGAAAAATATCAAACAAGCATAATTCTAGCATTGTTATCATAAAGCTCATGAATTTGTAGTTTTTACAATGTTCAACTTTACAAAATCTATGTTTCCGAATATGCACTGAGCATCATATAGTAAATGGGCTCCACTCATCAGTGTTACATGAACGGGCACATCGTCTACGAGGTGACTTCTTTCGATCGACAATTTGGATGCGGTTTCTACATATACTTGTAGTGTTTACAAATATGTAAATAGTTGTTGTGTGCAATCATAAATATAAATATGGTGAATGCAAGGACATAACAAACATATATTGAATAAAAGGGTTGGTCAGCCATGTCAACGAAGGTCACCATGACAAGAATTTGGTAGAGAGCGATGGAGCAATGGAAGTTAGAAGCGGCATGGAAGCAAAGGAGTAAGAAGTAGAGGTCGATCTGGTGTTGAGCTACGGGTGATAAAGTCTAGAAAAAGAAAAGAAGCTACCAAAGATACTTTTACAGTAAAAAGTTTATACTTCTATTCTTAGTGGTCCAAAAGCTAAGGCTAATAAAGAATAGAAAACTATGAAAAAAAAAACCTAAACTAACTCTAAGATTCCAATTTTGGCTACGTTAATAAGCTAAGCTGATAAATCTACTGAGAGAGGCAAAAAGATAAGTAGTAGGCTGGCTAGACTGTGCTACAAATGGGGGATAAACGGTATAATAAGTTATATATAGGCAATGCGACTAGGGAAACAGAAATTAGTTCGTGCATGAACACCATCAGGTCCAAGGAGTTTGCATCTAGCCAAACTTCAAAAGGAAATTTTGGTTCCATACCATACGATTTTTGCTAATTTAGTTACACAGCACCTAAATCGTGCGACACATTTTTAATAATCAAATATTGTTGTCTTTGGTTTGATTGGTGCAACCACCACAAGGTATTGTCTGATGCGAACAATCAAACTAGGATATAGAATGGATGGAGATTGCATGGCATGTAGGACTATGTAGCTTGGGCTCATAATACAGAGAGGGGATAACAACTGCCCTAAAGCAGAGAAAGAACTCTACAATTCAAAAAACTTCACGTGGGGAGGGGGGGGGTTCCATGTTGTTTCCTCACCAAATTTCAAAATTATCTAGAAAGGTTCAAGGTCCGAGAATTTGTCAGGAGATTTGAAATAAAAGGCGTGTGGGAGCACTAGAAATCTCACTAACCACATTTTGGTTGGCACCACGACACTTATTTTATTTATTGTACTAGTGGATATTTCACCAGCAAGATTTTAAAAGAGTTGGGTTTCATATACACTCATTAGCCTATGTTTCCATAAATAAATTTTAATTTTCTATGGAGTGTGGTTTTCAAAAGAATAATTGGATTTTGGGCTTGTTTACTTTGTTGTTACTTTCAATCCTACCAAAATTTGGTAATACCATATTTTGACACATTTTGACGCTACCAAAATTTTGGTAGCATTGGTTGTGTTTAGTTTAAAGCCATACTAAAGTTTGGTAGAATTTTGAACAGTGAAAACTTCTAGAATTAACAAAGTTTGATAAGGTAGCATTGGTAAGGATCCGTTTGGTTTGTTGTCTTACCAAAATTTAGTCATGTCAAATTTGGTAGGGTTGAAAGTGGCAACAAAGTGAACAAGCCTTTCATATACAACACTTAGCTTCATAGGTAAAATCTTATTTTCTATATGACCATATCAATCGATCTACACCATCATAATTTAGGTCTACCATGATCGGATGGTCAATATCTTTCTTTTTGTCTTCGATTAAAGTCGGAGTTTTTACAAGATCTAATGTGCAGCCTCTTTTTCAAGCTCTACTAATATAGTACTCCCTCCGTTCCACATTATAAGACATTTTGGCTTCTCCATCATTAGTCTAGATTCACTAATATACATATAAATTTTGACGCATATATGAAGCACATACATGGATCCATATATGAACTTATTAAAAATCCAAAACATCTTATAATGTGAAATAGAGGAATTAGGTAAACATGCAAAGCTTGCATGTTTGTAAAAAATAAAAAGATGTAAGAGTAGCCAAACATGGTAAACATGCAAAGCTTGCATCTTAGTTGATTTTGATTTCTTAGAATAATGAATATTTTAGAAGTTGTAGAAGAATGAAGGACTATGAGAAGTTAAACAAGTATGTTGGGAAGAAATTAACATACAAGGTGGAAAGGGAATTATGTTGGTGTTAATCGATGTCTACTAGTTTAGAGGCAGTTGCCAAAACCATAGCGATCCACCCGCCGTTTTCCCTTTCCAACTCACTTAGGAATTGGCATCACCTCCAACTCTTGCTGAGGCCCCCTAACCTCCTCCAAAACATTAGCAAGTGATGCTAACCACTACAAACCTCATGCTAGTTTCTCCCTTTGGCAACTTGTCTTTGTCCTCCCAACGTTAATTGTTATCTCTAAATATTTTCCTCACCACCTCCTGACCAATGATCGTAGTTGTTAATCAATTATTCTGCCTATTGAATCAACATGCAAATGCTCTCTGTGTTCGTGAAAAAGTAGACAATTGTTGATAAATTTTTAGCTGATTTTATTTTCAAAAAAATAAAAAAAATAGAAGTTGAATATGACTGAAGGAGTAGGATAAGTTAAAAAAGTAGGTGGATGAGGAATTAAAATAGGAGGTTGGAAGAGAACATTTATGGGGCATTAATGGATATACACTAGAGAAGTTTCCTTATACCAAATAAATCGTGGCCGTCGGATCTCAATCAACCGCATCTCCTCCCATCGAAGATCATATAAATTCCTCCCTCCCTAAACCCTAACACCTCCCCAATCCCGACCCGCCGCCGTCTTCCCACATCCCGCCGCCTCGGTATCTCCGCCAACATCGGCGAGGCGTGCCAGTCTCTCCACAACCACCGGCAAGACCCGTCGGTCCCTTCGCAACCACCGGCAAGGCCGCCAATCTCTCGACAGCCTCCGACAACCGTCTTCCTCCTCTTGCGTTCAACATAATCACTGGTAAGTTCCCCTCACGTCGACTCGGTTTTTCTCATAATCGTAGATCAAGTTAGATCCATCGTGAATTCCTATGCCCTTACTTCCATGTTGCTTCTAACTTCCACTCCCCCCATCATTCTCTACCAAAATCTTGGCGTACATGACCTTCACCGCTACTACAAACCTCATGCTAGTTTCTCCCTTTGGAAACTTGTCTTCCACCTCCTAGCATTATTCATTGTCTCTAAATCTTTTCCTCACAACCTCTTAGTAAATGATCGTCGTTGTTCAAACAATTATTCTTTCTATTGAATCAAGATGCATAGGTTTCTATGTTTGAGTGAAAATAGACGGGTAGATGAGTAGAAAATTGTTGATAGCTTTTTTAGTAGATTTTAATTTCTTTTTAACTTCAAAGAAATCAAAAGTTGAATAGGAGTGAATGAGTAGGAGAAAAGTCAAATAAGTAGGTGGGTGAGATATTAAAATAGGAGGTTGGAAGAGACAATTTATGGGGTACTAATAGATATATCCAAGAGATTTTGGCATAAACCAAATAAATCGTGGCTGTCGGATCTCAATCAATCGGATATACTCCCATTGAAGCTTATAGATTTCTCCCTCAAACCCTAACGCCTCCCAATCCCGATCCGCCGCCCTACCCCTTTATCGCCGCCAAACACCGGTGAAGCCTATCGGCTTCTCCGTGATTGCCGACGAGGCCCATCGGTCCATCCACAAACACCGGTGAGGACCGCTAGTCTCTCAACAACTTTTGGCGTGGCTCGTCTACCGGTGGCAACTGTGTCTTCCTCCTCCCTTAGTTCTTCATAGTCACTAGTAAGTTACCTTCATGTTTTCTCGGTTTTTCTCATCATCGTAGATCAGACTAGATCCATTGCCACTGCTCCATCATTCTCTACTGAATTCTTGGCCTAACCGACATTTCTTACCATGGCTGATTAATCACACTTTCAATTCAATATATGTGTATTATGTACTTGCATTCACCGTATTTATGCTTGCGCAAGACAACTATTTGCATATTTACATATTTGCAAAACTATGTGTATAATATGTAGGAACCACTCTAAATCCACATCCCGATCTATTTCATTGTATTTGTGGGTTTATCATTTTTATCAGATTATTTATGTGCACACCATTTGTACAAGGGCCGATTTTGCTTAATATAAGTGAGAACAAAATACAACAATATTTGAACAAAAAGCAAGAGTAGTATATATTCATCAATATTAACCGATGAAGTCGCATGCACACGTGTTTTTGGAAATATATGCAATTCTACTCCCGAATAAACTTTGATCTACCTCCTGTTATTCAGCATATATATATAGGCGCCAATAGTACAATTTATGAGCTGAACACATAGAAATTCAGATAGTACAGTCAGCCTCGGATCTGTACATTAATTTTCTGAGTAGAAACAAGAAATCCCCCCCTAATTCGCATCTTCTTTCTTCTCATGCAGGTCAAGAAATTCAAGATCGATCGATCGATCGACTCCCTAATACCCTAGAAAATCTCTGAGAGAATCGAAGTCGATCGATCGCGCCAATTCGCCATGGAAGGAGGAAAACCCCACCCTGCTGCGACTGGAGGAGGAGCATCGAGCAGCCACCACGCCGCCGCCGCCGCCGCCGCCGATGTCGCCGTCGACGAGGCGTTCGCGCGTGACCTGTACGTGTCGCAGCTGATGGAGCTGGGCGACGACGACTGGAGCAGCTTCGCGCCGCCGATGGATCGCGTAGGATCGACGTCTTCCCTCGCCGCCGGCGCCGCCGGGAGCAGGGCCCAACCCATCGTCATCGATGATGATGATGACGCGCCGGCGGCGGCGGCGGCGGCGCGGACCGTCCAACTGTACGTGCCGCCTCCGTTACGATCCGGTGGGCGCCGCACCGTGGCGACGAGACAGCAGCCGGCACCGGCAAGATCAGCGACGGCCTTCCTCCCGCGGCCGCCGGGCGGCGCCGCCACCGCCGACATCGGCACGAGCTCTACCGCCACCTTACCACAGGGCCTACCTGCTGCCATGGCGCCGTCTACTGAACTCTCACTCCGCCCCGGCGGCCTCATCGCTGGCGGCGCCGCCGCTCCCCGCCACGGCGGGAGACGTCCTGCCGCCCGTATGGCGGCTCGTGCCGCTCCCGGCACCGGCCATGCCCGTGGCGCCGGCAATGGCCGTTGGGCTAGGGCAGAAAACCTCATGGCAGCATTGCAAGCAAACCCTCGCCCAAACGTCGCGCAGTTCGGCCGGATATGGACTCGCATTGCCGCCGCCGACCGCCAGCTCACCGCCGCCGCCGCCGCCGCCGACACCCCGGCGGCCGTCACCGCCACCACGGGAGAAGGGAGCCACGCCGCCCCTGCCGTCTCTGCCGGCAAGTGTGGGCAACACAGAACCCCGGCCATCTCCGCCGGCAAAGGAGGCGCCGCCGGCGGCATGGAAGAAGAAGAAGAGGTTCACCGCAACGTCGCGAACGAGAACGACTCGGTTTCCTCGAAGAGGCAGGCCCTACTCGCCGACAGGGACACGCCGGCCGTCTTCGCCGGCATGGAAGACGGCCACGACAACGACTGGTACGACTCCGTCATCCGCGACGCCGTGATCGCCGAGCTGCAAGAGGACCCAGAGCTCCATGGGCCTCTCCCGGTGCAATACCTCACAAAATCGCCCGTCGTGGCGCAACCACCACCCCGCGCCACCGCCGCCGCCATCGCCGGAGAAGAAGAAGAAGAAGAAGGTGAATTCTCCATGCCAAACTTCTACAAGAAGTGGGGCCTCCGCCCATCCGACCTCGACCCCGACGAGGCCGGCCCGTCGACGAGGCGGCCGAGGGTGCTCCCCCTCGCCGACGGCGACCTCCCGACGTTCGACTGCGGCATCTGCTTCGACACCTTGCCGATGCTCGACCTCTTCCGCGGCCTCCCCTGCGACCACAAGTACTGCCTCGAGTGCATGACCACCTACATCGACGGCAAGGTGAGGGAGGGGGCCGTGCCGGTGGCGTGCCCGGACCCGGAGTGCGCCGACGGCGGCGACGGCGGCGCCGGCGTGCTCCACCCGGAGGGGTGCAAGAAGGCCATCGACTTCGCCGCGTTCACCGACTGGGGGCTCCGGCTCGCCGAGGGCGCCGTGCCGCACGACCGGCGGGCGTACTGCCCCAACCGCCGGTGCGGGATCCTGCTGGAGACCAGCGGCGAGGCGGAGCCGGCCATGGCGGCGTGCCCGGCGTGCCAGCACCTGCTGTGCGCGACGTGCGGCGGGGAGTGGAGCACGGCGGACGACGCCGACCACCGGGACTGCTCCAAGGGGCCCGAGGCCGCCATGGTGAAGAAGCTCGCCGACGAGCGGCGGTGGAAGGCGTGCCCCAAATGCAGGATGCTGGTTGAGAGGACAGCCGGCTGCAGGGTCATGAGTTGCAGGTACTCAACTCACTTCACTACTGTGCTCACCTCCCTGTCTACTTCATTTCACTTCTTGTGTTGTTGCATTTGCTTCATTATTCTACTATTTATTATGATCCATCATGAGCATTTCATAGGTTCTTGCATTTGCTTCATTACTCTATTTAATCCATCACGAGCATTTCAAATGTAGTTACACAATTTTTTTTGAGGAAAATGTAGTACATAATTTGGAGAAAATGTATCTCCCACATATAGTTTGAGATGCGTTCGATAGCATAGGGAGTTAAAATACGTGGTTAGTACTATGTGCTAGATAGCATAGAGAGCACAAATATATGGTTTTAATTATTCTTCTTAATTATTCGACGTCAAGTTTTTCTTTGGTTGTCAAGGCGCTTTTTTTAAAGTAGTATGTTGTTGGCAGAAGTTTTGTTACTCCCTCCGTTTCAAAATGTTTGACACCGTTGACTTTTCAGTACGTATTTGACCATTTGTCTTATTCAAAAAATTTAAGTAATTATTTATTTTTTTCATATAATTTGATTCATTGTTAAATATACTTTCATGTACACATATAGTTTTACATATTTCACAATTTTTTTTAATATAAGACGAACGGTCAAACATGTGCTAAAAAGTCAACGGTGTCAAACATTTTAAAACGGAGGGAGTAATATATAGCGTATACGGTTTGGTGCACATCACTCATCTGGTTTTTAAAAAACAAAGCATCTGATTGTATCATCTTTGAATGTGTTTGTAGATTCGTCCTCTAACTTTTTATAGGGGGGACATTTGTTTTTTCATGTTTGAACTTGTCTGTAGATTCGTTATCCAACATTTTCGTAGGGAGAAAGTGTTAACAACATATATTGGGTTACATTGCAAGGTAGGACATGCTTTAGTTTGTGTCTAATCCATATTTGGTTCCTTTGTTTTTCCGTTTGCACCATTAAATGCTTGGGAAACATTTTTACCATGGTAGAAGTTTGGTATAACTCGTGTTTAATGATAATTACATCTTTGTACAGTGGTGTATATATATTTACTCCCTCCAACTCTCAATCCGTTTCATTATACTTGATAGTTTTGGTTTGATATGGTTTTAGCGTACACATTAGGATGTTTCTCCAGGTTAAATGAACTTTTGAGTGGTAATTGTAGTAAGTAAACTGGCGTTCAATGGCTTTAGTGGGGGTTCAATGGCGTAGATTTGAATATGAACCAAGATATGGAAGCACATTGAATTCAAAAACTTGCTGTGAAGATTTTTACAGAGGTGTATGTTTATATATTTAATGGGAATACGATTTTGCCAGATTACATGGAGCAATAGACTTTTATGTATATGCGTTATCATAATTCAGATTTGTGTATATGTTTGTGTGTGTATTAGTGTGGCTAACACACATATCATACATTTTTTATTTAATTAACAAGCGGTTTATTTTGAAGGTGCCGCATGGTCTTCTGCTACCTTTGTGGGCTCCAGATAGGAGCGGTGCTGGAGGGGAAGGAGAAATGCCAGTGCCTCGACAATCTCGGCGTCGTTCTGGTGCCCTGATCACCTGCAGAATCGATCTCGCCGTCGCCGGCGCCGAGGAAGAAGGAGCTAAGCTGGAGGCTGATGCATGCATGGACAATGTCGAACATTAGCTGCTGCCCCCAGCAGATTCTGCATGCGTTTACTGGTCGCTAAACCAAACTATTTCCTTAATTTAAAGTTTGATCCGTCGGTCGACTAGATTACTTAATCGAATTTACCTGGATTTCTTAGCGGTTTAATTCATCGATCGTGGTTGAATGATGTGTGGATCTGTGCAATTTGCTTCTTTTCGCTTCCAGCGGGTTGCTGGGAAAAGTTGGAAAGAAAGACATAGATGGTTGGATGGTTTCGGATTGTATCATCTTTGAATTGAGACATTTATTAGATGTGTTGGATTCTGTTATGTGTGTGTGCTTTATCTATCTTAGCTGCTGATTTATACCTATGTTTTTTTAGTTTGGAGTTGGAGGTCACATAAAAGAGAATGGTGGGAGTATATATGTTCTCAACATTTTAGGAGTCCCTTGGAAAAAAAATGTGTTATAGGGGTTTGTGTGTAGGCTGATAGTGTTAGTAGTTTTTATTTAAAAAATGTGTGTTCTCCATATTTAATCAATAAGTTAGGATGAGTTACGATAAGAAACCAACAATGTTGGTTACTCTTTAGTCTTTAGTAGCTGATAAATTCTGGATGTTGCAACGAAACAGATCGGACAACTTTTTTAAAAAAAAATTCCCCTTCGGTTCAACCATTGATTAGCAATTGAAAAGTTCGTTTTCTTTTCTATGCTGTGTCTACTCTTTCAGCCCCAAAATTGGTGTTTATTTAGGATTTAATTTTTTTAAAAAAATAGTGCTATTTTAAGTAGTATTGGTCCCATCAATTACTTGTTATTAAATTTATCATTATATTATCTTTAACCACCCTTTCACCAACAATTAGTACATCATATTTAATAAGAAACGCTATATTATTTTCTTCTTACATCTTAATCTCTACTAATAATATGGGCATATCATTTATTTTGAAATGGAGAGACTAGTAGTACTCTCTCCGTTTCAGGTTATAAGACTTTCTAACATTGCCCATATTCATATATATGTTTATAAATCTAGGCACACATATATGTCTAGATTCATTAACATATATATGAATGTGAGTAACGTTAGAAAGTCTTATAATATGAAACGGAGGAAGTAGTAATTTGTGCGGACCGAAAGATTAATTAGTGGATGGTGACCCATGAGCACCGAACACATGGATCACTATACATGAGGACACTTGTCTTCTCTGTACATAAAAGTATCATGTTTTTAGCATCTAACCATGAATAAATGCAATATACAGATTAAAGCACTGTGCAGATTTTCTAAAAGGAGAACTGCATCTTATCCTCCAATAAAAGCCATTCAAATAAAAGGGGTGGTAATATTATTCCTCTGCACAGTTACACCTCAAATGCAATGCAAATATGCAAATAGTAGTGAAAATTTTAAATTTTGTTCACTTACCAAAAAAAAACCCATGTCACATGCATAGTGGCTTTCCTATATATAACTTAACTAGTGCACACCGGATATATGGCATGTGTATTTGAAGTTGATTCTAGCTAAGTATAACTATGTTTACAGGTGGTCTCTCATCTGCGCAGTAGCCAACGACACAGACGCCATCCCGTCGCCGACTACCAAGCACGAGAAGAGGAGAGTTGTCGCCAACACCTCTACACAAAGGTGGTCAACCCCCACCTTCCTCCTATCGCCGTGTCTGCTACCAATACCGCATCCTGTCGGCACGAGGGGGTTGCCACAGCAACTGCTCACACCCATCCCCGTACCTCCACGCAGGCGGTCTCACCATTGCCCAGTGTCGCCATTGCTATGCCTTGCGAGCATTCCTCTACCACGCGTTGGTCACGTAGATCTAGCCTCGAAGCTACTGGATCTAGCATCACCAGCGCTAGATCCACTACTGGAACTGTCTTCAACACCATTGGTCATAGTTGTCGTCGCTTCAACCGCGTTGCCGCCATCACAGTCACTATCATGGCCAGATCCATCCTCCAAATCTATCACCTTGTGCTCGCAACCTCTGGGAGCTCATGGGAGAAAAGGCCCCACACCACTAACATCCTTGTCACCGCAAGATTTCCGACGGATGGCTCTGATGGTGGCGAGGAGGTGGGAGGGAGGAAAGTGGAGTGGCACCGTGGCATGGGTCACTGCCCGAGTCATTCCTCAGTAATTGAGTAAAGCATGGGTTATGACTACTATCATAACTTTAACTGAGGAAACTATTACAAAGAAAATTCAAGACTTTCATCACGATCACAACCAAAATTTGTTGTTTTCTTCACGATTTGTTGAAATTTAGCATTATGGTTGATGCGGATTGTAATGAATTTGCCAAGATATCGAGAATTGGTGGGTGCGTAAGTATGGGATTACGAGTATAGTAGTGTGTGCACATGCATAATAATAATAATAATTAAAAAAAAGAGTCCTGCTACACGTACTTTTTTTTACAAAACTCTTACAAATAATGATCTCACTTGATTGATTTAAGTATATGGAAGTTATAGACAACCTAAATATCCTAAATATACTCACAGCATGATACGTAATGTTAGCAAATATTGTGCCTTTAAGCATAATATTGTTGTGTATCTAGCTCATCTCTAACCGTTCCAATCGTACCCTGTACCTGCCCAACTTTAAAAAGCGCACACACCCACCTAAAGGCTAAAGGGATCGCGACCAACGACGACGACGACCCGCACTAGCCCAAGTCCACTCCATCCACTTCCTAGTTCCTTCTCGCCGAAGAATTAGCGCCAAGTACGCGTCGTCCCCCTCCCATGGCGAGCGCCGCGGCGTCGGCGTCGGCGTCGGCGGCGCAGGAGCTCGACCGGGAGCAGTACCTGCAGGAGCTGATCCGGGGCTCCATGCTGGACCCGCCGTCGTCGTCGTCGTCCCGCGCGGGCCGCGTGCGGCCGCTCACCGACGACGAGATCGGGCGGTTCTACTGCGAGGTCTGCATGGAGTGGAAGCTGGTGTTCGACCGGTTCCGCGTCTCCGACGGCTGCCCCCACGCGTTCTGCGTCGCCTGCGTCGTCGGCCACATCGAGGCCCGCGTCGCGGCGGGGAGCGTGCCCGTGCCGTGCCTCCTGGCGGGCGGGGGCGGCTGCTCCGGCGGCGGCGTCATGCACCCGGAGCGCTGCAAGAAGCTGCTCGACATCGACGTGTTCGACCGGTGGTGCGTCGCGCTCTGCGAGCGCGCCGTCGGCCCCGCGCGCGCGCGGTGCCCCTACCGCGACTGCGGCGAGATGGCGGCGCTCGAGGGCGAGGCGGCGGCCGCGGCCCTGCCCCTGCGCGCCGCGGCGTCCAAGGCGTCCTGCCCGACCTGTTCCCGCGCGTTCTGCCTGCAGTGCGAGGAGCCGTGGGACGACCGCCATGGCGGCGGCGGCGGCGGCGACGGCGGCGCACGGTGCGCGCTGACCCAGCTCGCCAAGGGGCGCGAGTGGCGGCGCTGCCCCAGCTGCCGCGCCATGATCGACAAGATCGATGGGTGCAAGCGCATGACATGCAGGTAAACTCATCGATTCACCACTACTCCGATCCTCCTCTTCGATTCAATCTTTAATTTCGATCGCTAGACTCAAATCTCTAAACTTTGCTTCCAAACTTCGAAATCGGGGCGAAATTTTCGCCACTCATCTGAAACACGTATTCCATTCGTTAGTTTTGACTAACCGTTGTTGACTTGACCGAACACGTACTGAACTTCCCTCGCGAAGTGGACGCTGAAAAGGGAGAGAAATATCTTAGCGGTAACTGACCATTATTTATGGAGAAAATAAAATCTTTTTTAAAGAAATATTTGCTTGTTTCTCAAACTGCTAACCAATGCATTTTGTGTAAAAGTTTTCTTACTAAAATATTGTAACGCCGCGCTTTTAGCAAGACGTTAAAAACTAATTCGGCAAAATCCTGATTGCAAAAATTTCTTTTCTTTATGTGCGAGTCTAAGTCGTGCCATGGATCTCAATTCAAATCCGTCCTTGTTCCCTCTCATCGCCATCAAAATCGTCCACCTCAAGATTTCTATTCCAATTCAAGTCTTCGAAATTCAAATCCTTCCTTGAATCCTCGCCAAATACTTCTTCGAATCCAAAATTATTCAAATCCCACCTCGAATCCTTCCCTTGACTCCACCTTATGTTCCTAGAGGCCAAGTATCAAGGTTAAATTCCAAAATCCTTCTCAAATTCTCTCCAATCCAAATTCCAATCCCAATATCCTCCCAACTCAAATCTCTATGCAGAAGTTTATTTTGCCTCCCTCGGGTGTTGTGGGCCATTTTCCCCTCAGCCCACTTCCCTCTCCCAGCCGCTCTCCCCTTCCCTCGAGCGCCGCTCGCGCGTGCGCCATGGCCGAGAGAGAGAGAGCTCTCTTTTCTCTCTCTCGTTCTCTCTCCTCTCTCCCGATGCCCATTGCCGCTACCCTCCAAAGACGGGAGCCAGCGCTCGCGCTCCCCTCTCACTCTTCCTCCCAGAACGGCATGGACAAGCCTCCCCTTTTTCTCCCTCTTTTCCCCTTTTTCCCTCTCAGACTCGACCTCTCTCTCACGCCCATGCCATTGCGCGCGGAGGCAGAACGCCGCTGACGCCGCGCGCCAGTTCGCCGCCCCCACTTTGACCACGCCAAGCCGCGCCAGCCCGCGCTCGCGGTTCAATTTCCGCCGCTCGATCCACCGCCTTCGCCGCCCAACACATCCACACCGTCGCCGCTTTCGCACTGCCAACGAAACCGCCGCTGCCGCCCGTGAACACCAACCGAGCTCCCTTGACCGCCAATGTCGGTTTCCCTCCTCCAAACCGACCTCTCCTCCTCGCCTATAAAGCCCGCGCCCTCCCCTCTCGTTTCGTCTTCACCTCGCTCGAACCACCCGCGCCATTGTTGCCGGCCGCCAGCTGCTCGCCCCCGCCCCTCCGCGACTGCCTCCTCGCTGCCGCGTTGTGCCAATGGCCGCGTGAGCCTCGGCGTCGGCCTCGTCAAGCTCGGTGCCGCACTGCCGTGGCCAAGAGCGTGTGCACACACTCATCATCCTTTCGGCCTCGCTGCCTCCCTCCTTTTCTCGGCCGCGCCCTCTCGGTTCCGCGCCGCCCCGCCGTCGCGACCACCTCGCCGCGACTCCCTCCGCGTCGCCAACACCGCTCCTCCCTCACCGGTGAGCTCCCCACCGTATTCCTCCTCCTGCCGCACAATGCGCCGCGCGCCTCGCCGTTGCGCTTTTTCAGCCGCGGCACACAGTCGCGCGCCGTCGTCGGGCCCCAGCTCGTCGACCACCCTAGCCAACACCGTCCTTGAACTCCCTAGGGCCTCCCCAAACCATTCCATAGCAATGCCGTCGCCTGGCATGGCCTCGCCGCCATTACCGTCAGCTCCTAGAGGCCGCCGTCGACGCTAGCCCTCCTCGGTGCTCCTCCACCCTATCCGGCGCCGGAAACAGAATCCCCGACTCCCAGAGATACTCCCACCACCTTGAGTTGAATCCTTGTCGCCCCTCCGCCGTTTCCCCCTTTTTTCTCACCGCCGGCGTGCGTCGCCGCAATCCGCCGTCGTCGATCTTCCTCCGGCGAATCCGAGCCACTGGCTCGCCTCCTCTCGTGCCCCTCTTCACTCCGGTGTGCTCCCCCTTGGCCGAAGACCGTCGCGCCATGCTCCGGTGAGACCCCCGCCGCCCGCCGTCCATCTCGGCCGGCCTCTTTCTTCCTCCTCTCGCCGGCCTGCGTGGCATGCCACGGAGGCGCCACGTCAGCGCCACCTCGGTGAAGACCGAGTCAAGGCGGGTCCGCTCCCTCCTCTCTCTCTCAGTGCGCGCGGTCCACGGAGAGCCTAACGGCTGCGCGTGGGCCTGCCATCCTTCGGTCCACCCGGTGCACCAATCCGTGCGCCACTCCTACCCGAACCCTAGCGCGCGCCGCATGCACCGCTTCCACGGTGAGCCGCGCCACTGACAAGCGGGCCCCACTCGGGACCCCGCAAGGTGGACTCGGCCCACCGGCCCTCCCTCTCCCTCACTCTCCCCGCGCCCCCTTGGGCCGCCTCTCCGGGCCGGCCGGCCCATTAGTTCGGCCGAGTCGTGCCTGTCCTCTCGAGTCGCACCCGAGCCACCCGAGGAAGTCTAAATCATATCCCTCCTTTAATTTCTTTCCAAAAAGGGTTTAATAAATTATTAAATCGTTTTTCCTTTGATTAGAAAATCCAATAAACTTCGAAAATCCATATCTTCTCAACCGCTCATCCGATTGACCCCGTTCCACTTCCAGTAATTCTGTAAAATTGTGATCTATCTAATGGTACTATTATTTAGTCTAAATAGGATATTTTTTCTTGGTCTTTTGTTTAGGTTTTTGATTGTTTGCGTATAGTTGCGGTCACCGGATTTTCATCGATCGTGGGTTTTCTCGAAGATACGTGAAGCTTCGTGAAGACCTTGAGCAAGACAAATCACCCTTTGACCAATTGCTCCTATAATTGGAAAATCATTATTATTTTGTTTGCAACTTGCATTAGTAGAATCACACACTTAACTTGCTTGGCCTCGGTTTGCGTGCCAAACCGACAGACCTACCCAGTAGTCGCACTAATTTTTGTAGGTTGTACTACCCTGATTCCTTGTCGTTCCACCTTTGTGGTACTTCGGTATCCGTGCTCTCTGAGCACATATACCAACTATTCCACATACACCATTGTTTGTATCGGTGTGTTTGAGAGCCTTGAAAACCCGACATATGGCATCGGTGTGTTTGAAAACAAAATAGATTGTGAAAACTCGCGATGCGGGGGTTGTGCCTATGTGGTACTGTCCTGTATTCGCATATAAGGACCGATTCCTGTGGGAAATTCATCCGAGCATATAATAAGTGCGACCACACGGGTGCAATGGGACGCCCCTGGCTGAGTAATTAGCTAATCGGAGGAGCCATGATGCCATGAGACATGTGGATTCAACGGGCTGGTGTCAGGTAGAACCCTCGGGCTTCCTGGCACAATATGGTCTGGGACCTAACCTGTTGTCGGTCTGGGACCCCTCTCGTTGGCATATGGCAACCCTGTGTCGGCTTTCGAAATGCCTTGTCATGAAAACCTTAGGGTCTCCCGACATGGCTGATCTCACGGACTGGGTGATCCGGGTTAGTAATGTCGTGTGGGTAAAGTGTACCCCCTCTGCAGAGGTTAACTAACTGTTCGAACAGCCGTACCCACGGTCATGGGCGGATGTGAGGTGTTTCCTGTAGCGTAGATTTGTTTGCCTGTGCTTTGTGAAAAGTTGTTGTGGTTTGGGAATCGTTACCAGAATCAGCCTATGTGGCAGATGGATGACCTGAGTGGTCAAGAAACGAATCTGTGTGATTCGGGATGTCTACGGGCATCATAGACTAGGCTTCCCGAGTTGAAGCGGATTGTTGTGCTGCTGGGCAGTTGGACTCTGGGAGTCCGAGAAAATGAAAAGGCTCTGGGAGCCGCTTAATCAAGTGAAATGGCTCTGGGAGCCGAGAAGTAATGATCTGACCCGGGGGTCGGTACATTACCAATTGAGTTATTGAAAAACATCTCTTAAAGTCGAATCAAGACACAAGTCTCTTTTCGGCCCAAACTTAGAAAGAAGTAAACCACTTAGTAATTTCAAAATGATTTCAAAACAAAGGATTTGCAAAACAACCTTGCCTCTCTTCCAAGCTTGCATCAAACACCTAAATTCTCGTGACTTGCTGAGTACGAAAGTACTCACCCTTGCTCTATATAAATATATATATAGTTCCTACACCTTGAAATGAAGATGAAGTGAAATGAAGAATAGGGTTTCGTCCTAGTTCCCAGCCGTCGCCTGTGGTGTTGGGTGTTAGTCCGTTGGTTCCGCTGCTGCTGCTGCTGTTGGTGTTTCCTCGTTCGTGTCGTCGGTTGCATTCTCGGGCTGTTCTAAAATGCAACCTAAGTTAAGGTAAATAAGTCCTCTATTTATTATAAGGATTGCAATGATTCATATTTGTCACCGTGGGTACCAGCGCTATGTCCTGGGACTGGTACTGAGATCGCGGTTTCGTAGGAAGCGGTTCACGCCGTTTTTCCTACGACACGCTCCTGTCAGGTGCTGTTGTACGGCGGTGCCGGATTGGGGTGTGACATCTTGAATGCTTTTATAAAGCTACTTTCAATTTTGCAGTAGTTATAATTCATTTGTTTATGCTTTGAAATAACTGTAGAAAAAAAATAAATGATCCATCAAACCACTTTCAGCTATTCAAATAGAGCCGTAGACCCGTAGTTATGGAATTATGCTTTGATTTTTTTACGATTACACGGCAAACTTACACGCACACACAACACTACACACGCAACACAACACTCACATCTCCGCGAATACGTCTCCTAACACATGCTCTAAGAAATAGAAACCAGGAGCACATACATGATCTCACTAAAGTTTTTTAGAAAGTTCACATATATATGCGTAATATTTGTGAGCACCAGCATTAATTTGAACTCTGGTGGGTAGAGTCATACACCCACGACTTTACCACCACATCACTGGTGCTTCCTAAGTCGGCATGAAATTTCTTACATTCATGTGATAAATTTTGTTTGCAGATGTGGCACTGTGTTTTGCTACGACTGCGGTTCATCCTTTAATCCGAGAATGTATTCATGCAAGTGTACTCCTCGCAAATCTTCACAATCGGAGGAGGAAGACGGATTCATCGACCTTACTTGCTCAGACCGTCCGCTTAATCTGGGGAATCATTGCTAGTAATGTTCTGTAGCGAGTCGGCGATCATTCGATTCAACCTGTTTCCATTACTCCATTTGTATATGCGGAGTTCTTGTTCTTGACGGAAACGATAATGATATGTCGCGATTTCTCATCGACCAATATTTGGAACATTTTTTTTTCATCTGTATATGGCGACTAGTGAGTATGATTGGACAAAGCTGAGGCGCGTTGATATTGTCTTTTGGGCGAGAGAACCGGTAGAAACTTGGTTAAGGACAAGGGGATGAGCCCAGTAGCCTGTTACTCTCTGTTAGTACTTCAGCCCACGATAGGCTGAGCTAACGATTTCTTACAGATTGCCCACTTTTGATAAAAAAAAAACGAAATTTTATATATGGCTCCCTGCAGGTTAGCGCAGGCTGCGAATATAATGTGTTTTTTTGGGTGAATCCTAATTTTATTACATGGAAAATATGTGTGTGCACTATTATTAGCATGCGCATCCATATAAGTGCACGCCTTTAACACACACTTAGGTTGTTTTTGTTCCGGCATCTAGGCTTAAGGTAATATCTCATTCTTAATTAGCATAATTCCCGAACTGCTAAACAATATATTTCATAAAAGAATCATATAAAAGTTACTAAAAATCAAATAAATTTATTTTTCAAATTTATAGTAATAATTAATTAATTAATCATATGTTAATTGCTTGCTCCAATTTCCATCTCAGATGTTCAGCTCAAGAACGAACGCAGTCTTAATTAGATACCTATAGTATATTTCTTTTTTATATTAAAGGGTACATTAATTTCTAAGCTTGTTAAATTTCTAATATTGCTATTGGTTACTTCATCCGTCCTAAAATATAAAAATATAAGTATTTTTTAGAATAGTACTAAGTCAAACATTTTTAAAATTGACTGCTAATAGGAAAAAAATAAAAAAGATCGATCACGTAAATTTGATGTTACTATATTTTCATTGAACAAACTATCATAGTATGCAATATTTTTTTATTTAAAACATCTTACTTTTATAGATATTATTGGTTAATGTATAGCATCTCGAAGACTGTATTGAAGTCAAAAAATACTAATATCTTGGGAAAGATGGATTTTTGAAGATGTACATGTACATGCAAAATAATTTCAGCACATTTCTTTAGTGATGTCACGGAACCTTCTCAGGTCCTAGCTGGATCTGCCAACGGTTACATAAACAATTTGTCAGTTGTGAGCATCAAACAGTTTCCCATGAACAAAGTAGCTGAAACGTGTTCATTCCTCGCAGAAGCAAAAGCAAGCATTCGACAGAAACATGGCGGCCGAGGCGGCGCTGGAGCCCAACCAGGAGTTCCTCGAGGCCTGCATGCCGTCGGCGTAATCGATCGGCCAGGGAGGCGTCCCGCCACGTGCCGCCGCTCGATCAGCGACGACGACATCGGGTGGCTCCACTGCGAGAGATCTGCGACGAGCCGAGGCTGCTGTACTTCTGTACGACGGCCGCCGCGTGTCCGACGGGTGCGCGCACGTACGCGAGCTCTGCATCGCCTGCGTCGTCGTCAGCCACGTCGCGAGCGAGGCCCCGCGTCGCGGCGGAGGAGGAGAGGTGCCCGTGCGCTGCGCTGCCCTTTCCCGGACTTCCACTGCGACTGCGACGCCGTCGTGCACCCCGGAGGACTTTAAGAATTAACCTGCTCTACCTCTACATCGGCGGCTTCGACGTACGCGTGGTGGCGTCGCGCTCTGCGAGCTCGCCGTCGGTCAGCGGCTCAGGCGCCTTCGCGCGCTAGCTGTCCCAACCCGGACTGCGGCGAGCTGCTCGACGCCGGCGGTAGTCCCTGACTGATAGTCAAACCTCCAAACTTGTTTATGCACTTTGGAACGCAAAATTGCACTCGCATGTAACACATCTATATACAGCTTTTCTTGAAAAAAAAAATTCTTGAGTTCGAGTGTTCGATCGACAACTTATAATCCAGGTGAGTGACATGTAGGTTTATTACTTGTATATTTTTAATAGGCACCCACTGACATGTGGGCCCTATATAAATTGTTTTCATTATTTATTTTAAATTTTTGCTGTCAGTGGGCCCTATATAATTGTTTTAATTATTTATTTTAATTTTTTGCTGTCAATGGGCCCTATATAATTGTTTTAATTATTTACTTTATTTTTTTTTTGCTTTAAGTGATATAGGTAGGTGTCACGTCAATAACACGTAGGATGAAAACCAAATCAAATAAGCCATATAGGTATCACGTTAGTCTAAATTGGACTCAATATTGGCTTGAAACCTCACTTACACCGGTTTTGCAACATAATGATGTGTTGCACTTAGTTTTACTGTTGAATGATCAGATTGAAATTCGGCTCTTAGACGAGGGACGTAGAGTGAAAATTTTCATTTCAACGGAGTGACAGCACTGTTCTTGTAGGTGGGAATTGTATCTACAAGGCAAAAGAAACAGTTTGGGTTTCCTGTTTCACTTTTTGTGGGTCGCGCATGCCATGACATTGTGTTGGGCTGTCCGGCCTAGACAGTTCTGCTAGGCCCACCAAAAAGTTTTCTTAAGCCTACGGCCTACCAAAAAAGCAGCCCACGTACCGTCATGGTTAGAGTATAATGGGCTAATGGCATATACAAAGTTGACTGGAATAAGTTCACTAAAGGTCCCTTAACTTGTCAACGAATCCGATTTTCGTCCTTCAACCGTAAAACCAGATATAATGGGTCCTTCAACTATCAAAACCGGTGCAAAAAAGGTCCCTCAGCGGTTTTGATGGTGGTTTTGGCTGATGTGACGCCTACGTGGCTGGTTTGACTTGGTCCTCGTCCTACGTGGCGGTGACGTGACATTGGAAGAAAAATATAAAAATAGAAAATAAAAACAAAATGTGGGGCCCACAAGTCAGTTAGACAAAAGAAAAAAGAGTGGGACCCACCATCCTCTCTATCCACGGACGAGTGGACGACGGGAGAGGGAGCGACCGGCGCCTCCTCTCTCTCCCTCCCGGCATCCTTCGTTGCTGGCCGGCGAGCGCGCACGGAGAGGGAAAAAGGCGTTGGCCGGCGAGGGGGGCGGAGACTGCCGCTGGCCGCTGGCCGCTGCGCAATACTCTTCGGCGGGCTGCGACGCAGAGCTAGGGTTGCAGGAGTCGGAGGGCTGCGGGAGGATGGCGTGGATGACAGTGAGGAGGGTGAGGACGAAGTAGTCCGGGAGGTCGGCGCCGTTGGCCTTGAGCTTGGTGTCGAATGTTGGAAATAAACACGTCATGGTGTATTCCTGGCGTGGTTGAGTCAGTGTGTGTGTGTGTCGTGCTGCTGCATGTGTGCGTCGTGTGCGTTCTGTTAGTTTGATTGAGTCGTGATCGCGAGTGCATGGCTGCTGCATGGTTGTTTGCATGGCCGTTGCAGTGTTGATCGAGTCGTGGGAGTGCGTGGTGTGCGTGGCGTCGGTTCTTGCGGAGGAAGCCGCGTCGTCCGGGCGAGCGTGTGGCTCACGGCGACGTCGAGCGGGTTCTGCGGAACGTGGCGCAATGGCCGGCATGGAGGCTAGCTCCCGGTGTGTCACCGGTCTATAAGAGGCCCCTGTACTCCTTCGTTGTTTCTTTGCAAGGTTCAGTGAGGAATAAAGCCAAGATACAGGAGCGATCGGCTCCGCGGCGTTCGTCGCTGTAAAATCCATTGTTCATCGTCTCCCTCACCGGCGTTTGTGTTCGTGAGTGTGAGAGTGTTCCTGGGCTGAGCCAACATCGAAGTCAGCAACTCCATCTCCAAGGTTCTCTGGATGGCCACCCTCAGCCCCACCTCGCTGCCCAGTAAGCTTATTCTACCTCAAAGCTCTCATCCGCCATTGTTGCAACCAAAAACTACATCAAAGCTCTAACCAATCTATGGATTTCACGCAGACTGGAACAGGATGCGGATCTCGGTGAACACCATCACGCAGAACCGCGCCAAGTCGCTGCGGCGGCTGCTTGCGTCACTGCGGAACACGTACTACGTCGACGACGAGGTGGTGCCGATCAGCTTCAACATGGACAGCCGCGTCGACGCGGCGACGCTGAACGCCGTCAACTCCTCCGACGCTGAACCAGTACTAATGTGATTCACTCCACCTGACTGACATTGCTCAAAGTTGAGGTTTATAATTTGCCTGACATTGTTCTATGCAGCTTGTGCTACAGCAATTAGTACCGGTAACAAATTACATTGTGTTTCTTGACATGCTCTACCCCTTGTATATATGTACACAGCAACAAGACTTGTCCATCGTGATGAACCTGCTTGTCAGCAACACAGTTGTACCGGATGAGCTACAGAACACTGTCAAGACCAAGGAGGTTAAGCAGACTAAGGAAGGAAGACCTGTTAGGCACCGAGTATGTAATCCTAGAGTGAGTGGGCCGGAATGGGCCATATGAGCACCATGTCCAGGCTGTCGATAGTTGCGTGTGAGAGAGAAAGCATCTTAAAACTAACTCTGTATTCATTTGGATGAGTTGAGGATGAACTAGGCGGCGAAGGCGGCGGCGGCATCAACCCTGTCGGGTTGGTGAAATCCATCTGTGTGTGTGTATCGTTGTTCTGTTTGGGCGATTCTTCCTCTGTCCTTGGGGGTAGTTAACAAATTGGTATCAGAGCCTTGCCGAAATTTTTTCCTCCTCTTGATTTTGCTGTAATTCCTGGGTGAGGTGGGAATTTGTTGCTTCGGCAACTATATTCCGCAAAAGCTTCGGCTCCCTCAACTAGGTCGGCGAGATCTCGAGCGAGTTCGTCAATCACGGCGTGCTACGACAAGCCTCGCTACGTGACCAAGCAAGCGGCCAAGATCATGGATTAGGAAAGTAAGCTCGATCTCTTGTTGAGGAAGATGGAGGAGGTGGAGAAGAAACGGGAGGAGAGTGAGAAGCATCGGGAGCTGTCGGAAGAGAAGAGCCGATCTGAGTTTTTGGCTCTCAAAGTGGCGGTGGAATCCCGAATGCCGGTGGTGGAGAAGCGCGTGGATGATTTGCACGTTTCGGTGGTGGGACTCCAAGATCAAGTCGACAAACTCCAGTCCTTGGTGCAGCAGCCACCTCGTCCTTCCCCTTCTTCTCCGGGTTCGCCCGATGGTATGCAAACTCCGCCCCAATTTACTTCGCTCCCCTCTGCTCTGGAACAGTCTGCGTTTGCCTCTGCTCTTTTGGGTGCTTCGGGAATTGGGGGTAATGTTCCACCTATGTCTTGTCCGCAATTCAATGGTGATAGTCGTCAGCTCTGGAAGAGTAATTGCGAGGAGTACTTTGAGGTTTATGGTGTTCATCCTAAGAATTGGGTGTGTGTGGCTGGACTGAATTTTACTGGCAACGCTGCTTTTTGGTTACAATCGGTGCGTTCCAAACTGGTCGGGGTTACTTGGCAAGAGTTCTTTGATCAAGTTTGTCTTCGTTTCACTAAGGATAGGCAGAAGGTCTTGATTCGGCAGTGGTTTCACATTGTTCAGGATTCTTCAGTTTCTGATTATGTGGAGAAATTCGATGGTATTATGCATCAGTTGTTGGCTTATGATAGTTCTTTGCCTCTGAATTATTTTGTTACCAAGTTCGTGGAAGGACTGAGGAAAGACATTAGATCTGGAGTTTTGATGCAGAAACCTCAAGATTTGGATACAGCGTGTTCGTTGGCTTTTTTGCAAGAGGAAATACTAGAAGGAAGTCACCCTGCTGTGTACAGGAAACCTGAGCCGATTTTGTTGTCTAAAAATTTTGCTCGCCAACCTGCACCTGTTTCTCCTGTGTCCAACCATCCTCAAGGTTCTGTGTTGGAGGATAGGAAACAGTCTGAATTCTCACAGTCTCGCTCTGATAAGTTTTCTGCCTTGAAATCCTACAAGCGTGCTAAAGGCCTTTGTTTCACGTGTGGTGAGCATTGGAGCAGAGAGCATAAGTGTGGCTCCTCGGTTCAGTTACATGTTGTTCAGGAACTTTTAGCTGCGTTGCAGGACGATCAGTTAAACCATGAGTCCGTCGATACTGTATCTGAACCTGTAGAACCAGTTTTTATGGCTATTTCTTATCAGGCTGTTACTGGTACTGAATCCTTGACTTCTTTTCGGTTAAATGGCTGGGTACAGGGGTATGAATTACTCATGTTAGTCGATTCTGGTAGTTCTCATTCCTTCATTGATATTACTGTGGCACAAAAACTTCAGGGTATCCAATGTTTACAGCATGTTGTTTCAGTTAAAGTTGCTGATGGTGGTGTGATATCATGCTCTCAGTATATTCCTGGTTGTGACTGGTGGACTCAGGGTCAAATTTTTAAAACTGACTTTAAGGTGTTGCCTTTGGGTTGCTATGATATTATATTAGGGATGGATTGGTTAGTCACTTTGGGATCTATGAACATTGATTGGGCTGCTAAGTGCATGGAATTCGCTAGAGCAGATTCCTTGGTGACCATTAAGGGAATTCAGTCTCAAACTACTCATTGTTCTTGTATCAGTGGTGATCAATTGCAAGGCATGTTTAAGTTGGGATCCATCATGCATGTTCTTCATCTTCAGGAAGTTTCCACTGCCAAGTTAGGTCACATTCCTCCTGAAATTCAATCTCTTCTTACTGAATTTTCTGCCCTATTTGATGATCCTCAAGGCCTGCCACCTAAGAGAGCTTGTGACCATTCCATTCCACTGAAATCAGATGCTAAACCTGTCTTCCTCAAACCTTATCGTCATAACCCTGCACAGAAAGATGAAATAGAGAAGCAGGTTAAGGAAATGTTGTTGTCAGGGGTCATTCAACCCAGCAATAGTGCATTTTCTTCCCCAGCATTGTTAGTTAAGAAGAAGGATGGTACCTGGCGCTTGTGCATTGATTATAGACAGTTGAACTCCATCACTGTGAAGGGTAAATTTCCTATGCCTGTTATAGATGAACTATTGGATGAATTGTCTGGATCCAAAGTTTTTTCCAAGCTGGACCTTAGGGCTAGTTATCACCAGATCAGATTGGTGGAGGGTGAGGAGCACAAAACTGCTTTTCAAACTCACTCTGGACATTATGAATATCGTGTTATGTCTTTTGGCCTTACTGGAGCTCCTGCAACATTTCAAGGCGCCATGAATGATACTTTGGCTCCTGTGTTAAGGAAGTTTGCTCTTGTGTTTTTTGATGATATACTTGTATGCAGCCCTGATTTAGTTTCTCATGTCCACCATCTTCGACAAGTTCTGCAGTTGTTGACTAAGCATCAGTGGAAAGTTAAATTGTCTAAATGTTCTTTTGCTCAACATCAATTGTCATATTTAGGTCATATTATCAGTGATCAAGGAGTCACTACTGATCCTGCTAAGATTGAGGAAGTGGTTAATTAGGCAGTTCCAAAATCTGTCAAAAAGCTCAGGGGATTTTTGGGTTTGGCAGGTTATTATAGGAAGTTTGTCAAGCAATTTGGGATCCTTTGCAGGCCTTTGACCAACCTGTTAAAGAAGGATGTTCCTTTTGTCTGGTCTGTGGAGGCTGATCAGGCTTTCAAGGCTCTTAAGCAAGCTTTGGTATCTGCTCCTGTGTTATCTCTTCCTGATTTTTCTTTGCCTTTCACTGTTGAGACTGATGCTAGTGATGAAGGTATTGGTGTTGTGTTATCTCAGCATGGTCATCCGATTGCCTTTCTTAGTAAGGCCTTGGGGGGTTAAAACTAAGGGTCTTTCCACTTATGAAAAGGAGTATTTGGCTATTTTATTAGCTGTGGACCATTGGAGATCTTACCTGCAGCAGCAAGAGTTTGTCATTTTAACTGATCACCATAGTTTAATGCACTTGAATGAACAAAGGCTGCACACCCCTTGGCAACACAAAGCTTTTACTAAGTTGTTGGGCCTTCAGTTTAAGATTTGCTACAGGAAGGGATCCAGTAATGCTGCAGCTGATGCACTTTCTTGAAGAGTTATCTGAACTACATGTGGTTTCCAGTTGCAGTCCTGTATGGCTTCAGGAGGTTTCTGATGGTTATCTTCAAGATGCCTTTTCTACTCAACTTTTGACTGACTTGACTCTTAATGCTGAGTCTCGGCCCAATTTTTCTTTGTGTAATGGTGTCCTTCGCTTTAAAGGCAAAGTCTGGATAGGTAACAATCCATCTGTGCAGGATAAGATTATCTCTGCGTTGCACAGTAGTCCTTTGGGGGGGCACTCTGGTTTTCCTGTTACTTATAGTAAAATCAAGTCTCTTTTTGCTTGGCCCAAGATGAAGAAACAGATTCATACTACTGTCAAGACATGTGGTATTTGCATGCAGGCCAAACCAGATCGCTCTAAATACCCTGGTCTTCTTCAGCCCCTTCCTGTCCCTGATGGTGCATGGCAGATTATCACCATGGACTTTATTGAAGGTTTGCCTAAGTCTGGTCAATTCAACTGTATTTTAGTGGTGGTTGACAAGTTTTCCAAGTACTCTCATTTCCTTCCATTGTCCCATCCTTTTTCTGCTATTGATGTGGCTCAATCTTTTATGGTCAATGTTTACAAGTTACATGGGTTACCTAAGTTCATCATTTCAGACCGCGACAAGATTTTTACTAGCCACTTTTGGGAGCAGTTGTTTTTGAGATCCAGCACACAATTGCAACTAAGCACCGCTTATCACCCCTAGACAGACGGACAAACTGAGCGTGTGAACCAATGTTTGGAAATATATCTGCGATGTTTTGTTCATGCTGTTCCTCATAAATGGAGTTCTTGGTTGTATTTAGCAGAATTTTGGTTTAACACTTCTTACCATTCTGCCATTCTTCAGTCTCCATTTGAAGCTCTCTATGGCTATCCTCCTGGTCATTTTGGTATAAGGGATGATGCCTGCTCAGTACCTGATTTGCATGAGTGGTTAAATGAACGTAAGGTGATGACTCAGTTACTGAAACAACACCTGAATCGTGCCCAGCAACAAATGAAGCTGTATGCAGACAAAAAGCGCAGTTTCAGAGAATTTTCTGATGGAGATTGGGTCTACTTGAAATTGCAACCTTATATTCAGTCCTCTGTGGCAAAAAGAGCAAATCATAAACTATCATTCCGTTATTTTGGTCCTTTTCAAGTTTTACATCGGGTGGGCAAGGTGGCTTATAAGTTGTCTCTTCCTGCAGAGAGCTCCATTCACCCTGTTTTTCATGTTTCACAGCTTAAGCATGCTGTTGGGTTCAGGCATTCTGTTCAACCGTGTTTGCCTGCATGTTCTGACCTTAAAGTTTCAGTGGTTATCTTGGCTTCTCGTCAGATCAGGAAAGGTAACTCTGTGAAAGCTCAAGTTTTAATTCGGTGGTCTAGAAATGTTGCAGGACAGGAAACTTGGGAGGATCAAGTTGAGTTGTGTCAGCGTTTTCCTAATGCCTTGGCTTGGGGTCAAGCCACTTCTCAAGGAGAGGGGGTTGTCAGCAGCACAGCTATACCGGATGAGCTACAGAACACTGTCAAGACCAAGGAGGTTAAGCAGACTAAGGAAGGAAGACCTGTTAGGCACCGAGTATGTAATCCTAGAGTGAGTGGGCCGGAATGGGCCATATGAGCACCATGTCCAGGCTGTCGATAGTTGCGTGTGAGAGAGAGAGCATCTTAAAACTAACTCTGTATTCATTTGGATGAGTTGAGGATGAACTAGGCGGCGAAGGCGGCGGCGGCATCAACCCTGTCGGGTTGGTGAAATCCATCTGTGTGTGTGTATCGTTGTTCTGTTTGGGCGATTCTTCCTCTGTTCTTGGGGGTAGTTAACACTGCTCTACATAAAGGCTCGCGCCCTCATCCAACACCGCTGGAAGATGGAATCCATCCTAGACCACATGCTCAGGGAGGGCCGAGACCGCATGCTCAAGGAGGCCGGCATCGTGATCCAGCAGCAGCAGGCGGAGGAGAAGAACAGCAGCGGCGGCACGGCCATGGCGCCGCCGCCACCGTGCCCCGGAAGTAGCGTGACCTGCTACGTGTGCTTCGAGAAGGTCTCACCGGACGCCGATCAGCTTCAACATGGACAGCCACGTCGATGCGGCAATGCTGAACGCCGTCAACTCCTTCGACTGGCCGCACGGCGGCAAGATGCTGCAGCGGAGGATCATTCAGGGCGAGCTGATCCGCGCGCAAAGGACGGGCGGCCAGCGGCCGTCTTCGCCCCCCTCGCTGGCCAACGCCTTTTTCCCTCTCCGCGCACGCTCGCCGGCCGGCGAGGAAAGATGCTGGGTGGGGAGAGAGGAGGCGTCGGTCGCTCCCTCTCCCATCGTCCACTCGTCCGTGGATAGAGATGATGGTGGGTCCCACTCTTTTTTCTTTGGTCTAACTGACATGTGGGCCCCACATTTTGTTTTTATTTTTATATTTTGCTTCCAATGCCATGTCACCGCCACGTAAGATGAGGACCAAGTCAAACCGGCCACGTAGGCGCCACATCAGCCAAAACCACCATCAAAACCACTGAGGGACCTGTTTTGCACCGGTTTTGATAGTTGAGGGACCATTGTATCTGGTTTTTCGGTTGAAGGACGAAAATCGGATTCGTTGATAAGTTAAGGGACCTCAAGTGCACTTATTCCAAGTTGACTTATATAGCTCACTATGTAGGAGTATTTGTGGCCATGTCACCATTGAGGAGAGAGATAAGACAAAAAAGAGTGAACGGTGGTTAGTCGACCGGCATCTACAAATTCTACACAATAATAATATTCTTTAAACTTTATTCTGATGTAATCCTACGAGGAGATCGAATAGTTTATCACTATATTTCAACCAATAGGCATCTACAGATTCCACATAATAACTCTTTTTTAAATTTTATTGTTGAGGTAATCCCACGATGAGATTGAATAGTTTATCACTATATTTCAACCATATATAAGACAATGCATTATTTTCAAGAGCTTTTCTCCCCATTGGAAGGGATATACACCTCCCTGTCATTTTAGGATGTGAAAATTTTAAACCGGTTGAATGTTTATAACAGTGAATGATTGATAATATCAAGGCTTTTGTTATCCTTATCAGGTATAGATATATATATATGTATATATATATATATGTATATATATATGTATATATATATATATATATACATATATATATATATACACACACATCATGCTGTTAGGTTGGAGATATATAGGAGTAGGAAAATGCTACACACACGACTACGGCGTCCGACTGTCGTACGACCACGGCGTAAGCGACGTGATCTATTCAGCTCCGGTGTGATTCTCCATCTCGTTGCGCCTTCCAAAAGCCCAAGTCAAAGCTAAGCAGCTAAATAGACGTTTGCTTTGCATATCTTATGAAACAGTGATCAAACTTGGTTGTAGTCTTGTGATTTCAATCAGAGAACTAAACAGAATATTTGCATGTTTTATTTTTATTTAAGAATTAGAAACTATGCTTGTGGTTTTGGACATCACTGCATTTATATTTTGTTTAATGCAACCTGTTATAGCCATAAAAATAGAACTTGAAACTATGGTATATACTCTCTCCGTTTCATATTACAAGTTAAACTACTTTGACATTGATCAAAGTTAAACTACTTTAAATTTAACTAAGTTTATAGATAAATATAGTAATATTTACAATATCTTGGGATGAAAATGTTACTATTTTTTTACAAATTTGATCAAACTTCAAGCAGTTTAACTTTGATCAAAGTCAAAACTTCTTATAACCTGAAACGGGGGAGTATATTAAGAGGGTTAAAAAAAAACTTGTCTGGAAAATGGGCATCTGCAGCTGTGAAAACATTACAAGAGAATGTTAGATAGAGATCGAAGTTAGCAGGCAGTGATTGAGATCGACCAAAACTCCGGCAGAACAGTTGTGTAGCCATGTCCACCATGTTAATGCTGTCTTCCTGAGTTTGGGCTTAGAGTCTAGACTTGTATATGGGCTTGCATGGCATTGGACCGATTCATATACAGAGAGTCGTCTCACGCCGTCACGTTGTTCGTTGTTGCCGTTTCAGCGTTCGTTGTTGCCGTTTCAGTCGTATGGTAGTCGGATGATTTGCGTCGGACGTATAGCAGGGTTGATAGGAGTATATGTTTTTTCGGGAATATGCAAAAGGCTTTATAGTTCCTCGGTTTTCTGTTCTTTGTTTTTCCTATATGTAGTTCTACAATCTTCTTAGTATGTTTATACATCCGGCTAACACTTTGTTAATTTATAAAAACTCCTGGCTAACACTCAATACTTGTATTTTTCTACTACAAGAGAAAAATTAAACGGCATATATATGTATTTTAAGATAATGCTACTAAACAGCATATACGAAGTTGAAATGCTAATCTTTCTACCATACCTATCAAATTAGTTTTGGTGCCAAATAATGTCTCATATTGTAGTTCCCTGAATACTTCGATGATAGAAGAGGCCTTCTACTCCCTCTGTCACATTGTAAGCGTAACCATGAGTTTATGTGTCTAACTTTAATCGTTCATCTTATTTAAAAAAGAATCATCATCATCATCATTATTATTAGACGATAAAACGTGAATATTATTTTATCTGTAATTTATGTTTTTAATTTTTTTAAAAAAAATAGATAAGATGGACGATCAAAGTTGGACACAGAAACTTATGGCTGCGTTTAAAATGAGACCAAAGGAGTATTTGATTGGTGTTGTATTAAAATGCACTAGAGTACTATGAAGTCAAATGACGGCTCCAAGACTCCCAAGTCCAGGGCTGATTTGGTTTGATGCCCTACCAAACCATTGGTAGAACCAAATCTTGGGCATGTTTTGGCACTACCAATGTTTTGGTAGAGTTGGACTATATGAGTTATATTAGCTATGGCAAATATTGGCATCAATCCAAACATCTACAAAGTACTATTTAAATTGCCAGCTATTCGGTAGGGCAAGTTTTTGGCATAAAACCAAAACAGCCCCCAATCTCCGCTGTACTACCTCTGTTCCAAAATAAACGCAGTTATGAGTTTCCATATCCAACTTTAATTGTTCGTCTTATTTAAAATTCTTTTATGATTAATATTTTTATTTTTATTAGATTATAAAATATGAATAATACTTTATACATTACTTAAGTTTTTAAGGTTCTTTTTAAAAAAAATAAATAAAACAGACGATTAAAGTTGGACACGGAAACTCATGTCTGTGCTTATTTCAGGACGGAGGGAGTCGTACGTGCAGGTATGCTTGAGCTATCAGATGGCTCGCTCCATGGATTTTGCTTGCGTCTCTCGTCTCCGTGCAAATTGTAAGCGAGCGACATTAATGGGCCTGTTTAGTTCGAGAAAAGAAAATTTTTGGGTGCCACATCGGATTTTTGATAGAATGTCGGAAGGGTTTTTCGGACACGAATAAAAAAACTAATTTTATAACTTGTTTGGAAACCGCGAGACGAATCTTTTGAGCCTAATTATCCTGTCATTAGCACATGTGAGTTACTGTAGCACTTATGGCTAATCATGAACTAATTAGACTCAAAAGATTCGTCTCGCGATTTCCTCCCTAACTGTGTAATTAGTTTTTTCATTTATCTATATTTAATGCTTCATGCATGTGTCCAAAATTCGATGTGATGTTTTTAAAAAAAAAATTAGGAAAACATTTTGTCGATCGACTGCGCATGTCGGGCCACTCGGCCCCTCACTCTCCGAGCAGTACATCAAACGATCAGATCAGAACCGGAATATTCATATGGAATCGTTAGCTACAGCTTACAGAGTTACAGCTACTGCTGCTCTCACTGTTGATCCGCGTACTGGAGTGGCCCCGCGTTATGCCGTTTCGTACGAGCAGTTGGAACTTTTACTATCCGATTGCTTCGAGCTAGCTGAGCGGCCAGGCACGGAAGCAAAACAGAGGCAAAAACAAAACAAAGGCCGTTTCGTACTGTTGAAGCTTAATTTATCCATCCATGTCAGCAAATGTCACAGCTCAAAAGTTCACGTACGGATCTCGGACTCTCGGAAGCACACGCTTTTTAATTAATTTATTTATTTTACTTCATATAAGGATATTTTCTATCCGGCCTCTATATTTAACCGGATATGTGCAGCCTTTTTAAATTAGGCTATAAAACAATCTAATCTGAAATCTGCATAGAGATTTGGCTTTTTAATTTATTTATTTATTTTATTTTAGAGAAGAATATTTTTCATCCAGCCTCTATATCCAACCGGATATATATGCAGACTTTTTAAATTAGCCCATGAAATAACTTAATCTGAAATCCACTCCTATATAGATTTAAACTCGGTACCTTAGAGTGCTACTCAAGTCACTGCAACCACTAGACTACGTGACATTTTGCTTAGATGTGATGACGTTGTTAAGGGCCTTCATAGTGCAACGTGGCTTTCAGCCCGAGCACTCCACCTTGGAGACTCAGCATCACGTCCGCGTCTGAACCTATCAAAACCTGAAGATCACGCGTTCAAAGAGGATCATGTGTTCTTTGAAGTTATCGAGAGCGTGTAGCGTGGAGAGGGAGAGATCTTGGCCGCACTACGGAGGTGAGGCTTGTGGCTTCCAATACGTGACTTTGGGTATACTCCCTCCTACCCTAAATGTTTGACGCCGTTGAATTTTTTAAATATGTTTGACCATTCGTCTTATTCAAATCTTTTGTAAAATGTGTAAAACTATATGTATACATAAAAGTATATTTAACAATAAATCAAATGATAGGAAAAGAATTAACAATTACTTAGAT